TGAGCACAGCTCATCTTTTCCGAGGGGTCATGGTTAGTGTGTAAAAGAAAATATCTGAAAGTGCTATGCAAACCTAGGGTCACGTGTGGACTTAAAATCAGTGTCTTCTCCCTCTTCCAATCCATGTGTGTTACTGTACAAAAGGAGCTGGTGTTGAAAAACCCATCGTCAGAATTTTGCTGCAGTCCCTTCTGTTCATTAGGCTGTGTTGTTGGGCAAAAGCTCCAAAGTCTATTTCAGGTCAGTTCCGGGGAAACAAAACAAAACAAAACAAATCAGGGTGAGGGTGGAGAAGCAAAAATAAAACAGCAGAATACCATAGAATTCATGTTAGGCATGAGATGATGGTCACTGGCTCTTCTGTTGATTGTATTGATTTCCAGGAATCCTACAGCTGATGGCAGCTATTTTCCCCCAGACTACAAGAAGGCTCGTTTTCAAAATGAATAAGGAAGTCATCTATCTTCCTGAAAACACCACCGACACCCTATTACTCTTCTTCAGAAAAGCCTTCCGTGATTATCCGTTAACTAGACATTGGCGTGTGCTATAGACTTCACTCCGTCTCCCCACCTCCTGGTCACCACACCAGCTCCACCTTATTTATCCCCTCTGCTTCCCATAAAGCCAGAGATGCCAGCTAGGTTGGTTCCCTCCAGGTTCCCCAAGTAACTGCCCCTTCCTGCTAAGAGCCTGCGCTCATCTTCCATCCTGAAATGGTGAGTTTTTCTGTCTTCTCTTTCTCAGGTGTCATCTTTATCCTGTCTGAGTCAGAGTCTCACATAAGTGAGACCTTCTTTGTGAAGGTTTCCCCATCCAAAGGTCTCCCCTAACTTCTTCAGACCCTCTCTCCAGCTCAGCTGTCACGGCACACCCTCATGTACAACTCGGGAGGTGACTCAAGTCATTTCTAGGGGCCAAAGCTTTTTTTGAGCAGCATTCTGTTGCCTCTCCATGGATATGAGAAAAGCAGGTGTGGGTGCCCATGATAAGCCTCAACAGACTATCTTGTGGGCTGTGTCCAGAAGGTGAGGTGCGACCAATGGCTTTGGCTATTGAGAGAGGCCCACCCAGCTGCTCTGTAATAGGTGTCTATGTTTATTTTGTTTGTGGGAGTAACTCAGTCAAAATGAAGGCAAAGTACCTGAGAACCCCAGTTTGAAAGAGGGAGACTCTGGCACCAGATGTATGACTCTGGCACCAGATGTGGATTATCTCATTGAATTCTTGCAAGGACCTGATGGTCATACTATTATAATCTCCACTTATAGTTGAGGAAGCACAAACTGAGTGAGAGTCAATAAGTTGTCCAATGTCTAAGTAGTAAAGTGATTTGAACCATATCATATCTGTGTCCAAAGCCTAGGTGGTTGCTGTTTTAAAATCTAGCCTACATCAGTGTTTCTCAAACTATGATGCCCAGAGCAGTAGCACCAGTGTCTCCTGGAAATTTATTAGAAATGTAAATCCCTGGGCCTCACCCAAGTCTTATTGAATCAGAAACTCCTGCTGACAGTTGTCTGGGCTGTCACAAGTCTTCCAGGAGGTGTATGCTCGAGTTTGAGTACTCCTGCTCTACATTAACCCTCCTATGAGAAGATTCCCTGTAACCCAGCCTAGAACCCATATTGATGTAGGAACATTACAAGATATCAATTATATGCGGCCCTCTGACTGCCAGAGTCCCACCTGACATATCTGTGCCACCTGGTTCCTCATCAAGGCAGATCTACAGTATGTGTATTGGGAAAGTAAGAGGAGGGAGTTGTTGTTTTTTTAAATTAAAAAAAAGTGTGTTTGATTCCTTTAAGTCCTTCTTGATAAAATTTAGCACAGTCTGATTTTTGTTTCATTTGCTCTATGCTTATGTTGACCTGACCACTGGTTAATGTATTTCTGGTCATTTATTCCTTTTTTTTTTTTTTTTTTTTTTACTTTTTTAAATCGAATTTATTTAAACAATACAACAAAATTTAATCAACAATATAGTTGCCGTTGTTTTCTACTACTTGTGCCCAACGCTCAGGAAGCATTTTAATCCCTCTGTTGTAAAATTCTTGTGATTTTGATGCAAAAAAATTCTTGTGATTTTGATGCAAAAAATTTGATGCAATGCATTTTTGAGGCATTCTTCATTATTAAAATTTTTTCCAAGAAGAAAGTTTTGCAAAGAACGAAACAAATGGTAATCGGAAGGGGCAATATCAGGAGAATATGCAGGATGAGGGAGAACTTCCCATTCCAACTGGCGCAGTTTTTCAGCAGTGATTCTTGCAGTATGCGATTGTGCGTTATCGTGGTGAAGAATTACGCCCTTCCGATTAATCAGCGCGGGTTCTTTTTTTCTTAAAGCTTGGGCTAACCTTTCCAATTGGGCACTATACACTGCACTTGTAATGGTTTGGTTAGATGGTAAAAGTTCATAATGAAGAATTCCTTTAAAATTCCACCAAACACACAACATCACTTTTTTCGCATGCAAGTCAGGTTTTGGCGTGGGCTGTGGAGCCTCATTTTTGTCCAACCATTGAGGCCGCCTTTTCAAATTAACATCCAGCACCCATTTTTCATCTCTGGCAACAATTTGCTCTAAAAACGGCAAACGGTTTTGACGAGAGAGGAGCGAACTGCAAATTGTGACTCTTTGATTACGGTTGTTGTCGGTCAACTCATGAGGAACCCATTTTCCAAACTTTTGGACTTTGCCAAGTGCACGCAATTGATTGGAAGTTGTTTTTTGTGAACAATTTAAAGTTGTCGCAAGCTCTTGTTGGGTAATTTGAGGATTTTGCACCAAAAGAGCTCGAAGAGCTTCTTGATCAAATTGGACACACGGTCTCGACCACTCTTGTCATCTAACGAAAAATTTCCCTTGCGAAATTTCTCAAACCAACGCTGGCATTTTCTGGCGCCAACTGCATCTTGACCAAGAGCACTACAGATGTTTTTTGCAGCCTCACTTGCTTTTCTTCCTAATTGGAACTCGTAAAGCATGCAGTGCCGAATATGCTCTTCATCCGCCATCTTCTTAGCCCTAGTTTTGCAACAAAAACCAAACTAAACACAAACTTTTTCAAGCAAAACTTGTTAATTGCACTTCACACGTTCTGTAGATACCACGTGTTTGAAGGTTATGTCAATACAAGTCAACGCCAAGCAAGATTTTAAACGAATGTTTAAAAACGACATTAATTATTACTAGGCCCGATAGTACACATTAGATTATATCAATTCCAGCTACTAGTTTTAGACTTCAAGGTAGGAATGCAATGCAGAGCATCTTCCTGGGTCTTCAGCTGTTGAGTTTTGTTGCAGCCATGCTCCAATGTCCTATCCCCAGTTTTGCAGGTGATTGGAAAAATAAGACTTTTTTTGGGGGGGGCTAGCAAACTGAATCTGTGCTAGCAGCCTGAATGCACATTCCAGTTAGCTTATAGTCTAGTCACTGCCCCTTCCTTAATTATCTGGTCTTGCAATACCTGTTTACCTAAGAACTCCCATTTCACAGAGGCCATAAACTGTGAACATTACACAACCCCCAAAGGGGGTTGTCAGTGCTGGCGCCAGGCCACGCCTTTAGGTGTGGTCTCATGGCCCCCATCCCTACACACTGGGCTTTTTGCAAATATTTGTTGGTTACCAAGGAGGTGACGGGCACAATATGAGGCCCTTGTGTTTGAACAGTGAGTTAGAGACAAACCCAGTCGGCCTTCTCAGGGCCTACAGTAAACATGCCATCGCTAAGAAGTGTGAAATGGTAAGATGAGGCACTTGGGGAAAACAGAGGGAGGCCCCTCCCCCAGATTTGTAGTCAGGGAAGGCTTCTTGAGGAGGTGAGGGTGCAGCTAAAGACCTAAGGAATAAATAGTAATTAGTCTAGTGAAGGGAGTGGGAATGGTGGCTAATGATATGGAAGCGCTCTGCAGCTGCAAGATCCACACGCAGGAAGACCTGCTGAAGACGGCAGTCCTAGCATGGCCAAAGTTCTGAGTGTAAGGTATGGCCTGAAGGGAGATGAGGCAGGAGAGAAAGGCTGCAGACAGATGTGACCATCCTTAGAGGCCTTGTAGAGGTTAAAATTTATCATTAGGGAAATGTAGAGAAAATGATGTGAAGAAAATATATATTAGCAAGTTCACTACAGTAGAAATGTAGGCTTATCCTATATAATAAAGAGGTAATAAGCAAATTAACCCTCAGAAGATGGCTACCTATGACCAGGCTGGCATAGGGGTTAGTGAGGGATGACCAAATGACTAAACAAGCAGGCTGCGTGGGGCAACCAGGCCGGGGGGGAGGGGGGGCAGTTGGGGGCTAAAAGGCCAGCATGGGGAGGCAGTTAGGGGTGCCCAGGCCAGCAGAAGGGGGAAATTGGGGGTGACCAGGCGGGGGGTGGGGAGGCAGGAAGAGGAGACCAGGCTGGCAGTAAGGGGTGACCAGGCTTCCGGGGGCAGTTAGGAGCAACCAGGCTGACAAGGGGGTCAGGTAGGGGTCACCAGGCAGGCAGGTAGGTAAGCAATTAGGAGCCAGCGGTCCAGGATTGTGAGAGGGATGTCCAACTGCTGGTTTAGACCTGGTTCCTGGAATTGGACCTAAAGCGGCAGTCGGACATTCCCCGAGAGATCCAGATTGGAGAGGGTGCCGTCTGGGCTGAGGGGACCCTCCCCCCACACACACACTTGTGCATGAATTTTTTGCACCGGGCCTCTAGTTTTAATATAATGTCTTTATTATTGTTGTATGTATTATTACTATAGATGGGCCATAAGCTCTTTGGGAGTTGTCCTTGATCTTTTTCTTCACCATCTTCCCTTTGTCTGTGCAGTATCCACCCCACATTTTCCCCAGGCCAAGTAAGAACTTAAACTCCACTGTGAGCTCCCAACCAGTCAGGCAGTGTGGTGGTTCATTTGCATTGCTTTTATTACCCACTAACCGAAGTAGGTCATCTCCCAGAGATCTGGTCCACCTTCAGCAGTGTCTCCTGTTCTTGGCTGCAGGGTGTCTGTCCTTGTTGGTGACCGTCCAGCACACAGAGCGCTATGTCACCCTATTTGCCTCTGTCATCCTCAAATGTGACTACACCACCTCTGCCCAGCTCCAGGACGTGGTAGTGACGTGGCGCTTCAAGTCCTTCTGCAAGGACCCCATCTTTGACTACTACTCTGCATGTGAGTGTCCTCTCTCTCTGGCTCTGCCAGAGTCCCTTTGTGAAGTGTTGTCTATAGGATGTAGGTAGGAATGAGCTAGGATCACAAATCCTCATAAGTGAAATAGAGATCACTTAATCCAGCCCCCTCATCTTATAGATAAACTGAGCCTAAGCAGATGGAGTAACTAATTGAAGGTCACATACTGTTTTATTTGTTTTGAGATGTAAGTCCCACCTTGTTCTAAAACAATTTAAGGCAGCTCAGGCATTAAGTAAAAGGCAGAGCAAATTCCACCTCCTAGTCTGTGCCAGCACGCTGAGATGTGGATGCAGATTCACCTCTCGTCACCCTAGTCTTAGAATGCTGACAAGAAAACTCCTGCACCCCTGGGGATGCCTGAGGAAGGGTCATCTGTGAACTTGTGCCCACTGCCAAGTTCAATTCTACAGCCAGCCTTCCTCGTGGACAGTCACTCCCCTGCTGACGAAACAGTGATACGGAGCTCACTGCCCCCAGGGAGTACGTTTGTTGTCTGACATCTCTCATGTGCCGCTCCCCCATGGTTAGCCATATCTGACCTCTTAAGGAACAATTTGGTTCCGCTGTCTGGAACCAAAGCTCTTCCAAGCTGTCCACCTCTGCCTCTCTCAAAGAGCAAAGGAACCCACTGTCAGCCTGTGATAATTAACCCTGTAGAAATTTTGGGAACAGAAGCAGACACCCTATTCGAAGGAAGCAGATGAACTCCTTGAGATGAAAGGAGAGGGAGGGAGACATCAGCTTTACCTCTTTCAGTCCTATAAATGTCAGTATGAACCCCAGAACGTGTCCCATGGAGACTGATGCTGTTCCCAAAAGACACCCCCCCTCTAAATCCAGGTATAGTTTCCTGGGGTGTGTGTGTGGGGGGGGGAGGGTACTCTTAAGATGCCTGGGTTACATGGGAAGGTAGGTAAGACTAGGATAGTGGGCATTAGCCCCAGCAGATTTAGCAGCTTTCAAACTTGGCATTGTAAGGGCAGGTGTATTTTAAGGAAGCAGCGTCTGAAATGAGACACTAAAAATGAGACACAGGACGTTGGGATGGGAGTCATTCAGGACTTGATGGCCTATTGGGGGGATTCTTTAGTGTTTCAGGCTCATCGTGTGGGTCCTGGTATCACTTGGGAGCTCGTTACAAAAGCAGAATTTCTGCTTCTCACCAAGACCCACAGAATCAGAATCTTCATGTTGCCAAAATCAGTTTGGCTCAGCGGATAGAGCGTCAGCCTGCGGACTGAAGGGTCCCGGGTTCGATTCCAGTCAAGGGCATGTACCTTGGTTGCGGGCACATCCCCAGTAAGGGGTGTGCAAGAGGCAGCTGATAGCTGATTCTCTCTCATCCATGTTTCTAACTCTCTATTCCCCTCTCTTCCTCTCTGTAAAAAATCAATAAAAAATATATTAAAAAAAAAAAAAAAAAAGAATCTTCATGCTAACAAGATGCCCCGGAGACACAGAGGTTCATAGTGAGGGCACCTTCCTTCCTGGGAGTTCCCCGATGCTGTGTGACTTAGGTGTGTCCTCTCTCCTCAGCATACCAGGCGGCTTTATCCCTGGGCCAGGACCCTTCCAACGACTGCAACGACAGCCAGCGAGAGGTCCGCATCGTGGCCCAGAGGCGGGGGCAGAATGAGCCCGTGCTGGGGGCGGATTACCGGCAGCGCAAGATCACCATCCAGAACCGTGAGTGAGGGTGCAGAGGTGCAGACACCAGGCTGAGTCACTGTGGGGATTTCCCTTTTTCTCTGCTGCCTGATGATCTATATTTGAGTGGAGAAAAATGTCAGCTACACTAGTACAGAATGTGCCATGACACTGGAATCACTTCCCTGGAAGTTGGTCTCTGGGTGAGCTTTGGCTAACGGTGTAGGAGTGGATGGTTTCCTTTGTGTCCCTGAGATTCAGGGCTGAGGTGTGGACCAGGCTCCTTGGACCCTTCCACGAATTGCTCTTGGGGCCTGCTGGAACTCCAGGTTCCTGGGTTTCCCTCTGGCCATGCCTGTTATACACATCTAAGGAAACAGCCTTCCATGTAGATGCCCACCTTCCGACCAGCACCCTTCAGTGGTACAGAAGGGATCTTTAGGCTTAAAATGCAGAACACCTGGCTGAGTGTCCCATTACTCCAACAGGTTGGCTTAGTGACCGTGGCAGCTGTGTTCTCTAGCTTCTGTTGTCACATCTGCAAGATGGGCATAGTGGTCTCTGTCTCCCCACCGCCTTGAAGTGAATATCAATGTGATATGTGAGAGTTCGGCTTAGAGCGTATCTATTCTTTGAGGCGATTAGACTCAGGGGTGAGTTCACTTATCAGGTGTGTGAACTTGGGAAAGTCCCTTCAACCATTTTAGCCTCGATTTCTATAAAGTGAAACTTGCCACAGTACCAGGGGAGTTGTCAGGGTCATGTGAGATGATAGGTATAAAGCACTTGGCAACAGAAAGTGTGCAGTGAACTTTAGTTTTGATCACTTAGCATTCTTTGGGATGGATGGGTTAGCACACCACATTCCTATCTTGTAATCCAGGATTCACAAAATTCAGAGCCTATTTCAATGAGCTTTGTGTGCTGTGTGAAGTAAATATTTGCTGGTTAAAATGAAAAAAAAAAAAAAATGGTGGGGGAAATACACCCAGCAGGCCACTTAGAATTCCCATAGCAACAATGTGAAGAAATCAGTTAATATTCTTTGACCATTTAAAGGGAGCCGTTTAACAATTGCTTCCGACTTTGTTTTAATACTTTGGCTGTAAAACTTATGTTTGATCCTTTGACATTCAACCTCGGATTCCCCCAAGCCGTGCTCCCAAATTTATGGCACAACTGTCCTTTTCCGTCTTTAGGGCATTCTCAAAGATTCAGGGTGGTTCCACTTTCTCCAGAGCTCCCAGACTTAGCTCTGATAAGTCCCATTAATTAACAAGTCTCTTTTATATTTTTTTGAAGGTCAAATGAAAGTCCCCCAAGGTGATAGTCTTTGCTTCTCTGTCTTCTTTTTTTTTCTTCTTTCTAATTTTGAGCAGTGCTGTCTGCTACCTTCCCTTCCCAACCAGCCACATTGGGTCAGACTCTGTTCTTTCTTACTCCCGTGGGAAAGTGGCATTTCCCCTTGGTTTTATTTCTACCTCCAAGCTTGTGACATCAGGAGTCTTGTTTTCTGATACTTTAGTGCTCATGTCTGCATCATTTGTGATGAACCTGTCAAAACAGTTCTTGAATCATTTAAAATGCAGACATACTTGAATGTCCTTATTACTCTGACATCCCTAAAATACTCTTTGTTGTCTCTAATAACAACTGGGGAAGATTTATAACACACATTAACCTCTGAGGGGGGAATTTCCCCCACAGCATTTTCACCATTCTTCCAAGACTGTGGTATAAGCTTGTTTCTAGGAAAGGTAGTGGGTTTGGAAAAATCATAAGTAAGAAAACAAAATCATAGGGATTGACGTAGAATGAGAAGGAAACAGAAGTCAGAGTTAGCTCCAATAGTGCGTGACCTTACATTTTTGTTTCATTTCCTCAATAAATATTTCTTGACAAACATATAAGAAAGAATTGCAGATATTTAGATGGTTTCTAGACTTATTGTGATCATTTCATATGTATATAAATGTAGAATCGCTATGTCATGCACCTGAAACTATTACAATATTGTATGCCTATTATACTTTAATTTAAAAAAAAAAAAAGAATTGCAGATAAAACTTACAGATAAGCAGGAGCAAATCTGTAAGGTAAGGTCTTTGAGAATGTGAAGATGTCCTCTGGCACTTACTGTGGCTAAAATAATGGGGCCTTGGAGGCTGCCCTGATGCCTCTGACCAGACTTTAAACCCTTTTAGGACACAGATGGGTCTTATTTCTCTTCAGATTTCCCACATTTCTTCTTGAAATCGTCCACAGTGTCTAACATAGTGCTGGACCCACAAAAGGTCTTAGTGAGCCTGTGTTGCATTTGCTAATCTTGAACATCCCATTCATCTATCTTAGTGGGGGGACACAGCACTTGGTGTTCATGATGACAAATTCTTTTTTTTTTTTTTTTTTTTTTTTTTTTTTAGTAACATTTACTCTTAAAACAATGGCATTTCATCCTTGCTTATCAGGGTTTACCTCATAACCTACTCCTTTAAGATCCAGAGATATCTGTTCATAGCTGGCAAGAGATCCAGGCTACCTAGTTTGGAGAGGATATTAGACCTTGCTGGTTAAGAGCACCAATAGTGAAGCAGAGAGGCAGGGTCTGAACCTACCTCTGGTAAGCATTAGCTCTCGGTTGTTAAGCTGGTTTCTCAACCTCCTGGGAAAGGCTAAGGCCTGCTAAGCCTCTCGGTTTCTTCATTTGAAGTGCAGCTAGTAACAGTACCCATGTATCAGGATTACAGTTATGAATATGCAAAAGCCCCCAAATATTAGTGACTTAAACAATAAAGTGTTTTTCTTCTCTTATATAAATTTGAAAGTAGATGGTCCAGAACTATTGTAGTAGTGGCTTTCTTCCATTAAGTCCTCAAGGCCTCAAGCTCCTTCCAACTCACCAAGAGCATCATCATCATCCTCATAGTCCAAGATGACAGCCATCATATTTGCTTTCCAGATAACAGAGCAGAAGAAGAAATAAAGAACAACCCTGGACACCCTGGGTCAATGGTTGGAGTGTTGTCCCATGCACCAAAGGGTCACAAGTTCAGTTCCTGGTCAGGTTGTGGGTTCAATCCCCAGTCAAAGTGCATATGTGAGGCAATTGATCAATGTTTCTCTCTCTCCTTCTCCCTTTCTCTCTCTCTCTCTCTCTCTCTCTCTCTCTCTCTCTCTCTCTCTAATCAATGGGGGGATAAACATATCCTCAAGTAAGGATTTAAAAAAAAAAAAAAAAAAGAGGAAATGAAGAACAAAAGGGTAAAGCTGTCCCCAGACTGTTTTTAAGAAAGTTCTTGAATTATCACGTAACACATATGCTTACACTCTATCCACCCTGAGTCATATGTCCGTGTCCGTCTGTAAGAGAGAATGAGAAATACTGGCTTTATTCTGGATGACCTCATACATGACCAAAAATTTTATGACTATGAGAGAAAGGGAGAACAGACACTGGGAGACAAGTGGTAATCTCTGCCTCACCCACTTGGAGAGCTGTGGTGGGAATTAAATGAGTTGATATATACAAATGCTTTCAAAATACCTCATAGGGCTCAATGAGTGGTCAGTTCTACCTCCATTATACTGCTTGGAGAAAGAGGAGGGTCTCAATAAAAGGAATTGAAGTCTTTCTCTGAACTATGAGGGGCCCACTTCAGATGTGGAAGAACAATGCTAGGGTCTTGAATCTACGAAAGGTCAGAAAGCATTTCCTTCTCTTTCAATCAGTGCACATTCTTCCTCCTTTCTTGCAGGAGCAGATCTTGTGATTAATGAAGTGATGTGGTGGGACCACGGCGTGTACTACTGTGCGATTGAGGCTCCAGGGGACACGACAGGTGACCCGGATAAGGAGGTGAAGCTCATTGTCCTGCGTAAGTGCTGCGGGAACTTTTTATTTGTCCACCCCACCGTGACACTTTTTTTCTTCATACAGGAAAAAGAGAAAAAAGAAAAAAAAGCAGAAACAAGCAAGGCCAGGTTGTTATTTTTGGATTGCCAGCCTCTGAAGTTCTCTTACCAAAATTAACCTTTTTGCCCCACATTATATTGTTCAACTTGAATCTGTAGGCCAAGAGCTGTATTTGTTAGGTTGTTTGGCTCTTGGAACTGCCCCTGTATATTTCCTGTGACCCCTGCTTGGCTTCTCCCCTGCAGACTGGCTGACGGTGATCTTCATCATTCTGGGAGCCCTCCTCCTGCTCCTGCTGATTGGAGTGTGCTGGTGCCAGTGCTGTCCCCAGTATTGCTGCTGCTACATCCGCTGCCCCTGCTGTCCCACCCGCTGCTGCTGCCCTGAGGAAGGTGAGAGGGGATGGACAGGCAGTGGGATGGCTTGCTGCTGGAGCCTGGTGCCCCACACAGATCAACTTCAAAACCATAGGCTCTTCCAGGTTCTCCTCCACAACTTTCATCCATCAAAGGCTCTGGGGCCTTTGGCCTCAGCCCAGAAATTGATCCTTGGGCTACAGAGTCAAGTGAGAGAACTTCTTTCCTGTCCTCATTCTAGCCTGCCCACGGCCTTCTTCAAATGGCTCGGCCTACTGATGGCATTTCCTCAGTGGCTCTGGGATTCCTGTACTCCACTATTTGCTTTTAGCACTGACCTTGCTTAACATGAGGTGGCTGGAGGAATGGTTTAAATGAAGCAGCAAGAGAGAGGGGGCCACTCCTTAGAGATGACTTGAAAAGAGTAGATCTGAGGAAAAAGGTGTGAAGCAGTGGTTCTCAAACTTCAGAATCACCCCAAAGGTTTGTTAAAGCTTAATTGCTGGCCCCCACCACCAGAGGTTTTTTTATTTTATTTGTTTGTTTTTTAATTTAATTGGTCTGGAGTGGGCCTGAGAATTTGCTTGTCTCAAAAGTTCCCAGGTGATGTGATGCTCCTGGGCTAGGGCCACACTTTTAGAATTTCTGTGTTAAAGAAAGGAAAGAGGGAGCAGAAGAAAATCTTGCTCTTTCTTTGGGCTGACATTTGACTTTTTAAAACAGAGTTATGACATGCCCTAAACAATTTGGCTGCAGAATGAAGATAAAAGTAAATTATTCTACAATGATCTTTTCTTAGTAAGCAGCTAGAATGGAATCAACTTCTTTAAATGGAAGTTGTATTTGTGATTTTAAAATAATATATCCTGTTCCTAATAATAGCAATAAAGTATTACATTTCTGAGAAAATTCCAGAAAATTTGGAATATGTAAAGACTAATCTTAGCACCCAGAGTTAACACATTTGAAAGGGAATTTTTTTAAGGGAAAAAATAAGGAATTGCTTCTTAAGCTGGAAACAAAACTTAATCTACAGTGTTGAGGTCAATGCTCTGTGTCTGGTTTCAGGCCTGTGTTCCGAGGTTGGTGTCTTACAGGAAAAGAGAACTAACCTTTATTGGATGTTTGCTCTGTGTAGGCCCTTTGTACATATTTCCCCATTGTATCTTCACAACCCTAGAAGGCCAGTATCATCACTTTTAAAAAAATATATATTTTATTGATTTTTTACAGAGAGGGAGAGAGAGAGAGAGCTAGAAACGTCGATGAGAGAGAAACATCGGCCAGCTGCCTCTTACACACTCCCTACTGGGGATGTGCCCGCAACCAAGGTACATGCCCTTAACCGGAATCGAACCTAGGACCTTTCAGTCCGCATACCAACACTCTACCGCTGAGCCAAACTGGTTTTGGCCAGTATCATCACTTTTGACAGATGAGGGGACTGAAGGCCAGAAAAGTCACCCAGATAGTGAGGAGCAGTGGTAGCACAGTGTTGAATCCATGTTCATCTGACTCACGATAGTCTGAATTTCCCACAGTAGGCGCTCCCTACCTCTCAGGGGCCTCTTGGAGAGACACCATGGATTAGTCACTGTCAGTGACATATTAATATGCAGGAAAAGATGAGAAAAACACTCTCACGGTGCCTTCTTAGCATCCCTGGGTCAGTGGGACACTCAAAATAGGCAGGACTGGGGAGAAACCCAGCATAAAAGATAAATGTATCCACTGCCGGCTAATAAACAGGTTCTGGGGGAGAGGAGTTTCTCCTAAGTGGTTAGAGTTTATTTAGAAGGACTGGTAAAGTCAAGAAATGCAGGCCACGAGTAAAGGTCCCTAGACCTGAGCAGATGCGGTCACTTTTGAAGTGAGTCACTAGAGCAGACTGTCTTGTGAAGTTTGGTGATGAGGAGATTATATGGAGGCAGCAGAAGTTATTAAAGCTTTTGGATAGAGAAAGGTGTGTGTGTGTGTATGTGTGTGTGTGTGTGTGTGTGTGTGTGTGACTATTTTTTGTTTGTTTTTAGACTAGGTAACCCTACGCATATTTGTAGGCAAAGAACCAAGGCCTATGGAAAATAAGTAAACTAAGATGACCAATGATGAGTGATGGGGCCAATGGGAGTGACATCGGGCTTACAGTGAAATGACTGCGTTTAGGATGGAAAGGAAAAGACAGCCTGATATCTGAAGAGAGAGAGAGGAAGTCATTTTGATTAATGTATAAGGGAGGAAGCTGAGAGAGCTATATGTAGCAAGTAAAAATTCTAGGCACGGAAGGGAGCTTCAGAAACGATGTCAGTGGTTCTTGAACTTCTCTGACCACAGCCAATCTCCCCAACCTGCTCCCACTTTCTAGTGAGAGTTACTAGAGAACCAAGAGAGGGGGGAAAAAAAAAATTAAAAGGACACCACATTACAGTAACTTGATAATTCACTCTGTACCAGTAAACAACCCATAGTAGAACCTAAAGGTGAAAGCTATTGAAAGTGAACCTTATTTTTCTCTGGGAGAACTGGAGAAACAAGTTTCATCTCTAGGTGGTTGACTGACCCTCCTCCCCACAGAACATCTGAGCACGCCCAGCAGTAGGCCACAGGCCACAGTGGGAATCTCTGCTCTCTGCCATGCCCCTCCCCACCCTCCTCACGGGAGAGGGAAGTGAGGCCCGATGAGACTTTTTCACAAGTACACACAGTTTGTTAGTGGCAGAGCCTGGACTAGAACTAGGTCTCTTGATTCCTTGCCCAGGGTGGTTCCTCTTCCTCAACGAAGATGATGCCAACAACTAAAAGTTCATGAGGAAGGGAAGGCATGAGACCTGGGTACGTTTAAACCCCTGCTCCACAGGAGGGAAGCCAGATCTATGTGTCAGTGAGGGAAAGTTAGGTTGGGAGGAAGGCTCTTTGAGGTCAGGTGCCTCACAGTGCAGTCAGCTCTGGCACTGTGGAGCTAGGATGCATGTGCTGGTGGTTCCCTAAAGCTGGGATGGTAAGAGTTCAAAGGGTGTGGGATTCTAGAAAGCTCCTGAGGATGTTACCGAAATGACTGGCTAGTCAAGTCATAGGGGACTGGTAGTATGGGAAAAAGGGAAAGGACTCTGTGACCTTGGGCCAAAAGAGGAAAAAGAAGGAGTTCTGGAAGAGTGAGAGAATTGGTAAGGGAATGGTGAGAAGTAAGAAGCAAGTGCAGTTGGAGATCATCAGGGGCACCCACTAGGGATGCCCACTGACGATGCTGGCCGCAGAGGACAAGAGGCGTAGGTCCCTGGAGGAGGGGGGAGTGTTGAGTGTCATTTCTATCGGGAAGGAGACATCTTTTTTTTTTTTTTTTTAAATATTTTTATTGACTTTTTAAAGAGAGAAAGGGAAAAGATAGAGAGTTAGAAACATCGATGAGAGAAAAACATCGATCATCTGCCTCCTGCACAGCCCCCACTGGGGATGTGCCTGCAACCAAGGTACATGCCCTTGACTGGAATCAAACCCGGGACCTTTCAGGCCACAGGCTGATGCTCTATCCACTGAACCAAACCGGTTTCGGCTGGAAGGAGACATCTTAAAGACTGTACCCCAGGTTTTCCTCAGAAAGGAAGATGAACGTGCCTTTGGTGGTATAGTTTCCCAGTATGTACATTTGTCTCCCATGGGCTCTAAGACAAAAGAAGCGACTTATAACAATTTATTAAAACAAGGAGAGCCATTATCTATCACGAGCATACATTATTATCTCATTTAACCTCAGTAATCTTGTGAAATAGGAGTAGACTCAGACCCTCTAAAAACTCGCTCAAAATCACACAGCTGTCACATGCTGAGAATTCCAGTTGAAGTCCATCTGAGCCCATATTTAAGGAGACATCTCTCCAAGGATCCCATTTCTTGAAAGGTGGTTGAGAATCCTCAATAGTCAACTCTGATTTGACACCCAACATTAGAATAAAGGAGCTCTTTGAAAATGCAGATTTTCTTGCCTTGCATTAGGCTGAGGTAGGGTTTGTGGGGATCTGTGTTTTTAACCAGTCCATTAAAGGTGACCAGGGCAGACTTTTCTCCATCGAGTTTCGGAGATAACTTTCTAGGAGGCTTCGGAAGCTTTGCTACTTACTCCATGTTTCTTTTATTGCCTGTTTGATTTCCCATTAGCTGAGAAGCAGAAAACCCTCGTAGTGAAGACATCCCCATGGGGCTGGTTCCAGGGACAGGATGGCAAGGGAGAAGCTCCGAGGCTGTGTTTCCCATTCGCATCTCATTACTCCCAGTGCATCAGGGAAGGAAGCAGGCAGATGAATCTCTGGAGAAAGTAAAAATTTGATGGGAAAGCTCATGGAGGATCTGGAATGATCTCTAGGGAGTTTTCTACACAGGGGGTTCCATTAACTTAAAAAGTCCTTTGGAGACAAAGGAGTAACCCTCACTCTCCCTTTGTCTCCTATAGAACTGGGGGACTGGGGGAGGACGTGGCCAAAAGGGGGGGGGGGTACTATTTAGAGGAAGCCAGGAGTCAGTTAGAGGGGTAGGTGGTATATAGGGTTGTTCCCAATGGAATTGGATGTCCTTAGACCTTGAGGTCAGAGACTAGTCTGGAGTGGGTTTTAAACATTGTGGGGCTGAGTTGGAAAAAAATAAAGTGAGGAGTTACCGCTGGGGGAGGGTTTTTTTGTTCGTTTCACAGAAATAAAGAAGTCTAGGGACTCGGTGGTGTGGCAGAAAGAGTACAAGTTTGGGTGTCAAATACAGGGTCACACTCTCTGTCTCTGCCAGTCACCTGCTGTTGGACTGTGAGCTAGGGAAGTAACCTCTGGGACCTCAGCTTCCTCATTGATCCCACATTGAAGATTTCTCTGAGAAAAAAAAAATCTCTGAGGACTAGTTAGCTTATGGAAAGTGGCAGGGCATTGTGTGCGCTGATGGTGGCCCCTGTAGGGAGCTGGGAGAGGCATCTGTTAGCCAAAGGGAGAGGAAAGGGCTGGGCTTGCGGACTTGTCTTTGGAGGGTCCGGAGTGCTGTCTGTTGGTTTAAAAAGCATGGCAGCTGGGTGAGCTGCGACTAGTTTGCATCTGATTTCCTCTAGGCTGGGCTGTGACTCACCATTAGGGCTGGAGCTCCAGACATTTTGGGGGGCTTTGCTGCAACCACATCCTGTTGTGCTGGAAGTTTATTTCACGCTGGAGCCCCAGGGTAGCTGTCCAGGTGGCCCTTTCACTGCTGGCCTCACCAAATCCCCCACCCTGTGCAGCTGGGTCCAGAAGGCCTGCCCTCTCTTCCCCTCCTGCCTTCTGCCTGGGGTGAGGGGATGAGGTGACACAGGGCTTGGGGAACCCAGAGGAGGTGCGAGTGCTGCTGGGAGCCCGAGGCAGGCAATTCCTGCGCTTAGACACACAAGTACATTTTTGACATGCATGGATGGGCAGGGGCTTTGGGAAACGTGGCGCTCGTCAAAATTACCTCAAAATAGAAACTCATGAGCAAAGCCAACTCAGTGCTTTTGTTTTTAACATGCTCTCATTGTCGATTAGCTGCACCTAAGGGACTGGAGTGACATTTCCATGGATCCCTTGTGCTGCTTTTTTAAATAAAATAATAAAATAAACAATTACTTCCCTTTTCCTCCTTCTATCTCCTGGCAACCACCACTTACTCCCCCTCCCCTTTTTTTATTAAGGTATTATATGTGTATAGATCTTACCATTGCCCCACCCCCACTCCCATACATGCCCTCACCCCCCCAGTATTTTGCGTCCATTGGTTATGTTTATATGCATGCATACAAGTCCTTCCTTCAGTTGATCTCTTATCTCCCCTCCTCTCCTTGTGCTGCTTTTTTTTATGTTCTTTTCTTTGCCCTAAAAGGAAATGGTATTTCCCTTCTCTTTTCTCTGCTTCCACCCCCACCTCTGAGAGATTCTCCCTACTTAGGGGAAACCTCAACACTTAATAAAGTTGAGGAGAAGAGTCCAAAACGTCTGCTGGAGCCACTTCAGCTTTTTGCGTTCTCTTGCCTTCCTCCCACTGGTTTTCTCCAGCCAGGGCTGGCATACCAGCTAGAAACATTCTTTACTGGTAACTCTGCCCATTGACATCAGCACCGACGTCCTTCTTTTTCCACTCTGAGCAGGCAGCCGTGAGCTTCCCTGGCCGCCCCTGAGTCATAGCCTCCTCTGAACTCTTTGCATGTGTGTCTTCTATATTTGGCCTGTGGCTGAAGGCCCTGTCGGCTTGTGGCCTGAGATTTCACTGCCTGCTAATTACCCATGTATATCCCGGCACGGTATGGCTGACCTTGGGAATGGACAGGGTGATGAAATGTTTCTGAGACTAGGAAGTCCCTAGTAAGGGTATAATCCCGGGGCGTGGGAGTCCTGCTCTTGCCTAGGGAATTTATTCCCGATTCCCTCCCGGTGGAGCAATCGATTCACTACTCTTACCTCTGACTCCCATGCAAGATAGGCCATAGTGAACTCTGAGGAGAGAAACTGGTCTCTGGGCAAGGCCACTCGGTGGAGAGAAGTGAAGTGGGAGGTGTGGGCCTTTCCCTGGCTGAGGGTCTGCATTTCTCCTTTTTCCCCCCCGCAGCCCTGGCCCGCCACCGCTACATGAAGCAGGCTCAGTCCCTAGGCCCTCAGATGATGGAAAAACCCCTATACTGGGGGGCGGACAGGAGCTCTCAGTTTTCATCTTATCCAATGAACCAGCTGCTTCAGCGAGGTAAACTCTGCCGAGATTCAGGGTGGGAGAGGGCAGAGGGCAAGAGTAGGAGCACGGGCTACCTCAGGGCTTTCCTGACCAATATGGTGGGCATCTTTACGATTGAGGATGGGAGGGGATGCATGCAAACTAAATAGCGTGGCATTTTGGTGCCCTGATTCCGAGGCGCGTCCTGTGAGCCAGCTTTTCTGCATGTTCTTATCCTTGTTTCCACACAGATTTGTCCATGCGATCCAGCCTCCCACAGATGCCAGTGACCCAGCCCACCACTCACCCTCCCATCGCTAACGGCGTCCTGGAATATCTGGAGAAAGAGCTGCGGAACCTCAACCCGGCCCAGCCCCTGCCCCCTAACCTCAAAGCCATCTCCGGCCAGCCCTGCAGCATGCTGTCCTCCCTGGGCTCCGAGGTCGTGGAACGCAGAATCATCCGACTGCCCCCCCTGAGAGACCTGCCATCTTCTCTGATGACCAGCAACTCCTCCCACCAGCACTGGCTCGCTCCAGTTCCCCCTGGAGGCTGGGATCTGAGGGAGGAGAGGGGGCCGCACCACCACTCTGGTTTCCACCAGGAGCTGCAGGACTGGCAGCCCCGGCGGCCCTGGGCGTTGGAAGGAAGGGAGCTGGGCCAGCTTCGGAGTGGAAGGCACCGCAGCTCCAGGCCGAACACGTCCCCCACACCCTGGTCAGACAGGGACAGCCTCAGCGACATCCCTTCGTCCAGCGAGGACCGCTGCCGCCGGTCCACCCACCTGCCTCTGAGGAGCCGCTACCCCGACAGGCCCCGCAGGCCCAGCCCCCGGGAGAGCGAGCGCAGGCACCAGAGGCGCAGGCCCCGCAGCTACTCCCCTCCCCTGCCCTTGGGATTCAGTTCTTGGAGCTCCGAGGAGGAGAAGGAGAGGCAACCCCGGAGGTGGGGGGCCCACCGCCGCCGCTCCCACTCCCCAAACTGGCCCGAGGAGAAGCCACCCAGCTACCGCTCACTGGATGTCATGCCAGGCAAGAATGGCAGGAAAAGAGGGAATGTGGAGAGGCGCTCGGTGAGCCTGGGGCATCCTGCTGAGGGTAGGGCATGGGCAGGAAGGACCCTTCAGCCAGACTTGGCTTCGGCCGACACAGGCCTCCTCACGGGCCACCGCTGAGGGTCGCTCTTCCCTGTTGTGCACAGCTGGCCCTGGCAAGCTAGAGGGGACCTAGTGAGTACCGAGGGCAAGGGAGGTGCTGGGTGCTTACAGAGGGCTTTCTCACCCTCACGTCCCCCCATTTCACAGAGGAGAAAATATGAGGCTCAGAACCAGCAAGCTCCAAGTGAGTGGTGGAGCTAGAACTCGAGCGCTGGTCTTGATGGCTAAGACTTTTACTTCCTGCCACAGCTGCTTTGCTTTACTTAGCAACTGTATTTCCGTACCCCAAATTAGAGCACCTGGCCCGACAGAGGATGTATGTGTCCCTCTAGGTGCCTCAAGTTAGTGTGCAAGGCAGTGTTGTAGTCAAGGAGAGGTCCCTGAGCCCCACCCCCTGCCACCTTCCTGGGAAAGGACCATTGAACTGATTTGGAGATATATATACACGCACACACATCATTTCTTTAATATTCAGTGAACAGGCAGGGTTGCCACAAGGTAGGAGTGAGCTTTCCAGCCGAAAAGGGATACAAAGAGGGATCGATGTAGGACTTTTGGGCCTCTGAATAAGACTTTTTTTTTTTTTCTTAAAGAAAAAGTGACTTCGAAAACTTATTTTATAATTAATATTTCCAAATTATGGTATTCTTTCAGTGTTGTCACTTTGCCAAGTTAAGCTTTCATTGCTCAAAAAATATTTCTGAAACTCCCTTCAGAACTGACTTAAAAGCTACCCACAAAAATACATTTCTCTTTTGACCAGAATCTTTCCCTGTTTCAATTCTGTTGAGATAAAGGGATACGGAGTAAGCTCTGAGAGAAGTTGCCAGAGTAGAGGGGTATTACAGGAACAAGAGTTTTAGTCTCTCATGCACTCTGAAGGATTCACCTCTTCTTCGGAAACGCAGGTTCTGCTGTAACTGGTTTAAAATCCAGTGGCATGCATGGAGTGTGCAAAGGAGCAGGCACCTATGAGAGCCACAGTGCTGGTCTTCAGAGGGGGGAACCTTGGTCGGAGAGTGAAGAAGGTAGCAAAAGCCGGCAGGCATTTCTGAAATGATCAGTGACACTTATGTCATACTCTTACAGATGTCCTCCGAGATAGCAATGGCCAGTATTAATGAAAATTAGTAGTATCCTAAGTAAGATTGAGCTCTGGACATTTATGCTACATCTCTTTCCAGCCTTACAACACCCTGTGAGATTTGTACTAATCTCACAGGGTATTGTAAGATTACTGTACTACCGTCTTCATTTTATATTGGATTCAACTCTTCCTTCCATGATACCAGTAAGAAAATCAAATCCTGAAAGAAACCACATAGTAGTCGGTTAGCGCTAGGACAACTGCTGTTACTTTAATTAGATAGTGACTAAACTGTCTCCTAACTTCATTTCAGCAGAGAAATGCAGTTTCAGAGCCAGTTTTTGGCCCTAAATCCAAACCCCATTTTCTCTTAAGGGTCTTCTTGCCTTTATTTTCTTCTAAGTAAGATTATGAGGATTCTTATAATTTAGAGAAAGGTAAAAGAAACACCAGTTATGTTCCAGACACCGGGGTAAGCCCTTTTCAATGCTTATTTCAGACTAGAGGCCCCATGCACGAAATTCATGCGAGGGGCTCAGCCCTCGCAGCCTCACCTGCCTCGTGGCCCCACGACCCTGCTGCCCCTGACATTGGTCAGTAGGGAAAGTCATTCTGGAAGGTTCTTCTACCCGTCCAGTCTAATTAGCATATTAGCTCTATTATATAGGGCTAGAGGCCCGATGCATGAAATTCGAGCAAGAGTAGGCCTGCGTTCCCACGGCTGCTGGCAGTAGCTTCCCTCTGGCACCCAGGACCTGGGCTTCCCTCCAAGCTCCAGCTTCGTGCAGGTCGTCCAGAAGGATATCCAATCTAATTAGCATATTACGCTTTTATTATTATTATAGATAATCCTGAAAAAGCTCTGTGAGGCTCACTGAGATCAAGGAACATGTCCAAAGTCACACCGTCAGGAGGGAGGGAAGCCAGAATTAGAACAGTCCTCTGACTCAGACCGGTGCCCTTTTCAGTCATGTTGTGTGGGGCAGTCATGTTTTCTGATGATTTTATTTCTTCATTTTTTGAAAGCTTTCTTTATCATTCGGATGTACACACCAATAATCCAGATGTACCCCCAAGCAACCCATATTTTTTTTATTGTAAACTTACTGATGAGAGGCAGGAATTTACTGACGGTGGTTTTAAAAGCCCTCATTGTTTTAGATGTTTCTGAGTTTATCTCCCAAAGAGCTATCACTTTACTTTAATCACGTCCCACTGTCCACTCATATTCTGAGTGATCAGAGGCCCAGGACCGAAACTTGATTTGGGAGATTGGTTGGTTCTAAAGGCACAGTGTTTTGTATGTAACTTGAATTTTGAATGCTTTTCGTTGGACCAAAGTCTTTTTCTTTTCTCCTCTGCTTGGTGGGGTTGGATGCTTTCCATACACCTCCCAGGCCTCTGAAGTCTTTGGAGCTTGCCGCTAACTTCAGAAGTTATCATACAATTGGGCCACTAGATGGTGATCTTTGATTATGTATAACGTGGAGGTTTGTTTACTCTTTGAGTTGATAAGATTTATCACTGTTTTCTTAAACCAGGCTTTCAACACTTTTCCTTCACCATAACTTTTTTACAAAATACCTAATAAAAAATACTTTATTAATGTTCAGAGCAATATAAATTTTAAAAAATCTTTTGGTGTACATGGAATCTTCTCTCTCAAGAATAACGTGTAACAAGTAGTTAACAAACAGACAAGGGCTTTCGTGTAAATGATCGTATGGGAATGCAAAACAGGTAAGAATTGTTCTCTGAACAGTGTCCAAGAGAAAAGGGAAGTTCTGTTGAGGAATCTTCCATTTGACGCCAGAACTAGGACACTAGCTGAGATCTCATTTTAGGTCCACCAAAGGCTGCAACCTCAGAAATATGAGAAGCAGTAGTCACACAGAGCTTTCAAACCCAGTGGTTTCAGTCTGAGTGGCCCCTCTGCTCTGGTCTCCTTCAAACTGATTATCTTTCTTTCCAATCCACCCAGTAAGAAAGGGCTCCTCAAGCCATTTCCGGTTTGTTCCGAACTTGGCCTGTACATACTCACTCTAAAACCTGTTCTAAAAGAAAACTAATGCATCCTTGACTCTCTAAGCTAAACTCAAACTTTCTATAGAGTATCCAGGATTTTTTTTTTTTTTTTTTACTCTTTGACTTAATAAAAAAATTATTTTGGAGCAGGATATTTCATCTTCTCCTTTCAATAAAATGTCTATTCTTTGATAATGTCTAGATTTTCCTTCAGCAAACCCTGAAAAGGTTCCCTTTGTGCCACTTTGTTGCTTTCCTTTGTGTCAGAGAGCATTCATCCCATACCTTTTTTTTTTTTTTATTAGAAACCACGTGCCTAAAACTCACTTTCCTGACTAACTGGAAACACAGAATTTCTAAGAGTATATACAATGCATTTTGAACAATATGTTTTGGGACAGATACCGTATCTTGCCATTTCAAATAAGAAAGGTTACATTCATGTACTGCAGCTGTAGATATTCAAAACCTAAATAAAACAATCCCCTACAATACAAAGTTAGAGAAATAAAAGGAATGTAAACCATAGTCCTTGCCCTTATAGAGCAAGTTGAAAAAGCCAAAAGACCAAATGAAGTTGTGTCTGAAGAAAAGCCACTGAATTTGGTCAAGAAGAGGTAATTAGTTGACCTTTGAAAAATAACTTCAGAGAAATACTAAAATATGAAGCTAGACTTTTTAGATAAGGGTTGAGAAAGAATAGTTCAGGAGTATATACATAAGAAAGGGAGATTGGGCCATGTCATGAATGAATAGGAGAGAGACCGATGAATGGAACAAGGTACCTTTTTTTCCCCCTCCCAGTTTAAGGGAGGCTTGAAGATGTTGAAAATAAAAAAGATAGAGTGAATGAGACTTCAAGAAATTTTCAGAATTAAAGATGTTTGAGGAGGCTCCAGGGAGGTAAGAGAGAAGAGAAACCCAATCCAGGAAGAAAGCCTGCCTTCATGAAGAGTTAAATATTTTTTGGTTTCAGATCTGCTGTCCCAGCAGCCACCACTCACCTAGATTTTCATCTAAATCAAAAACACCTTATGGTCAAACCGGTTTGGCTTAGTGGATAGAGCGTTGGTCTGCAGACTGGAGGGTCCCAGGTTCAATTCCTGTCAAGGACATGTACATTGGTTGAAGGCACATCCCCAGTGGAGGGTGTGCAGGAGGCAGCTAGTCGATGTTTCTAGCTCTCTGTCCCTCTCCCTTCCTCTCTGTGGAAAAAAAAAATAATCAATAAAAATAAATTTTAAAAAAAAACACCTTATATATTATATGCATAGAAAATAAAAGCCAACTAAGTAAATTTTTCTGTTCTTCTATTCCTCAGGAGAAAGACAGCTCTCATAGTGGAAGAAGTGTGGTCATTTAGTCACCGGATGCAGCACTACTTCTGTGGTGACTCTCGGCTCCTGCACATCGTCAGTATCGCCTACTCTTCCAGGAGACGTGGGAAGGACAATGCAAGTCTGTATCTTACCACTTTGGGCTTAGATTCTGAGAATCAAATAGGAGAATTTTAAAAGTAAGAGTTTTAGAAATTAATGACTTCATTGCAGCCTTGGTTCACACTCTCTGAATATTTAGATAGTCTCTGACTTGTAATGGACCCAAATGAGATGTGATTCCTCAAGAACTTACTTGCCTGAGTCCTCAGCGAGGTTACACTACTGAGAACCATGGCCATTCTCAAAGTGTGAACTCAGGAATCTTTAAGAAAAAAGTCAAACGTGTCAGGAGCAGGAAATCTATGGAGTATGATAGGATAATTTCCATGGGTACTTCTCTCTATAGCATATCTAGAGGGTCCCTCCCACCTTGCTGCCCAGTCCCAAGTGCCCCTGAGGGCCCAGTAAGAGATGGCACAGGAAATACTCCCAACAGAGTGCTCTCTTATGAGCCCATTTATTCCAAGTGTAGCAGAAAAGCAGTCTTGCACTATCTTGTTTTCCTTTTGTTTGTTTTATGTTTTTGCTGATATCTAATTTATATTTTTGTATATGGTATATATCTATTAAAATCGCTTTAAAGGTTTCTTGGGAACAACAGAGTATATAAATAAGAAGGAAATAAAATGTACCGGTGTGCGGATTCTGCCCCAAATAAATACCTACTTTGTTGCATTTGACTGGATGAAGCCTTCTTCCCACCTAAAGCTCAGAGAAGAGCCAGGGCGCCCTGAGGAGTTCTGGAGCCGCCTTTCTCCTGGCACCCCTCAGTCTTCACGAGCAGAACCTTCCAGGCAGGTTTGGCCCCTCAGAATCCCAGAAGAAGGGGCTGTACCTTCCCTATGATAAGCTCTACCACTCCCTCCTATTTTCCCCAGGACCCTTGGTGGCTTCATGAATCCATCTGTGCTTGATGTAGACACCCTCCTGGGGAACATTGGAAGGATGTGACCTGTGAGAAGGCGTGTGTGTGTGTGTGTGTGTGTGTGTGTGTGTGTTCCTCAACAGTATCTTTATGTGTATGGCGCCAAGCTCAATGTAGATCCTATTGTGTTGACATAACAATTTCCCCCCTACTCTCATTAATTCTTTTTTTTTTTTAATATTTTTTATTTATTCTTGACAAAGAGGAATTGAGAAGGATAGAGAGTTAGAAACATCGATCAGCTGCCTCCTGCGCACCTCCCCCTGGGGATGTGCCTGCAACCAAAGTACGTGCCCTTGACAGGAATCGAACCCGGGACCCTTCAGTCCACTGACCGATGCTCTATCCACTGAGCCAAACCGGTTTCGGCCTCATTAATTCTTTGTTGGAAAAATAAGCTAAATGCCAGCTTTGGGCAAAAGTGCCTTGGTATTTTTTATTTCCATAATGTAATTAAGTGCAAATTTAATAGGTAATTAAAACATCAAATTCAGTAGGTGAGGGATTTCTGGTCAGGGCAAAATGGCATAGATTCCCCCCCCCCCCCCCGCTTCTTCTTGCTTAGCACACCTTTATAAATCCTGAAAGTGGCACAAGAAGTAAAGAAAAATTCTAATGGTGCTAAAAAGAAGACAGGCTGGTTTGGGAACTCGGGACCAGAAGAACAACACAAAAGGCAGGTCATCTTGTGTCCCTCGATCAATAGCAGATGGTCAGCCAGACCTGGCATTTTCCGACTTTCCACATAGCAATAAAAGGTATCTCAGCCCATTCGTCCCCTGGATCTAGTGGAAGACCCTCTGACGACCTCAGGGGAAGAAGCAGCTGGGAGCCTTGCCAAAAATAAGGCATGCATTTTCCTTCCCTATTGGGCCTGAGAATCCTCTTTTCCGTGGAGAGATACTGAGGTAAGTATGAGGAACCAGTAAGAGTGAACCAAGAAAAACAGCTGGCCCAAGTAGGACAGTCTCTTTGTTCCCAAGGGTCGGAGACTTTCCTCCCCTGCTCAGAGATACTAGGGCTGACAGGGGGAACAAGAAAGAAAGCATCTGTCAGTTAGAAACCCTGTAGCTACCAGCTTGGTCCCAGAAAGGCACTTTGTCTCCATGGAACTGAGACTCTCTTTTTCATATGAATTGTGTGCCCTGGTTCAGGCTTTAGACTTTCCTAAAATCTCTCAAACAAGCAGCAGCTAGCATCAGTATGCCTAATACCACTCAATAAGAGGCCCCAGGCTCAGCACTAGCAGCAACCTGCCTTGCTTCACAGCTCAGCCTCTCCTGGGCACTTCCAATCTGAACACAAGTAGCAGCCATCTGCGGATCACTCTGTAGCTCCTGATGGGTGGCCCTAAGCAAGGCACAGATAAGGGATGACTTTGTGCCCTCAGGGGACCCAAGAGCCAGTGCACCTGGTAGACAGCTTCAGACTATGCCAGATTACAGCTCTACATATCCACAAGTATCACACTGAAGGGACAGCACCAAAGCCCCACTGAAGCAACTCTTACTCTATAATAGTGTCCCCTGCGTAACAGCTCTTCCACTGTAGTCACAGCTGAGGGGTCAATTTCTCCCAGTGATGCCAACAGCAATCAAGGCTCAACTACCAGATAGTGCACACAGCCCACACAGGGGTGCACATGAGGCCCAGCTCAGGGGACTAGGGAGGCTGAGCCACTGGGCCCCATAGGACACCTACTACACAAGGCCACTCTACTAATTCTAGGAGACATAGCAATTCTCTCTAATGCATAGAAACAAACACAGGGAAACAAACAAAATGCGCAAAGAAATGTCACCAATGAAAGAATAGAAGAAAAAATTCTCCAGAAAAAGAACTAAAGGAAATGGAATCTAGCAAACTACTGTGTACAGAGTTCAAATCAATGGTTATAAGAATGCTCAAGTATTTTAATGAGAGAGTTTCAAGGGACTTAGTGAGAATTTCAAGGAAATTAGTGAGAACAAAAAGGACCAATCAGAAATAAAGGATACACTAACTGAAATAAAGAATAATTTACAAGGAATCAACAGTAGATTGGAGGGGGCCAAGAATCAAACCAACGATCCTATCTAATAAAAGAGTACTATACAGCCGAAACCGGTTTGGCTCAATGGCTTGGGGACTAAAAGGTCCCGGGTTCAATTCCGGTCAAGTGCACATACCTTGATTGAGGGCATATCCCCAGTAGGGGGTGTGCAAGAGGCAGCTGATCAATGACTCTTTCTCATCAATGTTTCTAACTCTCTATCTCTCTCTCTTCCTCTCTGTACAAAATCAATAAAATATATTTTTAAAAAGAAGAAAATAATTAAAAAAAAAAAAAGACTACTATACAGATTGACCATCACTCCAACACACAAGATGGCTGCCCCCATGCGGTCAAAGATCCTGCCTCCAGGTGGACACAAGATGGCTGCCACAAGATGGCAAGCAGGGGAGGGCAGTTAGGAGGGACCCAGGCCTGCAGGGGGAGAGCAGTTGGGAGGGACCAGGCCTGCAGGGGAGGGAAGTTAGGGGTGACCAGGCTTGCAGGGGAGGGCAGTTAGGCATCAATCAGGCTGGCAGGGGAGTGGTTAGGAGGTGATCAGGCTGGCAGGCAAAAATGATTAGGGGCAATTAGGAAGGCAGGCAGACAAGCAGTTGGGAGCTAGTAATCCTGGATTGTAAAAGGGCCTAAATGGGCAGTTGGACATTCCTCAAAGAGTCCCAGATTGGAGAGGATGTAGGGTTAAACTGAGGGACACCTACCCTTGTGCACAAATTTCATGCACCAGGCTTCTAGTTTGGAATATAAGCAAGCAAAAAATACTCAACCAGAACAGCAAAAAGAAAAAGGAATCCAAAAATATGAAGATAGTGTAAGAAGGCTCTGGGACAACTTCAAGTGTACCTACATTTGCATCATGGCACTGTTTTAGCACTGCCATGGAGGCAGGAAGGTTCCTGCCACTGCTGCTGTGCTTGCCAGTCTTAAGTGAGTCCGGCTTCTGGCTGAGCAGCACTCTTGCTGTTGGCAATTGTGGCATTGACCACCAAGGGGAAGCTCCTTCATTGGCGGTCAGTGTGTGTCCTGGTGACCAGTCATTCTGCCAATCATTCCACCATTTGGTTTGGTCAATTTGCATATTAAGGTTTTATATAGGTAGTGCAGCTTCAAGCTACAAGTGTGACAGGAAAAAGGGAGGGAAGGGTCTACAGACTGGCTCTAAGTCCGATAAGAAGGTAGCTAATCTTCTATGATGTTACAAATAGCTCAGCCTGTTCCTGGGACCAGAAAATGGTCATCATTCCTGAGGCAAACTCTTAAGAGGGGAGAAGGGAGGTGTCAGCATCCTGGCACAGCAACCAAATCAAAGCATGTCCTGTCCTTGGTCAGTTCTCAAAATGCATTTATCTGAGTAATGGACCCAGCGAGGCATCTTATCTTTTTACAGCCTTATTTCATCCTCCAGTTTCCCAGGGTCTGTTAGAAAACTTCTTATCTCTAGTTAGAGAGGTGAATACTTATTAAAAAATTGTGTCTCCATTCTTATTACATGCCCTTCCCCACTATCATTATGACAAGCATGTCCTTGGGGCAGGGATGTCTCAGTAGTTAATACATAATAAATCCACTCTGACATTCTCATCTCCCTAAATATTTCTATTCCTTCCTCTACAAGTAAGAGGATCATTATGTTTATATGGATAAAGAAAACTTTTTGTGAAGCTAAGGCCTTCTGGTGAACATTCACATAGGACACGCATATTCTCACACTGTGAGTTCATGCTGAGAGATCCCTTCACATAACTCTTTCTCCAGAACAACCTGTTACAAATACTCACCCCTTTTACGTCCCTGCCAAATCATTAGCCCAGATCTATGTCTTATAATGGAGCTGCTCTGCAGGCATCTCAACTCAGCATAGGCCAAAAGTGAATCCAACAAAAAGAGAAAATAGTAGAACTCTACCAACTGTGTGACAGCACATTGAGTCTAGAATCTCTGTTAAGTGCACCTACATAATAATAAACTGACATTTATTTTCTTCCATCTCTGGTCTGGTACACTCATAATTAGGTTTCATGTATATTCCTCAGGTTCTTGCTGATAAACTTTAGTGCAATTTTGTAATTCTTGCCATGCAGCCCTCTTGCTCCCAAATTAGACTTGGCAATTGGCCCCATGGATGTTTTAGAATTTGTCTACAGTTACAGATATGGAGGCAATGAAGGAGAGTGGAGCAGGACATAAGGAGAATTGGTACTCACTTGCCAAGAAAGCACCTCAAATGGGATAACTACATGGTCTTTAAGCAAGGCAGGATCATCCTCCGTCATGGAAGGTAAAAGGCTTCTTTTGCTGTAACAGAGGTTCTGTGGTGTTTGAGTTAGCAGTTACTTGGAGTCATCTGAATCCTTCCAGGGTGCCCATCTCAATTCTTGAGTCCCATTCTTTCCCATTTGGTATCCTGTCCCATTATCTTCCTTACTTTTCCCCGAATGTCTGCCCTCTTGTCTGTTTTTGTCTCTTTCTATTGCTCTTTTTTTTTTTCCTTTCTTTTAAGCAGTTTCGCTTTTTCTCTCTGTATTTGCTCATCTGTCTTTTCTGCTGACCACTTTGTGTGGATTCTAATTCTGACCCAGTGTAACTTTTGCTTATACAAAGTTGCCATGATGCCAACACCCCTACCCGCAACAACCTACACACCTTTCAGTTAAAGTGCCCTCACTCTCTGAACTTTTGTCTCAATTCTAAATTCTTGAGGGACTTTGATGGACTCACTTTGCCAAAGTCCACCCTTGGTCCAAACTCTAAGGATGACAGCGTTACTTAGTACCCAGGATTTCCCTTTTTCTGGGTTGTGGTTGGAGATTTTCTCTAAGAGAAGGATTTGAGTAGGGAGGATCCAGTCCAATCATAGTGTCCTCCTTGCTCTTCCTCAATGTGACGTTACTTCTTCAAGGCCTTTGCACTCTCTACAGTCTTGACAGTCAGGCAAGGTAAGTGAGGTAAGTATGCACACAGGTAAGGTAGATCATTCATCTTTGTTTTTCCAGCATCTAACTTAGTGAATGGCATATAGTAGGACTCAAACGTGCATTAGGATAAACAATAGCTCTCTTAAAACACTGGAGATGTTAGCCAACCACATGGTTAGCATATAAGCCTTCATTTGTGATGATTTGCCCAAACATCTAATGTTACCTGTATTAACAGATGGGTATTGTTTGGAGAAAGGCTGATCCTATTATAGTTCTTTTTTTAAAAAAATATTTTATTGATTTTTTACAGAGAGGAAGAGAGAGACAGATAGAGAGCTAGAAACGTCGACGAGAGAGAAACATCGACCAGCTGCCTCCTGCACACCCCCAACCAGGGATGTGCCCGCAACCAACGTACATGCCCCTGACCGGAATCGAACCCGGGACCCTTCAGTCCGCAGACCGACGCTCTACCACTGAGCCAAACCGGTTTCGGCTGATCCTCGTTCTTCTGGTCAGACCACTTCTAGAATGTTGTAGTTGGCTCTAGATAACACATATGAAGAGGGATTCTGATCTACTGGTGCATTTCAGACAAAAGATATTTTTCAGAAGAGGAAACACGGGGTAGTGCAAGGAGAGATGATGGCCCGTGAGGAGCAGCTGGAGAAACTGAGAATCTTTAGCCTGATGAACACCCACTAGGGAGGAGAGGTGAAAGCTCTCCACAAATAGCAAACAGTCTGCAACATGAAAGAAGGGGTTACTCTTATTCTTGTTAGCTAGAAAGAAAAGAACCAAGGTGATAAGAGGTTTCAGAGAAGAAGCTGTAGTTGGGTATACTTAAGAATTCCCTAAACTAGTGTTCTGCAGAACACTACACCACGTTTAGCTAGACTAAATATTACTGTGTAGTTGGAAGCTGTGAGGATTAGGCAACTGTGGCATATTGTGTGCAAAAAGGTAAAGGATAATATATGACAGTGGTCAGCAAACTCATTAGTCAACAGAGCAGCAAACCGCAGCTCACAAGTCGCATGAGGCTCTCACTTGTTTGCTGACCACTGGGCTATATAAAGTGTTTTTACTGCAGTGTTTCTCAGAATCTTTCATATACAAACGTTAAGAAAAAGTTATAATATGCCCCATTCCCCAAATACATTTGTCCATACAAACGTTTATTCACCGAGCTCTGTTAACATCTCTTCAAACAATATTTCATTGACCAGATTGAGTTTTAAAGCTGCTCTGATTCACATTAAGATATAGCATCTGGGAAAACTGGATGGTGCTGCGGTCACTTCAGTACTTCTGAAACCTTGGTCACTAAAACTAAAGTATATGACGTTTGGGAAATTGGAGCAACTTCTCTTACTTGTTATGTCTACAGTGTGAAATGTAACATAGTTCTAAATGAGAATAATGGACCAAAACCAATAAAAATGAGGCTCTCTCATAAAGTGGTTCTGAACTTTTCTTCCTAGCAATACATTGTAATGATATTCCCATTTCTGCCCAAGGATTCATTTATTATGTGCAAGGTAATATTTCTCACCTTTTCATTAACACAGAAACAAACAAGCAAAAAACCTTCATGTTCTACCTACCTGCCTCCCCGCCTCCAGATTGTGCTAGGATCCTCAAAAGGAACCATTCCCCTCCATTGAGCATCACCGTTTTAGAAGTTTGAACCTATAGTATTAATATTACTTTTTAATAAGAAAGAAATTCTTATTTAAAAATTTAAAAATTGTGAGGTATTTAAAAATTGTGAGGAAAGTTAGACAAGAAAAATCAAAATGAAGCCACTTGTTGAGGCTGACGGGAATAAAATAAAAAAGGAAGATGGATTCATAAAAATATTGCTGTTATTAAATATTTGTTGCAATAAGCAAGACATGATGTAATAATGAGAAAAAGTTGACCCAACAACATTGAAATGTCAGGGTTTCAAAATTATAATTAGTGTCTATACAGCTGTCCACAGGACATAAGTCAGAGCTGAAGCATTGTGGTCACTAAGAAGAATGTGTACTGCAGAAGAGGGATTCATCAGGATTTCCACAATTTATACCCATTCAACATATCCAAATTATTCTCAGAACCAGATTACCAATGTGTACTATCTTTAATTTGATTTCCAAATATCTATCATTGCTGAAAAAGGAATGTTTGGGTTGGTGAATAAAATAGTATAATTATAAGAAAGATATATCTTCTCCTTTGTTAATAAAATGTCAGTCTGTTATTCTGTACTGAAAAATGTACTAATGTTTTATCAAACTTGGATAGTTGATAAGCCAGATCCTAGACCAGATCACACAGATATACCAATTCTTGGTCTTGTGAATAATTCAATTACATTGCTTATGAAGCAACTTGAAATACCATCTCTCTCTTATTCTGCAATTTTGCCCCTAAATCAGCACCTCAAAAAGTGGGGTCTTCCATTCTAAATAGCAGGTAAAGGAATTCCCACATAATTGTGCGTACTCAGAGAGACTAATCTCAATTATACATTTGTGTTTTCTTGGCCATTTGGAGACACCAGGCTAGCTTCACCAACACAACACACGGTTTACTGAGTTCATTGATAGATGGGAAGATGTAGAGCCTCAGGGGCCTCGCTCTAGAACTGCCTCTATCATGGGAGAAAAGTGGAGGAGACCAGCTCATATATGATGCCACCCCACTCCCCTAATCAAATGGGAGGAAAAAATGCTTGAAGTTCAGAGATGCCCAAGGCCAGAGTCAAGAATCTGGAACCTGAGCAGAGTCCCAGAAGTCATTAGAGCTTTGTGTTCTTGATCTCCAGGGTCATTGTGTTCTCTTGGATATGGGGAATCTTCTTAGCTGCTGGCTCCTGAATATCCTCTGGCTTTAGAGGAACATAGTAGTAGCTCATGATGGAGAAGATCAGTCAGACCAGCAGCAGGAGACAGGAAAACAAAGTGAACTCAACCCACTGCAGGAAGAAATATATATATAAGAAAATAAATATGGGGAAATCTAAAACTAAAGGGATCTTCAAAGGCAAGAACTGAGGAGATTGACCCAGGCTCACCATTTAGGCAGAGGTTTGCTAGAAGAAGACTGGGTTCACTGATCTTTCCTCCCATGAGTATATGGTGGATATTACTGATACTTACATATGTCTATTTTTCTAGCAAAGTCTGTGTGCATATAACTCATTTCTCATGGGGAATGTGGAAGACAGAGGGATGGAGGAGGAGGAAAAAGAGGAATCTGAAAGGGGATGCCTTGAAAAGGTACTAGCTCCTCTTTCTCTTGGATCCATACCTGTACCAGGTCGCTGAACTGTGCCACAGTAAGCACAATGAAATTGCCAACTCCAATCGTCAACAACCAGGCTGCCTGGAGTACAGATTTCATGCTAGAGGGAGCCTAGAGAGGACACAAGTTTGTCAGTAAACAACATTCCTACACCACCCTCAGGCCGCATGCATCTATCCAGAAAACCTCTTCCACAAAAGTTTCCAGAGTCAACTTTTCCACTGGTTCAGCTATCACAATGATTCAAGGGATATTCATTATGTTAATATTAATATCAGAATGGAGCTCTTATTAATTAAATATTTTAACTTAGATTATACAATCTGGATCTACATGGGAATCATATAAGAATGATGTATAAGGAATCTAGGGCCAAAATATATGAAGGTCTTGGCCAGATCACATATCTATTTAAGGCAGTGCCAGGAAAATAATTCGCCATCTTTTAAGGCCCCATCTCCTCCTCTATTTCCCGCTTGCAAAAACCTACCTGAGAATAAGAAAATTCAAGTCCTGTGACAGAGAACATGACCTCCCCAGCTGTCACCAGCACATATTGTGGTAGCTGCCAAGCAATGGATATTTTGTTGGTTGGAATGTCTTCTGTCTTCCAAGCATGGGGACCCTGATGGGTGCTCTTAGTGAGGGAAAGAAGAAATTGGTCTGTCAGCAGTCTCAAGTAAATAGTCCTCACCTACAGCATTCTATGATCTTATATCCATCCCATCTTTATATTTTCATCCTTTTGCTACCTTCAAGAGATTGAGCAATTGCTACAGTTTCAGGGTTTGTTTGTTTTTTGTTTTGTTTTATTGTTTGTTTTTTTGTTTTGTTTTTGTTTTGAAATTTCTTTTGGTAACACTGCACTCACTTGCCTGACTTTGGATATAGACTTAATGTAGTCCTTAAGTGGCAAAATATTTTGTTATTGTATGTCAAAATGACAAATAATCTTTGTTTCCTTAGGACCATAATGAGACTGAAGGAGACCATGTCACCTCGTAGCAATGACTCAAGATAAATTAGTTCTTCCATTTTCCCAGACCCTGTACCTGCTGCCAATGATATCTATTTTTATGTCCCATATGGAGACCTCAGTCATAAAGTCACTAGAATCTATCATCTTACACTGGAAATAAGTATGTGATCCTATCTCTTCCTTCTTTAGATTCCAGAATAGACACAGACATAGATACAGCTACATGGTAGGAGCGTACAGGGTGACCATGAGCTACTTACATTAGTAATAACAAACAGATAAGCTGTACCAAAGTTTAGTAGACCCAAATTCAGTGAAAAGTCATCATCGTCTGTTTTACAATGCACTGCAGGGTATCTGGAACAGGAGGATTTTAAGTTAGAATAAATATCACAGCTTAGAAAGGCACCCCATTATCACAAAAAAGAATGATCTCATCTCTTTATTGATAGTGAATCGAGCAGCAAAACCACTCATTTCTCTTAAAGAGAGAATTCTCAAGGAGTAAATTATTTTCATGCCAGATTTTTCTACCCCTGGTCTGAGCCCCTATTGTCTATCTGGTATCTTTTTTTTTTTTTTTTAACTTAAACCTGAATAAAGAAGGCACAAATCATCGTCTTTTGTGGATACCAGGCTCTTAAGTCTTATTAATTTTCCTCAGCATAAAATGGTGAACCAAAAAGGATAAGCCTGAAATACTGATGTGCCAATAGGCAATACCAAAGGACAGAAGTGGGAGTCCATAATAAACTTTACAAACCTCCCAGAGATGGGCCTTAGTAATTCTACAGTAAGGCCTTCATAGCAATCATGATCTTAATATACCTGTGTAGAGAAAGGTGAGACTAAGGGAAGGTGGCAAGGGTCAAAAAAAAAAAAAAAAAAAAAGAGCTGGAGTCTGTGTATACTCAAGATTAGCCAAGATATACCTACTATCTTGATATACCGCCACCTATATGCAAAGGACACATTTTAAAATTTGTTGATAAAAGTAAAATGTCCCAAGGGTAATGAATGTACTTACTCTCCTATCTGTACAGTTCTGTAAGCAGACACATCGTAGTCTTCAGCAACATTAAGTGAGATATCTGTACCCAGGTTGATGTTGACCTCTTTATGTAAAGTATTAAGGAACCTAAGGGTAGAGACAGGGTTACAGATCAGACAAACCTTCCCAAGCAACAACACATGATAAAAGGGTAGGGGCCTTTTCTTTTGTTTGCCATTATATCCCAGTGCCTGGTACATAAAGGGCACATCATTGTGTATTATTAACTGAATGAATAAATCAACTCAAATGTAAAAAGTATCAGTAGTCTTAGCTGTCCCTAACATTCTCATTTCTAAGGGAATACCTTTCTATCTGCCACACCCTCACCTGATCTCTAGCTGGATGGACACTATCATGATAACCCATGGCAGTCGGAGCTTCCTCATTAATCCAGCTTAGGTTCATCCAATATCTTTCCCTCAAAATGGTGGGGTTCACCAACTGATACTCCATTAAGAAAAATGATTATGTACATAGAAATATGTATGCTCAAACCTCAGAGGGAAGGTAGGAGAGGGTGGGGTTAAGGAAGAGAGATCAACCAAAGGACTTGTATGCATGCATATAAGCATAACCAAGAATTTGTGTGTGTGGTGGGGGGGTGGCAATGCGGGGATAAGGACACAAATAAAGGACACCTTCAACAATAAGGGGGAGGGGGGTGGCGAACCTGATTCTTTGTCTTCTTATAAACAATTTGACTTATGCAAACTCAGACTCCCAGCCTATAATAGGTCATCATTGTTGTGCAGTGGAGTCTGCAGACAATCCTGGACTCTTCTAGCATGATCTTTTTAGTCATCTGAATCTAGGCCTGTAAGTATGGGTTTTAGATACATTTCTATTTTGATAGCTTATGCTTTTGTCTTTGGCCCATGGGATAAAAAGATAAATTCTCTCTGGAATCCTTAACGTTGACTCCTGGACTTTATATTTTTATTTTTATTTTAAATATATTTTATTGATTTTGTACAGAGAGGAAGGGAGAGGGATAGAGAGTTAGAAACATCGATGAGAGTCATCAATCAGCTGCCTCTTGCACACCCCGCACTGGGAATATGCCCGCAACCAAGGTACATGCCCTTGACCTGAATCGAACCCGGGACCTTTCAGTCCGCAAGCCGACACTCTATCCATTGAGCCACTCCTGGACTTTTTAAATAATCCTGCACTAATCTAGAAATTTCCCCTTCCATCTCTTCTGAAAGTTCCTGTGGCTCTCCAATCCAGGAAGGTCCTATCAACTCTTAACAGCAACCACCTAATCTTGATGGCCATAGGCATGTGCGTCTGTCCATTTCAAGTCAGATTCCTGCCACAGAAAGCAGGTGACCTCTTCAGAGTCCCATCTCTGTAATTGCCCCAGGCTGTCTGACAAGACCTTCAGACTTTTCTGAATTCACAACCAAGTCTTTTTGACTCCAAAATGTATCACCTTCAATTACACCAAGATGCCTCTATAAGTTTAAAATAAAAACTATACTTTACTTTAAAAACACAGTAAAAAGAGATGCTCAACTACCAACAATGAGGCATTATTTGCTTACATCTAAATTTCTCTCTGGTCATCAGAAAGAGGAAAGTACTGAGTTACTTTCCTGAGAACACGATAAGGGATAAAATCCCGTAAAGGAAATGTATGCATCAGAGCACAGGAGACATACACAGACACACAGACATCTTTGAATGCCACATGGGAAAGTAAGCCTATCTGCTCTGTGTCTTGGAAAGTGCCTTCTGACACTTATGCCCCTGACACTTCAGGAGAGAATCCCTGCGCAAGACAAATAGAATGTTAGGACTCATTATTCGAAGCCCCTCAGATCAGAAGAGGCCCAAGACTCATGAGAACAGAGTAGCCTGGGGTTTCCTTGACATCCAAACCTCACGGCTGTCATCCCATTGGTTGTTATGTTTTCCTCATCCTTCACCTTAAACAGAGGAAAATAAAAATCAGTTACAGCTGATAACAGGGAACCAATAATCAGAAAATTTTAGCATTAGTCATATCCTTGATAAGCTATTGATGAGCCAGTCATCACACTCAGATAACAATTTGGAACCAAGACCACTCCTCAACTTACCATCATGCTGGAAACACTTTCTCCATCTTCTCGAATGATCAGACTGTACCATTTCTTCTCCTCCACAGAATGCTCAGTGTAGACAGACAAATTGTGATATTTCAGGTGGAAGTGAAAATCCTGGCTTTTTGTCTTCAGGTGAAGTTTGGAATACTGTGGCATTTTCTGTAGAATGAAAAACCTGTCACACTCACCTTCTACCCCATTTTGGACATCATAGTGTCTCAACATTATATCTGTTAAGCTAGTCATTCCATTTTTAGGAATATACCATAGGAGTAATTAGAGGGATGCATAAATATTCATGAGTAAAATATTCATCATAGGATTTACATATTATAATACTTTCATTACAATAACTTCTGATTTTAAAATTGTTGCCATTTTACAGATGCTTAAACTGAAGTTCAGAGATACAATAACTTGTTCAGAGTCTTATAGCTAGGGAGTGTCAGAACTGGAATTGGACAAGGACAGTTTTACTCCACAAATGCATAATATAGTTAACCACAATATTATGCTGCTGTTTTGGTGCATAATCAGAATGTGTTTCTAATTCTTCCAAGTCCATATCTCACCTGAAAAGATTTGATGGACTCTGGCAACAAAGAATTATTGTCATCTCCTATCACTGTCACCTTCACCTCATCATCTGCCACATTCAAGACTTGTAGGAAAATCTCTTGGGGACCTGGCTGGGGTGGAGCCATTGCCTTAGGACAGAGAACACATGTCAGAATCACTAACAAACAACCCTGTGGATACAAAGAGAACAGACATCTCAGTCCTATCTCTGATAGCCTAGTCCAGTGGTCGACAAACTCATTAGTCAATAGAGCCAAATATCAACAGTACAATGATTGAAATTTCTTTTGGGAGCCAAATTTTTAAACTTAAACTTCTTCTAATGCCACTTCTTCAAACTAGGACTGGCCAAGGCAGTGGTATTTTGTGAAAGAGCCACACTCAAGGGGCCAAAGAACCTCATCTGGCTTGCGAGCCGTAGTTTGCCAACCACAAGCCTAATCCATCTAAGTCAGGATAACACAGTTTTCTCCCACTAAAGACCATTTAGCTTAGGAAACTCTGAAATCAGTCTGGAAGAGGAAACACCAGCTCAATGCAGCAAACATAGATGTCAGGTAACAAAGTTCATACTTTTTGACTCAGCTATGGCCTCATACATCATTACCCATTAGTGGCCATTCATTCTGCCAAAGGGTATTTGTGTAAGTATCTGGTAAGTTATCATATAAGCTAGTGTTTCCAAAGAGATGGTTGGATACCTTGATATAAGTGTTTGGAAATTCCTTGACAAAATATTCTGAATCACTCAGGTGGGAGCTGAGCCTTCTTTTCATTGCTGCTCTACCTCTGTACCTACTAATTTATCATAAATACTAGAGGCCCTGTGCACAAACTTCATGCATGGTATGGGGGTAGAGCTGCCCTCAATTCGGCCTGCATCCTCTCCAATCTGGGATCCCTTTGGTGATGTCCAATTGCTGGTTTAGGCCTGATTGCTCCAGTATCAGGCCTAAACCAGCAGTCAGACATCCCTCTCACAATCCAGGCTCTTAACCACTTGCCTGCCTGCCTACCTGCCTGATTACCCCCAACCATTTCTGCCTTCCAGCCTGATTGTCCCCTAACTGTTCCCCTGCTGGCCTGATTGCCCTCCCCTGGCAGCCTGATTGCCCACAACTTCCCTCCCCTGCTGCGACCGGCCTCCTCCGCCAGGACCCGCCTCCTCCACCTGTGCAGAGCTGTGGGAACCCTAGGCTTTATCGCATAGAGCAGCCACTGGGCCCCGCCTCTAAGTGCGAGTGGCCATCTTGTGATGACCATCTTGTGATGACGTCGTGTGAGGGTGTAATGCCACCTAGGCTTTTATTATATAGGATGCGTTATGCACCTTCTTTCAGACTGGTACTATTTTAGGTCCCAGGGAATCAGAAGAGTGAAGAAGATAGATAGGGTCCTGTACTCATGGAGCTTAGAATTTATTGAACTTACATTAATTCTTGTCTCTACAACTGCCACAACTGCAAATGCCAGGCACGCTAGGATCATACCAACAGCCATTTTCCTAAGTGATCTGCAGAGGAGAGGGAGAGACATTTATATCTAAACTTTAGAGTTTAAAGGATAAAATCCAAACCCCCTAGGCCTACCATTAAAGACCTTTCCTGATTTGGCCCCAATTACTTTCCAGAGTGTTTCCTAGAACTTCTCTTCTCACATATTTTCTTCTCCCTTTACTTGAGTCACGTTGAATGGTTCTCTGTAATGCACCACATTCCCCACATCTACCTTTGTTTATGTTTTTTTCTATACATCATGTCATAATAACAAAAATAATAGTATGCAGTCAGATTAATTGAACATTCACCATCTGCCAGGCACTATATATTATTACTTCATTTTCCTCTTGTTCAGAAGTTTTTCTTGACCCTGTCAGCAGACTTCTAACACTTCCCTGGCACTTTGCTCCATTATTAGGGCACTAACATATTTTACCTCATGTAATAATTATGTGGCATATGTTCCACCTCCTTATTAAACAGTAAACCTCTTGAGGGCAAGATTTGTGCCCTCATTTGCATGGCGTGGTGCTGAACCCACTTCAATGAATGAGTAAATGATAAAAGGCCATTTGAATATGGTAAAGTGGTCATTAAATGGAAATTGCTATTAAATAGGGAATTAGACGAAGCTTAAAATACTCTGTCAAACTAAACAATGAATAGCAAACACTTTTATGGGAGAAAAGCAGTAAATAGGGACCATTCTATCCCCACTCTTACCAGGTCCCCTTACTTGTTTTATAGGGACAGTGGGAGATTTAAAGGGATTCATTGTCATCAAAGGCTTTAGACTTCTTTGAAGAGGCAATATTCAAGAACAAAGCAAAAAATTGGTTTAGGAGACCATTCTCATATACTCTTGAGTTTCCATGAAACTTTAGACATATCCCTTCAACATTGCACAGTTCAGTGAACAGTAATGGCTTAGACTGTCTACAATAAGAATTAATTCATTCTAATTCTCATCCTCTTGTATTAATGCTATGTAGCCTAACGTGGATAAATAGAACCAGGGGAAAAAACAAACAAACACTATAAACCAAAACAAGTCATCACTAAGTAGAAAACTACTGACATTGAATCTTAATCAAACGGGGCAAAGATTGAGTCAGTCTGGAGGAATATAGGCATAAGGAGCACTTACGATAAGTTAATTCCACACTTGGAGACCAGAGGATAAATGACAAGATCAAACAATGGGATGAAGATAAGAACCAGGAGGGGATTTAGTACCTGAAATACCATGGTAAAAAAGATTAGTTACAAGTGTTCTCCTATCATAAGTGTGAGCATGTGCTCTTACTTGCTTTTGCACATCCTTTCTCACATCCAAAGACATTTTTCTCATACAAAGTACAAGATGATTCCATATCTCTTAGATTCTCTACACCTAAGACTCTATTTCCCTTGCATAGCACCGTAGTTTCCAGATATCCCAAGGAACCAGTTTCACTCTGAACCTGTTTTTCTGTCAATCAATTGGGTGTTCCAATTTTCACTTGTCATCTCCATTTCCACAGCCCAAAGGAAAATGTCATGGCCAGGAGAAACAGAAGGAAGAATTGGGGGTTATTGAACAAAGGGTTAAAAAAAAATAAAAGGAATAAGAGTTACTAAAGAACAGAGATTCTGATTTGGTTGCTCATACAACAAAGCTTTCTACTTTCTTTGACATTTCCATTATACTGTGCCAGGGAAAAAAGTTCAATGCGTATACTTTTCCTGTGAGCTCAAAACTTACTCTCCCTGGAGTTGAGTGGGAGCTACTTACTTAACAGAAGATGTAAAAGAGAAAGTGTGGAGTTTAAGGAGAATATTTTCATCCCTATGCTTAGCACTCTACAGCATACAAGGAAAAAATAACATCAAATTATGGTTGGCAATCCTAATACTACAGGTAGAGGTATAAATGAGGAAAGAAATAAGTTCCCATGACTACAAAGAAGTACCCTACCTGCATCTGGTCCGGCTGAAGCACAATAAAACCCTGAAACATTATAATAAATTAAATTTAGAGGTGGCCAACGACAAGAAAAGCCTAAATCAACAGTCTTGGTAATTAACAGGCAATAAACATACTAGTAAGTTAAAATTCACCAGGTCTTTGGTTCAGCCACTATCATGCTTGTAAGGTTTGTGGGCTGAACAGAGTGTTAATGGCTTCAGGTTATTTGCTAGTATATTCTAGGTACTAATCTTTCCTTAACCTAGGAGAGCATAGTCAGTGTGTTTCTATTCATCTCAGTAACTGCAATTGTTGGTAGTAATTATGTGAAGGACAAGCTATCTGCTTTATGGTAAAGATTTCCACTGATACACAGAGTTCTCCAAGGGGTCAACAGGAGGGCAATCATGGTAAATCCTGGACAACCAGAGGAAGGAAAAGGGTAAAATTATATTTGACAGGCTGCAAAGAGGCTGGCTAATAAGACTCTACCCTCTTCACAACTGTGATGGCAAAAAAAATAAGACAACAATCTAGAAAGTGGAATAATTGAGAGCAGAGATGGAACTTTATGTGAGTTTGCCAAATAATGGAGGATGGAAAAAAAGATAAAATGCTTACAACTTTCCCAATTTTTCTATATCCATGTACAAAATATTCCATATGCAGGTCCCCTGCTGTGAATCTTGACTGTGATGGGGCCAGTCGTGGACTAGCCCCATACAACCTGCCTCTGCTGGGCGGGGCAGGCTTAGATGGAAGAAAACCATCCCTATCCCAGGTCTGTATCCCTTTGTTATCCTCTCCATACTTCCTCGTACACACTTAACCCTTTCCCAGACGTTGGTTCCTGATTTCTAAAGGTAAGATTCTGGGTTTTATTTCTAGACGAGATTTCTTATTTTGCCTACTCAGAGTTTGCATGCTAAAGGCACCTGCCTTAGGACCTTCAGTCCATATTCAGGCAAAAACACAAAGAAATTAATTTTCTCCAACTATGGATTATAAAGAAAATAACAGACTTCTCTGGAAACATCTCTTCAACTCACCAAATTCCTGTCCATCCTGGTGGCTTGCAAGGTCCACCGTGAACCCTAGGGCAGACGGATGCTGTTAGCAGAAATCCCTTTTCTGTGAGAGGGTAGGGGTTGGAAGAAAGGGAGGTGGGGAGCTTTCAAAAGAAGTATTCTTACCTGCTGTTCCAGAAGAGCCCAGAACATGGGCAATGGGATATAGAGGAACAGTATCCTGGTCAGTGCCTTAACATCCATAATGAGCTGCTTCTGCAACACAAGGGAAAGGAGGAACAGGCTAACGTGGTAGGCATGGTTTTCATGCTTGGAGTAGAGGTAGCCCAGAACAGTAAGAGAGGAGATTCAATGCCACAGGAGGGAATCGGTTTGGATATCGGGAGAGATGTTACAGAGATATTTATACAATATTTCTGAAACTCCAACTTACTGGATATTTCTCAGCTGCCCAGTCCAGCCAATGCTGTCGCTTTGGAATGTCCCCAGAACGGTTCTTGAAACGGTTGGAGATAGCAAACTAGGGCAGAGCATAGACCTCAGAGGAGAGACAAAAAGAAACCATCCCCTACCTTTTTCAGTTCATCATCCCTTCTCCGAAACAGACATACTTCAAGTGACTTATTCCAATGCTTTGATTTACTCAGACATTGAATTCAAAGTATTTCAGATACAATTTTATTTATTCTTATGTCTTTTGAAAATTTTAATTATTTCCATCATCATTTGTTCTCCCTGTACTCTTTTCCACCTCCACCCTTCTCCACCCTACAGCCACCACACTGTTGTTCCTGTCAATGAGTTCTTTCTCTCATTTTCTCTATTTTGCTCAATCCCTCCACCCCACCCCCACTCTCCCTTATTGCCAACAGTTGTCATCCTGCTCTGATTGCTATTTCACTTAGCATAATGCTCTCCAGGTCCATCCATACTGTCACAAAGGGTAACATTTTCTTCTTTTTTACGGCTGGGAAGTATTACATTTTGTAAATGGACCAATGCTGTTTTATCCATTCATCTACTGATGGACACTTATAACTATATTTCAGAAGATTTTTTTTCCAAATTAAAAAATGATTAATTTTTTTCTTTTTTACTTAGTAGTTAAGTAGGGGCACAGAGGAAGACTGAGTAATCTCAGTTTTCCAAAAGGCACAGATATAGAACAGAGGTCACTGAGAAAAAATGTATGTTTGAAGGTCTCTATGCTCAGCATAGCATCTCTTTGTCTTTGATTGAAAAAGGCAGGTAAACAATTCATGGACTTACCCAGATACATTTGATAACTTGAGTCACTATGTTTCCTTCCGGAGGTGTTTTTTTGTACATTTTGCTTCCCATTGCAAACACAACTGCAGTTGATACACAAACAAGGTTCTTAGCTTCTCTCATTTAGCACATTCAGTACCCAAGGCTAAGGACAGACTGCTGATGTGTAGGAGTGACTAGCAGATCATCTCATCAAGGGAGGAACCTCACTTATCCCTTCCTGACTTGAGAGTTATAAAAGTTATACAAAGAATTAAATGGTCAATTGTTAAAAGAGATATCTGTCGAGACTTTTCTGTAGTCACAGAAATGGAGGTCATCTTTGAGTTCTCACTCTTTTTTTCTCCATCTCCACAAAAACCTGATAAGTTGCCAGCTTCCATTGATCCTCTTGCTTCACTCAGCTGCCTCTTTTCCACTATCATTGCTACAACTCTTATTTGACATCACAGCTTCTACCCTGGGTTATTAAAATGGCCATCATCTAGTTCCTCAGTCCCTGGTCTATTCTTCCCTTTATCTGATGTCAAATTAAAACTCTCTTCTCAGGGCCTACCTAACAAACCCAAGCCCCTGGCATGAATATCATCCCAAATTAATCATTGTCTTGATAGTTATTATTATTGCTATCTATTGAAGGTTTATTCTTATATGTAAAGTGTTAAGTATTTTACATACATGAGCTGATATAACCTGACAAAATATGTACTATTCTCTCCACTTTACACATGAAGAAATAGACGATTAAAGGAATTAAGCACCAGGTACAAGGTTACAAAGCTAGAAGTTGCTAGAAACTGCAATTTAGACCTGAGGCCTGTCTGATTCAAAAATATATGCTCTTAAATATCAGAAAGCTTCTCATTCATTCATTCTTGCAGTAAACCTAGATACTACTAAGAATAAAGTTTAAAAAAAAGACATGGCCTCTGTCCACATGTAACTCACCTCAGCTTACCATTTCCCACTTTATATTTTATTATAGAGAGTACCGTATTTTCCGGTGTATAAGACGACCCCTAATTTTACAGTTAAAACATAGGTTTAGGCCTATATTTGCTGTATAAGACTACCCCCCACTTCCGAGGCAACATCAGTTCTTTTTTTAATAGACCACCTCTCTAACTCTGCCAACCCAAGCAGGCTTTCTATGCATGCAAATTATACATGTCCTGTACCCGAAGCTACACTGTGTTCTAATAAAAAGCCTGCTCAGATTGGCCAGAGTCAGAGAGGCGGTCTATTAAAAAAAAGAACTGGTGTTGCCTCGGAAGTGGGGGGTAGTCTTATACAGCGAATAAAGGCCTAAACCTATGTTTTAACTGTAAAAATTAGGGGGTCGTCTTTTACGCCAGAAAATACGGTAATGTTCTAACCACTATTCATCATTCCTACAAAAAAATTCTCTTCTGTACTATTTCTGTTCTTAAACTTATTCTTTTCCCTTAATCTACATTTTTATTATTTAATCACATCCCCTCAGCTAATTGTAGACACATTTTATTTTCTTACTTTTCCTTATACTTTCCAAATAATCAGTGATGAGCTGATAATACTTTTATAATTATAAAGTGCTTTTGATTCAAGTTTATTAAATTTAGCTAAAATCAATGGGGAGACTGCAGCGTAGATATACTTTCTTCCTCAAGGGATTTTCCTGCTCCAGCAAGATGTCCCTCTAGCAGACCATTTACCAAAGATGCCTTGTCAGTAGCATTTTCCAATATCCTTACACACAAGAATGCCTAAATTGCCTTAATTTTACCGTACTTAACTTTTTGATTTCCCCATGCCTCTCTGTCAGATTCAGGCTACCACCTTTTCTTTATTTATCCTCCATTTCCCCCATGCTCCTCCAAACAGCACTCTTTACAATTATAACCTTCTTATTGTTGATAGGGGGGGGGGGGGGAAATGGTTCAGGAAAAGAATGCTAACTCTGGGTAACAAAATGGGCAAATAAAGAGGTGTCTAGGCAAAGGAAGATTTTGGATAGGGAATAAACTGCCCCTGAGGCTAAGAATGATCCTAGAAAGAGGCTGGAATCTCAGGAATCTGATCTCAACAGTGACATTGGAATGATGAAAGAAAGGCCAGGTATTCAACTCAAAAAGGTTACATTTAAACTTCAAGGCTACTTTTAAAGAAGATGAGTAGGGACCTTAAGTTTCTAGTATCTTCTCCTTGTGGATGTAAGAAATGTCCAAATCTGTAGGGAATGGTATGAGTTCATTTGAGCCAAATTGATGACAATGCCAGGAAGCAAGATTTCAAATGTTCTGGAGAATGACAGTCATGTGGTTTCTTATATACATTTGGGATTGAGAAGGGGACATAAAGAATTTTACATACAAATGGAGAAAGCAAGGCATGGATTGGATTACAAATTAGCAAGATTATGTGCTCCTCTGAGAGTGATTACACCTTTGAGGGGTCTGGGAAAGAGGCATTTCAAAGTTGTATTAACCTAGATGCACAAAAACAATGGACAGGGCTTGTGGAAGGCAAAGATAACATTTTACTAAAGCAGTTATATGCCTGGCCAGTTAGGAATGTATGACCAGATAACTCTGGGGGTTACTTTTAGTTACTGAACATGTCAAATTTATTATAGAAACCCTTTTCATCATATCCCTCATGTTGCCTCTTATGTCTTGAAAATGGAAACTCCCCGATCTTCCTGCCATCAAACCTATTTCCTATATCCACACTCATCTTCTCCTTCCTCCAGTTATGGGAAAGTAATGTTCTTCCTCCTGTACAAAGGTAATCCTTATGTGTGCTTTCATACTGATTTTATTATCTTCAACCTCTTTCTCTAATGGAGTCTTCCCAATAATATTTAAACATGCTTCATACCCTCTCTTGACTCCGTGTCACCTTAGAGCTATAAATACTGTTTTTCCTTTCCTACTTAAAATTTAGTAGTATTGCCGGGACCAGTTTGGCTCAGTGGATAGAGCGTCGGCCTGCAGACTGAAAGGTCCCGGGTTCGATTCCGGTCAAGGGCATGTACCTTGGTTGCGGGCATATCCCCAGTAGGGGGTGTGCAAGAGGCAGCTGGTGGATGACTCTCTCTCATCGATGTTTCTAGCTCTCTATCTCTCTCCCTTCCTCTCTGTACAAAATCAATAAAATATATATATTTTTAAATTTAGTAGTATTTTATATATTATATATATATTTCTATTTTATACAGAAATATTATATATATTTCAGCGAGGAATGGAGATGGAGAGAGAGATAGAAACAGCAATGATCAGAGAAAATCATTGATCAGCTGCCTCCTGCATGCCCCTAACTGGGGATCCAGCCTGCAACCCAGGCATCTGCCCTGGCTAGGAATTGAACCATGACCGCCTGGTTCATAGGTCAATGTTCAACCTCTGATCCATGCCAGCCAGGCCTTTTTTCCTATTTCTTATTCACTTCCCAATCTTTTCCAATTAATTTTAAATCTCCACCAATATTCCATAACTGATGTCATCAAATTAATGACCTTCTTGTTGCTATATTTTATGTACATTTTTTACCTTAACTCAATTTCTCATTCAATGACATTTGTCACAGAATGATTTCCTTTCTTCTTAAAATATCCTTGGAACTCAAGAGAGTACTACTGCCACTTTGGCCATTCCTTTATATCATTTGTGAGCCTTTCCTTTAAATGCTGGTATTTCTCGGGGTTTTATCCTAGCCTTCCTTTTGCTTTATTCTTTTTTTTTTTTTTAATATATTTTATTGATTTTTACAGAGAGGAAAGAAGAAGGATAGGAAGCTAGAAAAGTCGATGAGAGAGAAACATAGACCAGCTGCCTCTTACACACCCCCTACTGGGGATGTGCCCGCAGCCAAGGTACATGCCCTTGACCGGAATCGAACCTGGGACCTTTCAGTCTGCAGGCCAACACTCTATCCACTGAGCCAAACCGGTTTCGGCTTGCTTTATTCTTATTATCTCTTAGTTATTTTCACTATTTTCACGGCTTAATTGCTATACTTAAACTCATAGCTCTAGATATTTCTCTATAACCCAACATTTATTCTGAGCTCTAAACCTGTACTTACAAATAACTGCTTGGAACTCTATATGTTACAAGATCTAAAATGTAACATATTCAAAACTAAATTCATTGGTATTGGCCCAAACCTGTTCTTCTTCATTATTATCTTAGCTAATAACCCCACTCTCTACCCAGCTGCTCAAAGTCAGAACCCTCACTTCACATTTTGTATAAATTCAAGTTTTATCAATTCCACCAAGTGAGACAAGGTGAGCTGAGTGAGGCATTCACCTTGAGCACAAAATTTAATGAAGTGCCAAAACTTCAGTAATCAAGATAAACAGTATTCTTCACTCACCTTTAACCCACCCTTTGCCCGCATTAGTTACTGAAAAATAATAATCTGACAGTCATTCCTTTGTTCAAAATCTTTTTGTAGCTCTTCACTCTTCTCTCCTGATAATGTTCTAATTCTTAAGTTGCTTAAAGAATTAGAACTCTCATTAACTGGTTTCTGTCTATTTCTCAATTTTCCTCATTTATGTGCCAGGCGATCTGAATCCTTTTAATATCTTTGAATATGTCATACTAACTCTCACTTCCTTGTCTTACAGATACCATGTCTTATTTCTGTTTCACTTCCAATCTCTTCTCTGATTAATTGCTGTTAGTTCTTTAGTTCTCCCCTTAGATGTCATTTCTTTAGGAAAACGTTTTTTGACCCTCAAAGTCTTAGTCAGGCATCCCTCTTCTGTGTTCCTATAGCTTTTTATATACTTCCCCAGTTGTGACACTGACCGTACTATTTTGTCTGCTTGTTTGTCCTTCTTCCTGCTAGACTATATAAGTTTTTTGAAAGCATGAACTGTAGTTGTGTCATGCACCAATGTGACCCCAGTATCTAACACAGAATCTGACACATAATAGGTGCATTAAATAAATGTTTGGTTGAATGAATATATTTTCAAAAATTGATTAATTAAAATATAGTGAAAGGCCAGAGGACTAAGTTATTTATTAGAACCAAGAAAAGTGAAGCAGCTGACTAGTAATTATAGCTATACTTGCTTAGCTTTCATAATTTATTTTTAAAATTTCCCTTGCAGCATCTCTTTTGGTTTCATAATTACTCTAGGTAAACATCATTATTCAACAATAATCCAGAGAAGAAGACATAGTCCTAATCACTGGAAAACCAGGAAACTATTTGGGAAAATGTTTGGCTTCAAAAGGAGAAGGAAGCAGTATTATCATAGCTCTCCTGAAGAACACGAGCATTTCGTTGGAAGTGGAATTGGAATCTAAGTGTTACTATTAGCCACCTCCTGATAGAAAACAATCACACCGAACATTGTGAGACTCTGGGCTCTTTTTCCTCTATTGAGTTTTTATGTGTCTTAACTGGACATCTTCCAAGGGGGTGTTACCCAAAGGCTCAGAGTGAGAACAGGTTTCCAGGTCAGTGATTAGAAACAATCATGTCCAAATTTCTCATCACATTGCATAAACTAAGCAACTCCTTTCCTCTTTCATTACTGGGCTCTTGGTGGTAAAGAGAATGCCACTTGATCTAAGTTGCATGAGTCACCACCTACTTATCCAACTCCTCTTATTCTCTTGGCTCCTCATATTCTCAGTGCTCCTTGGGAGAACTGCAGAGCAGGGCAGAAACAGCTAAACCCAGAAGTGACTTTATAAGTCTCAAAGAGTTAAATGTATCTTTCAATTACCCAGTGAAATAAACTAGTTTGAGAGAAAGGGTTATCTTCCATGCTTCCCCACATGTTGTAGAGACGACACATAAGAATTATCTAGATATTTTAAAAAGTACAGATGCTCAGGCCCTATTCCACAAAGAAACTAATTTAGTTGGACCTACATCAAGCCCATGGCTCAGTTAGTTTTTTAAAAGCTCTCTAGGAAGATTTCTTCTTATTAGTTGTGTAACCTTGAGCACCTTTTAAAAAAGGTTTTTTACTTCAGTGAATTTATCTCCAATGTTTAGGGGAAACCCCTACAGTAACACTTACCTAAAAGAGTCTGAGAAATGGGTAAAATCATTTGTGTAAAGTGCTTACCCGGGGCCTTACATTGGCCAGCATCTGTGGTTATTACTTTCCTCGGCCCCACTGGACTTACCAAGAGCTATCAGCATAAGTAATCCTGGAACTCCAAAAGCCAGTGCATAGCAGTCTTCCCCGAAACACTGCACATCTCCTAAAGAAGAAGAAAAAAAAAAAAAAGCAATCCTGAATCTTGAGTCCTTGATGCTCTGCAAGCTCAAGTTTTTCAGGCTGTAGACGTAGACATCCACAATCTTTTTTTGCGGAGGTCAGACAAATCAAGATTGAAAGAGATTATCTCAGGTTTTCGAATCCTTATAAGAGGATGTACAGCAAGAAGTCTTGGACAGATTTTTTGTCTGGCCGAGTAAAGCTTTATTGAGGGCCCCTCTGAAAAGATTCTAACCTCTTAGCATAGGCGTGACAAATGTAGAAATTAAGCTCCCTGCATTGATGGAGAGGTAGAAGACTGAGAAATATCTTCTCCGTTCCTCTTCCTGAAACAAATAGGAAACATTATCAGTTCAATATAACTCTTAGCTGCACTTGACCCAAAGTTCATATTCAGCGAGAAGCACATATACTTAGACTTGAGACCTGTCTGACCATATACAAACATTTACCCATCTTTCAAACCTGGCTCACCACATATAAACATTTACTCATCTTTCAAACTCTAGTTTAAACACACATCTTTAACATTCTTTTACCCCTTTACCTAGACCAAAAATAATCATCCTGTATACTATGCCATTACTGTGTTCTATATACTAGATATATAGTAGTATATCTATTATAATATTATTTTTATTTAATGTCTGTTTCTTTCAGTAGGTTGTGAGTGCCTTTAGGACAGAAATGTGTTAACTCATTCCTGCAATCCCCACTGTCTCCTATAAGACCTGCATAAATTACAAACTAAATAGATATTTATTGACCAAATTAAGCAAAGGATTGATTGAGTTAAAGAAAATATTTTGTGGAATGTGTGGCAAGACTAGCATTAGAACATAGGACAGCGAAGTAAACTGCTGATCAAGTAATTTACCAGTGCTTATGGGAAGTCTGCCAGAGAGTATAAAAGGAAGCTGATGAAAACTTGGAGATGGGTTTATCCTATGATTAAATATCTTTGTTACCAAATGAAGCAATTTTCAAATAAAGTTGCTAATGCTTTATTCATTGCGTACTGCTCTGCTTCATTTTGGCACCCCGCATCTTTTTCTGACACAGGACAATCTGTCCTTCCCATTTTCTATTTTATAGTGTATTTCACTTCTTCTTCTGCTCCCTATTTAAACCTTATTTCACATACATATTTGTATAATTCATAATGAACAAAATCCCACTTGCCAAAGTTTTGTTATTTCTCCAAATTCAGTAAGCAATTATGAACTCTGGACCTCCAGACATATAAAGAATACCAAATGATTGCTAAAATGGTCTGAAGGATAGAAGACTATTTGAGTTAAGACCACAGGAAGATAAAACACAGAGAAAACAGAGAGAGAAAAACTAGAAGCATGATAAATATCTATAGAAGAGGGAATATATACATGAAGACAGACCAAAAAAGAAAACTGAGAGCAAAAAACAAAGTCAGAAAATTCGGCTGATCTAAGAATAGACAGTTCCCCTTGCTTAGTTCTCACTACTTCCTTATACAAGTTCAATTTTACTTCTTTTATATTGGTTTCCCTCCCATTGACAATGTAAAATATTTAGGAAAAGAGAAAATGTTCATACATACCAGTGATTTTCAAATTTTTTCATCTCATTGCACACATAAACTGTTAAAATTACCAAAATTCTGCAGCACACCAAAAAATATATTTTTTTTACCAATCTGACACACACACATAAAATAGATATAATCTTGATTCGTTCATACCAGATGACTATTGTGTTGGCTGTTGTTATTTTTTTATTTGACAATCTAAAGGAAAGAGGTCAGTACTCCTGACTAAATAGTCAGACATTGCATGTTTATAAAATTATTGTGACACATTGATTGAAAACCCCGGATCTAGACAAGTTCATCTAAAGAAACTCATTCTGCTTGGTCACTTTGCCCTTTCATAGAATCTCAAAGTTAAAGAGACTTAAATCATCTTTATACTACTCATCCCCTCCCATTCCCAAAATGCTTACGACATTTTTTCCTAAATACTTCAAGTGAGTGTAAATTCACTACTTCAAAACTCTATTTGAAGTTTTTCTTTCTTTCAAGCAAAAAGCTAGTTTCCTATAGTTTTCACTCATTGGTCTCAGGCTTAATTCCTGACATCTGTCCAAAACCTATAGAAAGCTATATTTTTCATTCTTATTGAGGCTAACTATCTACATTTCCCTCAACTTTTCTTCATAATTTTTTTTAGTACATATACCACCCTGGTCACTTTCTTTTGAACATTTTTCAGTTTTTCTCTCTATTAATGACCCATACCCAAAATGGAACATAACTCCTCAGATATCATCTCACCAATGTTGACAAATGGCTATCTGCCAGGTACCTCTTTTAACATCTGCTCTGCACTCTTAGAAATACAGGATTAACAGGACTCTTACATGTGTTTTTTCAAACTGGTCTCCACCAAAAGCTGCCACACAGGGTTTGATACCTCCTGTTCCCAAAGCTATTAGACTCAGGCCGCCCAATGATAGGACTCTGAAATGAAGAGGCAAGGACACTAACCATATTGATATTAAACGTAACAAGTAGAAACTGAATATAGAGCTACAAGGGGGGGGGGGGGGATGTATATAAGGATAAAGATCCCTTTACATTTCTAACCTGTAAGCACTTTCCATCTGTCTTCACTCCTAGGAAAGACTTAGGGGTACTTAAGAGCTTTGTGAACCTTGAGTCTCTGCCAGTATTTATTACATGGGAGGATTTTGTCCCTGACATTTCCATTTATCCCTTGTGTACAACAAATATAAGTAGGTACTGAAGCAACTTCAAAATTAAAACTCTGGTTATCAATTTTGTCTTAGTCGAAGAGACACTTGAATAGGAAGACCTTATGAACCCTTATCCCATATACCATTACTGAATACAAAACAAAATGTTGAAATTCATCATAATTATTAGAAGTGTCATTGATTTTTAATGGGACAACAATAAGGGGGTATCTAATATTTGTTAAATTTCAAACAAAGTTCTTAACTCACTAGATGAATACGTGTATAGGCACATTATAAACATGAATACATATGACCTGGTTCATGAACAATTGTAATCCTCTTTGTTGACTGAACCAACAGACTTCAAAAGCGATAAAATATTTCTTGCCTCATAAACATCAGTAGTTTTAGTAAAAATGGATAGAGCAACTGCGATATATGCAACCACATGTAAATGGAAAATATCCAAGCTTGAATATGACTTCTACAATGAATTATAAGGAAATGTTACAGACATATTTTTTAGCCCTGGTAAAGTACAGATGCATGAATGGATGCATAGGTGAGAGAATATGGAGGACATAACAGTTTTAAGCATACGATGAGTTTTTATGAAGATGATACCAACTAGGCATCCTAAAAGTCCCCAAATATTTAATAAAAACAAATGAATTCAGATAAAGTATGAAAGAGTTCAACTGGTAAATAACTTTTTCTTAACGAATTTAGTAATAAAACAACAGTAGGCTGTAAAATAAAGGGATATCTCTGGTAAGAAAACAGAAAATAATCTGTAATAAAAGCATAACAGGTTTACCTAATGGAAGAAAAATAGATCAGTTTATTCCATGATTTTACTCACGTGTGTACCATGTGTCCCCCCAGTATTGGTAAGGCTCCCAAGGACTTGATCACATGGCCAAGTACATACACCAAGGATAGATACATAATTGTCCTGTTGAGAGAGTTAAATTAGTAAATCCAAACAGAATTCAGAGACTTAAGCAATTCAGACTCAGAGTTCATACTATTCTCAGTGCCAGAATAAATAAAGTGAAAAGAGAAAGGGGTGGAGGAGGAAAAAATTTCCTGAGAAATGCAAATAGAAGTAATAATGGTAAATGAAGTAACTAGACTAGAAAAAGAGAGAGGAACTCTTCGCCTTGAGTGTTAGAGGTAATGGACATTCCCTTCAAGCTCCTTTCTTGTGTATTATAACACCTCCTCTTTCCCCCTTACTCTCCTCACACACAGAGCATTGCTGCTCTGGTACAGATATGTCGAGGCCAGAGAAAAATTTGTAGTGAGTGATGATGTTTTAAAGTCAGAGAACCAGAAGAAGAGGATACTTTGAGGTGTTTTTCCCAAGGACTATCTTTGGCTCCAGAAATAGACAAGGGTAAAGGAAAAACTCTAATTTGGCTCAGTGGATAGAGCATCAGCTTGCTGACTGAAAGGTCCCAGGTTCGATTCTGGTCAAGGGCATGTATCTTGGTTGCGGGCACATCCCCAGTAGGGGGTGTGCAGGAGGCAGCTGATCGATGATTCTCTCTCATCGATGTTTCTAACTCTCTATCCCTCTCTCTTCCTCTTTGTAAAAAGTCAATAAAATATATATTTTTTAAAAAGATATATAGAGAGGTAAAGGGTTCTGAGGTTCAGCTTAGTCATTTGAACACTTGGTTTAATTGTAATATCTGCCAAAGTTGCTTCATGGGCAATTTAACCAAGAGTGAAAAAAATGAGCCACAGAGTCTAAATAGACTTGCCAGTGATAAAGATCATGCAGCTGGTAGGGACTGCCTGTTGTTTTGTTTTCCCTAGAAATCTGAATGGCAATTAGAAAGCAGAAGAGTGCAGAATTCTGGTAAGGACATATGTAGAACTATAAACATTGAAATAAGGCATACAGCCACATTTATATTACACTTTTTATGTATATCACCACACTAGCAATCTCTTTCTATATAAGTAGAATGTAAGTTCTAGAAGGAACCTTGGAAATTAAATACTAGTAGTTTACGTCTGTGATTTTAAAATATTATATGCTAATGTGGAATATAAATAATGGAATGAAGGTATCAGAGAGAGGCTGAAGATACCAGAAACTTAGGATGTGGATTTCTTATTTTAAATATCTAATCTTCCTAAGTTGGCTTTCCAGGGAAGGAATCTTAGAAGGTTTATAACAGCAAGTAGGGGATAAAAGTTGGGTGACTAATTAATATCACAAGAAGAGGCCAGGGTTTCGCAAAACATTTTGTAGGGCCTTCTAGAGAAAAGTTCTCTGTGTTGGAATAAAAGGAAAAAATAGAAAAAATTGGAATAAAAAAGGGACTGAAAAAAGGCCAGCTCTCATAAGCCCAAAAGAGATGATCTATGTTAGATCATCAGACAGAAAAATCAAAAGGAGTCTGAGCTGGAGTAATAGAGTCTGAGTAGGGAGATCAGAGAAATATCAAATTATTGGACTAAATTAATAAGAGAAGTGTAAGTGCTGTAAAAGGAAAATAGGCAACTTTTCAGGTAATAGACTCAGGGAATTAGTCTAGGATATGAAAAACATAAGAGAGGAATCTAATGGCAGGAAATTAGCTGAAGGAGAAAAAAAGTCGAGAAAGACATGGAAAGCCCACATTTGAAATGAGATCACTGGAATCATTATAATTTAAACCATATAACACAGAACTGTTTTAAATAGACTTGACCTAGCTTCCATTTGCAAATGAAGAAAATGGAATCCAAAGAGACAAAGGGCAGTCTTAAAGTGATATTTCAATTAGTATTTGCATTAGGTCCAGAACTTCTACTTTCTAACTCATAGTCCAGTGTTCCTTCAGGTTTATTGTGATCAGGTTAATGTGGAAAAAGAAAAGGAAATAGATCTTTTAAATTTTACCAGAGGTAATTTTAATCAGAGCTTAGGAACTGAAGGGTATGTGTAGTGATAACAAAGGAAGATACTTAGTGCGAAGGGAGCAATTTCCGACCAGACAAATAAAGATAAGAAAGGGGAGGAAATGCTGTAGACTCACTAAGGAGAAAGAGAAAGGAGAAGTGTAGAGAGGACATCCAAAAGCATATTTGACAATAAACACATTTAAGAGAGTGGTTGTGATTGCCAAGTCCAGACTGATAGGTATAGGTCACAGGGTATAGAAAACCAATACTAGGGATAAAAGTCATCTTCATGCTTGCCCACAGCTAGCTTCATATGTAGAACTATCAACGTTGAAATAAGGCATACAGCCACATATATAACACATTTATTAGGTATATCAGCACACTAGCCTACATTTGAGTATTTGAAGGTGAATAAATTTACTAGTTGAATCAGGAAGTCTTCTAGGTGCTGTGGATAAAAATATATATGAGACCTTATTTTCTCTTCAGAAGAAAATATTAGACTTATACACAAATAATTATAATAAGATAGAATTTGATAAATGTCATATGAGGGGGAAAAAATAAAAGTTCAGAGAAGATTAGGTTACTTCTGACTAGTAGTAAGAGTGAGGGGCAGAGAATAATCCATAACAGAGGTAGCCTTTGAACTGAGCCTTACAGGATTTGGAGGAAGGAAATTCCATGAAGTCGAAATAGTGCAAACAGACATAGAAAAGATATGCACTGACTATTGTTAGGGGAACATTAGTAGTATTCAGTTTTTCTTTAGTAAACAGTCTTGAAAGGGAGTGTGACAATAAGAGCAGGAAGGTCAGTGAGGATGAGTCAGCAGAAATTTTTGAGCAGAGTAGCAATGTGAACAGAGATTTCTTTCAGGAAGATTATTTTGGCAGTCATGTATAGGCTCAATTGTAAGAAAAGGATATGGTAGGCTGTGATGACATTGTACTTACCCAGTTCAATAGCCCAATTTAGAGGTAATGAAGACCAAAACACAAGTTGTGGCAATTAATGGCAGTGAGATTCACTGTTGAAGAGGGATAAATGTGAGAGATATTATAGAAATAGAATTGGTAGAACTTGATAACTGATTGAATGTGAGTGTATAGGTTTGGGAAGTGAGGATAAGGTGGAACATCCAGGAAATGAATGGCACTATGCAGTTGTGAGATTATAGAGTTGGAGGAGCTATCTGCATATTGCTAATATTGACACCATAGGATCTGAAAAAAAGAATTTGGGGAAATAGAAGACAGTAAAAAATATACCCTGGGGAATTGCCTACATTCAGAAAAGAGTGATGTAAACAAAAGCCAAAAAAGTCAAATAAGGAAGAGTTCAAAAAAGTGTGACAAAAAAAAATCAGAAAATGCAGTGTTAGAGAAGCTCTGGAAGTTTCAAGAATATAGGAGCAATAAACAGACTAAAATGTTAAAATAAGTTCAAAGTGAAAAAGAATCTAGAAAAGACTGTTGGAATTTGTCAACAAAGAGATCACTATCACCTTAGCTGGTTTTTCTCAGTGGTTAGAACATTGGCTCGAGGACCAAAGGGTCTTGGGTTCAATTTCCAGTCAAGGGTATGTATTTTGCAGGAGCCAACAAATCACTATGTCCCTCTCACATCAATGTTTCTCTCTCTCTCTCTCTCTCTCTCTCTCTCTCTCTCTCTCTCTCTCTTCCCGTCTCTCTAAAAATCAATAAAAAAATATCCTCTGGTGAGGATTTTTTTAAAAGAGAGAGATCACTATCCTTAGAGAGAGGAATTTCAATAGGATAAAGAGATGATTTATGCTACATTTTATTGTACTTACCACAATCCGCTGCTCTTCATTAACAGCAGTTGAATATGAACAGTGTGAAACAGGTATTTGTGTCTTACTCATTTCTTTACTCCCCATGCTTATTTTAATAAATGGAAGTTTGATAAACATTTATTGAATTAAATTCTATCAGATCAAATTGAATTGAATTGGATTCTACTACATTATATCATATTACTCTGCCCTCAAAAGTGATAATGAAGAGTGAGAAAGGAAGGCAACAAATATAAATGATTTTTTTTAAATTGGAGGTAATGGTAATAAGACAAAGAAGACAGTTTGAAAGGAGGGTCAACAATAGTCTTGTTTGTTTAAAGCTCTCAGAGATTTGAACAGGCTTCTAGGTACAGGAAAAGACCATCTCTATGGGAGAATTTGAAGGCGAGAGAGAGGAACATTGAGAGTATAAAAACTCTAGGGAAGGTAAGCTAGGTAATGGTGACAAATATGTAAAAATTCATCAAGCTTTACACTAAGACTTCTGGATTTTTGTACTTTATTTTAATTATACCTCAATAAAAGTAATTTAAAAAAATAAAGAATACTTCAAAAAGGTTTGAGATTGAAGCCATAAGTAGAGGAAGCTATTGTTCACCATATCCCAGAAGTATACTTCAACTTTAAAGGAAATCATTTTAAAAAATCAATAGAATAACTGGTTATATATGTGAGTCTTTTATTCTATAACTGAATAGAGACCATAGCTTATGCTTTTTATTCTGCACATAGTGCCAACTCCCTATTTGGATGGGCTTGGTAGCTAATACTATAGAAGGAGCAAACATAGTAGATCTCAGCTACCTACATACCATCCCCATGTCAAGTAAAAAACAAACTGTTTAGTACTTTACACATAGTTTGTAGCTATTATAAAGCGCTGATTAAATACTTTAGAAAAATTACTATATAAAGGCCAAAGTGATATATTATATAAACCAGTGTTTCCTAAGAGATTTCCTTGAAACACTAGATCCATAAGATAACCTGAAAAAAATATCCTTTGGTCAAACAAGTTTGGGAAGCACTATGTGCCATAACCTTCTCTTTGAGGTTTTCAGTGCATAATAGCCTGTTAAAGGCTATAAGAAGTCATGCAGTAAAGAAACATTTTAAGCTGAGTTCAGCCTAGCATTTTTCAAACTTATTTCGCCATGAGATCTTTATCTTCTTATATAACACCCATTACTATCTTATACAGCAGATTTTCAACAGAATGTACTTTGAGAAATGCTAATTCAGATAAATGTATAGATGACAAGTCCACAGAAAATAACTGGGTGATGGATATCTAAGCTCCATCTCCAGCCTATGAGGTGAATGTTACAAAGGACAATGATAGCATTATCCTATATCCTATAAATATCTCTTGGTGCTATTTTCAGGAACTTAAAAGATACTGAACTGAACAGACCATTAGTCTAACTCCCTGGTCAGCAAACTGCAGCTTGTCAGCCACATGCAGTTCATTGGCCCCTTGAGTGTGACTCTTCCACAAAATACCACATGTGGACGTGCATGTACAGTATGATTGAAACTTCGTGGCCCATGCACAGAAGTTGGTTTTTGGCTCTCAAAAGAAATTTCAATCATTGTACTGTTGATATTTGGCTCTGTTGACTAATGAGTTTGCCAACTACTGGTCTAATTCATAAAAATGTTTAAACTCTTAAGAAGAAAACTACAGAAATAGGTTAGAGAAGAGAATAAGAGTTGGTATAAGAACTGAAAAAAGGGACTCATAGATACTAAAGGAATTGGGATGATTCAACATGGAGAAGAGATGGCGAGTATATCAAATAACTACACTGACATCTCTAAAATTATAAATGTTCTGGTGGTTAGCAATCTTTATTCCCCCTGAGATTAGAACAAGAATTAGTCTTAGTCTACAGGATAGAAGATTAAAATTAGATTTAAGAAAAACAAGAACTCCTGAGTGAAAAGGATGTGAAAATATTGGAAAAACTGATAATGAAAAGAAATATCCTTCCTATGTGTCTGTCTTAGAGAGATTCTATTTGTCATGGATGATATGGGTTGGGAAAAAAGGCTCTAAGTGGTAGCTTCTGCACAATTAATCTGTGAACTTCTGAGGGTGTGATCTTCCATCTTCCTTACTTGAATTTTCCCAACCATGAATCAGCAATGGCGGCTCCCAGAATGGGAGTGAAATAACAGAGGCTGCTGAAGGCATGGTATACAGATGTGGAAGTGTCTTCATTCCAGTGCAGGAAATACAGGAAATACAGGGTCAGCACAGCTGCGGTGAACAAAAAAAATGAAGGAAATTAAGATAGGTGCATTAAAGTGACTCATAGAAAAGAAGTACATTTGATCTGTGGTCTTTGAAGGTGATTTTCAGCTTCAACACTCCTAGCAGTGTAGTAACTGAGGAGTGGTTACCACACAGTAGAAGCAGTGCCCATCAGAGTTGTGAATGGCATAGTGCTTAGGGTACAAATGCAATACTCCTCCCTTCAGTCTATGTTCACAGATAGCATTATTTAGGCCAATCATAAAGATATTATAATATGATGCTTCTAATATTCCTTCCATCTCCTTTTCAGCAATGGTACATTCATAAAACCGAGGAACAGATATGAAGACTGGAACTCAAATGGTGAGTGTTTTCCCACTTACATTCTCACAAATTGTTATTAGGCCTTTCTATGCCTGGCCTGTATCTGTTACGAGGTGGAATCCCATAAGGCATTTATTGGAAGTCCTGGCCAAAGGAAAGGACAAATTTGGATGAAGACAGAAAGAGTGCATAAGGGAAATAAATGCATACAAGAAAACCAGATATCACAAACATGGAGTGAGGGTGCATGGAGAGGAGTAAGATTTTTGGATACAAAATTACCTTTCATTCCATAATAGGAAAAGCGCTCACAGAATTCATTTACCACAATGAAGACAATGCTCAGTGGATAGTTGGAGCCACAGATTTTCTATGAAACAGAAAAACAACAGTTCAAGCGTGAGCTTCTCACCCAGCCCTATTTAAATGCATTTCTTTTAAGTCACCATGTAAGGTAATGTGAAGCAATGATGCCTATTCTTCAAGAAACAGCTATTATCTACTAAAAGTGCTTGCATTGATTGTTGATTTAGGAGTGATAGAAGCTATTATGAACATTACTTGTTCTTCATTCATTTAATATAGAACTACTCAGACATTCCTTGATCCCAGACTCAGGATCTGGTTATCTTCCCATCACTACTAACTGAAAAGCCTGGGATTATGGGCAGAACACTTATATCTAGGAACATAATGAAGAAGTGGCTATGGATAGATAAAAACAACCCTCCTAAATTAATATACTATAGGCCCAGTGCACAAATTCATGCACCTGTGGGGTCCCTTGGCCTGGCCTGCCGGATCAGGCTGAAACCAGCTCTCCAACATCCCCCAAGGGGTCCCGGATTGCGAGAAGGTGCAGGCCGAGGGACCCACTGGTGCATGATAGGGCTAGGAAGGGATGTGGGAGGTTGGCCAGCCAGGGAAAGATCACAGAAGGGTTCCAGGGCATGCCTGACCTATCTTGCTCCATTCTGATCAGCCATACCCCAGCAGCAAGCTAACCTCCTGGTTGGAGCATCTGCCCCCTGGTGGTCAGTGCACATCATAGTGAGCAGTTGAGTGGCCTTAGCATATCATTAGCATATTATGCTTTGATTGGTTGAATGACTGACTAGAAAACCAGACATTTAGCATATTAGGCTTTTATTATATAGAACTATAGGCCCTGTACATGAAATTTGTGCCCCAGGGAGTGGGTGGAAAGTAGGGGTTGTCCTTCAGCCAGGCCCCCTCTCACAATCTGGGACCTCTGGCTCCTAACTGCTCACTTGCCTGCCTGATTACCTCTAACCACCTCTGCCTGCTGGCCTGATCGCCCCCCCCCAACTGCTCCCCTGCTGGCTTGAGTACCCCCAGTTGCCCTCCCCTGCCAGCCTGATTGCCTCTAACCACTTCTGCCTCGGCCCCCACTGTGGCTTTGTCAAGAAGGAAGCTAGAAATTTGGGAGATGTCCAGTCCACTTGATCTAATTAGCATAGATGTTTTATTAGTATAGATGTTAATGTATGATTATAACTTGCTTGAAATACACAATGAATTGACTTGTTACCTTCTCAGCTCACAGCTTGAGAATTCTGCAAGCTGAAGTTTTGTTAATATACTTTCACCATCTATGTAACATTGTCACTGGCTAAGGGAATGTGTTGACCCTGGCCATGTCACTACACCTGTCTTTATGCTTCAGGTCTGTTATTTCAATGAAATTAGAATATTACCACCTCTTGGCCCATATTAAGAACTTAGTAAATATTGTCCATGATTATTGTATCCTCTTCATGATAGGATTTTGATATGAGAATTGAAAGAGATAATGAATTTGGAAGTGTTTTAATAAGTATATAATACAAAATACCATTATTACTTCTTTGTTTTTCTACCCTTCCTCCCACTGTAAACTTGAACACATCGTAAGATACTGAATCTATTCTCAAACTTCTCTTTGTGTCCAGCTTAAGACTCTGGACACGGGGAACTAAGGGCTGCGACTTTATATTGGTAAAGAAAGAACAATCATGCACAGTTCTCTAGGACAGGAGTGCTTGCCAAGTTTCCCTGGACTTTCCCATTGCTTTTTCTTTTCTTCTCTCCGGAGAAATTCAGAATATACATACAATGAAACACAGCAAAGGCCTGGGTCTCGAATGAAAAATGTTGACTATCTCTTCCTGCTACTTTCCCTCCCCAGTAAAAGAAACCTGTTTAGGTTCTCATATTAATTCTAACCCCAAGAAAGAGTAGTTTTTAATCCCTATTACATCTCAGCCTGAAGCTCCAAGAAGCCAAGGAAGAGAACCAAAAGAGCAAGCTTGTTCCTGTCAAAGGCAGAAATGAATCTGGGAACTCACCGGAGGTGGCTTCTTTGGAAGGCTGGGAGGTGGAGGTGGTACCTCTTCGGTGGAGACAGGTGAAAAAAAAGTTTCTTTGGACTCATTTTTCTGGAAGGGATTCATAGCTGGCTCCTTACTCTCTCTCTCTCTCTCTCTTCAAGCATTTGGCTTCCGTAAGCACTTGGGACAGCTGCCAGCCTACTGTGAAAAGTGGGACTGATTGGGAGGGGAAAGAGGGTTGCTTAAGCAACTAGGTTTAACCCTGTAGGTGTTGGCTACAGCAACTGTCTGACCCAGAGAAAAGCATAAATCTATAGAAAAAGGAAGTGTTGGTTGGGTCTTAGAGACTGGTTCAAAAAAATAATTATGGTGTACAATCACTCATTTCCATTATGTTTTAGAAGATGAACTCCCAAATACTCCAGAATATATTTAGTCTTTATCAGAGGAGGAATAAGAACAGGGCTGGTGATACTAGATGATACATATTGTATTATTTTTACTAATTCAAAGAAGTAAAAAAGGGAACAAAGGAGTAGGGTGTCCTTCTAGTTTTCAGTTAAAAGAAAAAGGAAAAGAATGGTCAGAGAGCAACCAGAAAATGAGGAAAGCAACACAGAGGTTGGGAAACAGGAGAATGAATGATTTTGTCTGAGACTATGAGAGAGAACCTATGGCTCTATCCCTTGCAAAATTCTTACATTACCTATTAGAGTAATTTATTGACAAAACCAGGAAAAGTCTGGACTTTCTTCCATAAACAATTTCAGACTTTGACCGTGTCGTCCCAACTTTTTTACACACATCCCCACTCTGTCCCACAAACCTTTACCTAAAGAGTCAAGCTCCATTTCTGAATGCAGCATTAATAATTAAGCTGTAGTTATTCTTTCAGGAAATATTTCTCTTTCTAGGTTGTTAATAACCCTACATGCAAAACAAATGAAATTACTAGTCAAGTTAACCACTAGGGGCATAGCTGCCTTGAAAGGCTAATTATGTCAATGGCAACCCTGCTCTAACCTTTTACCTCTAAAACAGCATTTGACCTAGCAGAGCAGATGAAATAGTATCTGTATGCAATACACCATTTCATTTGTGCTTATAGGTACCCCAAATACCAAACTTTATTGCATTGGTTCTCTAATGCTCCTTTGTATAGATAAAATTTTTCTTTTGATTATGGCAATATAATGCTAGTATTCATAGAATCAAATAATATCAGAGATGGAAAAAATCTTAATCTTGTCCTATGTCAAGTAAACTTCCCTGATGATCATCATTTATGTTAACTTATATATGTACTAGAGGCCCAATGCATGAATTTGTGCATGGGTGGGGTCCAGCAACCTGGCACCAATCAGGGCGGATTGGGGCCAGGCCTGTCAGGAGGAGGAGACAGCAGGAGGTTGTCCAGCCAGGCCACCCTGATCAGGGCCCAATCAGGACTGGGCCGTAAGCAAATGGCCAGTGGGCTCCATCCTTAATTGGGGCTGTTTCCTCATTTTCTTGTTGCTCTCTGACAATTCTTTTCCTTTTTCTTTTAACTGAAAACTAGAAGGGCGCCTACTCCTTTGTTCCTTTTTTACTTCTTTGAATTAGTAAAAATAATACAGGCTGTGGGGAAGAACTGTGGATGGTGGTTCAGCTGGCCCAACCCCCAATTGGTGTGTGTGGAAGCGATTAGGGCAGAGCTGGCTGGGGAGTGGGGCCACAGGCCAATTGGGGTGGTAGGAGCCCATCAGGGGCAGGGCCGGCCAGGGAGAGGGGCTATAGGTGGTTGGCTGGCTGGCCCTACTCCTAATCAGGGTAGGAGCAGGGCCAGCCTGGGGGAGGGGCTGTGTGCCAATCAGGGTGGTTGGGGCCCATCGAGGATGGGGTCAGCCCAGGGGGAGGGGTTGCAGGTGATCAGGGTGGGCAGGTGATCAGGGTTGGGGATGGCCGGAGGAGGGGCCACGAGAGGTTGGCTGGTGGACCCCATCACGATCAGCCAGTTCACTGGCTGCAGTGGGCATCATAGTGACTGGTCATTCTGGCCATTGCAGTTTTCTGGTTGCTGGATTTCTATATATATATAGAATAGAGACCCGGTGCACAAATTCGTGCATGGGTGGAGTCCAGCTGGCTGCCCCCAATTGGGGGTGGGAGGCCAATTGAGGACAGGGCCAGCAAAGGAAAGGGGCCAAAGGTAGTTGACCAGCTGGCCCCACCTCCTGGTCAAACTCCTGGCTGAACTCCTGGTTGAGGGAACAATTTGCATATTAGCCTTTTATTATATAGGACTAGAGGCCCAGTGCACAAAATTCATGCATGGGTAGGGTCCCTAGGCCTGGCCAGCAATCAGGGCCGATAGGGGCCTTCTGGCTGCCAACCAGAGCCTCCCTTCATTCCATTCCGCCCCATAGTGGTCAGCTCACATCATAGTGAGGAATTGAACTCCTGGTCTTCCAGTCAAACTCTTGAGGAGACACTTTGCATATTAGCCTTTTATATATATAGATTCTTATATACACACACACACACAAACAAAAATATACAGGTCTTTCCCTTGAAAATTTATCTAAGAATCTGTTTTTTAAATTAAATTTATTGAGTTACCATCCTATTTAATAAAAGGGTAATATGCAAATAGACCTAACAGCAGAACAACCAAACAACCAATCAAAGTATAATATGCTAATGATATGCTAAGGCTGCTCAACCTCTTTCTATGACATGCACTGACCACCAGAGGGCAGTCAACTGGTCGACCAGTCGCTGTCATGCACTGACCACCGGGAGGCAGATGCTCCAACCAGTAGGTTAGCTTGCTGCTAGGGTCCAGCCAATTGAGACTGAGGGAGATGGGCCAGACATGTCCTGGATCACTTCCAAGTGTTCTCCCCAGCCTGATCATGCACCAGCAGGGTCCCTCAGCCTAGCCTGCACCCTCCCACAATCTGGGATCCCTCAGGGGATGTTGAAGAGCTGATTTCAGCCTGATTCCACAGCCACACCCCTTGGGATGGCGCCAGATGCAGGGCTCATAGCTGGTGAGTGCTGCTATGGCAGCACAAGCCTTTTCTAATCAGGACTGATTGGGCGTGAGCCCTCAGCTGGCACAGTGGGGCTGGGATGGGCAGGAGCTGCAGGGAAGAGCTGCAGGCAGTTTTGGACTGCGGATTTTGGCCCAATCCCTGCAGGCCACCCAGAGGAATCCCACTATGCAGGAATTCATGCACTGGCCTCTAGCTGGTTAATAACATTATATAAATTTAAGATGTACAATTTTGTAATATAATATCTGTATAACCTATTGTGCTTTCACAATCAGTTTAGTCTCCTATCACTTTATATTTGACCTCCCCAGTCCCCTTCCCCTCTGGCAACCACAATTCTGTTGTCTGTACCTATGAATTTTTTGTTTTGTTAATTCATTTATTGCTTTTTCTGTTATATCCCACATATTAGTGAAATCATAGTTCTTTTCTGCTTTTTTTAATTTAACATAAGAACCTCATCCATGTTGTCACAAATGGCAATATTTAATCTTTTACATGACAGAGTAGTATTCCATTGTCTATATGTAATCTTCTGTATCCGATCATCCATCTAAGAATACTTAGGCTGTCTCCACATTTTGGCTATTGTAAATAATGCTGCAGTAAACATTGGGGATATAGATTTTAATGAGTGTTTTCAATTTTTTTTTCCAGACAGATACCCAGAAATGGGATTTGTGGGTCATATAATAGCTCTATTCTTAATTTTTTGAGAGACATCCATACTGTTTTCCATAGTGGCTTCACCGATTTACATTCTCACCAGCAGTGTACTAGAGTTTCATTTTTTTCCTCTCCAATACTTGTTATTTTTTTTAATTATTGATAATGGTCATTCTAACAAGTGTGATTTCATATCTGTGTGGTTTGGATTTTCATTTACCTAATATAATTGGTGACATTGAATATATATATATATATTGTATATATGCTGGCCATCTCTATGTCTTCTTGAGAAAAGTGTCTATTCAGGTACTCTGTCCATTTTTGTAAATTTTTTTGTGGTTATTGAGTTGTATGAGTTCTTTATATATTTTGGATATTAGCGCCTCATTGGAAGTATCTTAGCAAATATTTTCTTCCATTAGGTTGGCTGCCGTTTTGTTTGGTTGATGGTTTCTTTTTCTGTGCAGAAGCTCTTTAGTTTGATGAAGTCCCATTCACTTATTTTTTGCTTTTACTTCCCTTGCCTTTAGGGTCAATATCACAAAAAAACCTTTAAGACCAAAGTCTGTAGGGTTAGTGCCTATGTTTTCTTCTATGCATTTTGTTTCAAGTGTCATATTCAATTCTTTAATTCACTTTGTGTTAGTTTTTGTGTATGGTGTCAGATGGCAGTTTAGTTTCATTCTTTTGCAAGTAGCTTCCCAGTTTTCCCATTTATTGAAGAGACTTTCATTTCTCCCTTGTATATTCTTTGTTGAAAATTAGCTGTCAAATATGTGTGAACTTATTTCTGAGGTTACAGTTCTATTCCACTACCCTGTATACCTGTTTTTCTGCCAATACCATACTGTTTTGATTACTATAGAATTGGAGGATAGTTTGAAGTCAGGGAGTGTGATACCTTCGGCTTTGAGAACCCATGTTTTTAATAAGCTCCTTTAATGATTTTTATGACAAGAATTTAGAGAACATGATTTGAAATCCCTCTCCTAGTCTAACTTGAAGAATGTTACAGAAGAGCTCAGAAGGGACAGAGCAACGATTAGAACTCCAGCCTTCCAAGTTCTATTCTAGAGCCCTATCAGATCAATGTGCCTCTTATATCCTATCATTTTTGCCAATTTGAAAACAGATTTAAGGATAAAAGGAAATAGATATGAGCACAAATTCTTCAGAGACAAGAAAAAAGATAATAAAAATGGAAAATTCTAAAATATATGTGATAAGAGTAAAAACATTTATGTCCTCATTGCTTGACATCAGTTATATTTTATAGTCATCTATAGAAAAGAGACTGATGCTCTAAAATGATAGATAGTAATATATTCAGAGAGAAAAGACAAATATGGAGATAAAAGAAAACGTGTTTATTAGGCATATAAATATAAAATCAGCACACAAAAATAAACTGTATTTAAATTCAGCAAAAGCAAATAGAAAGGGGGATTTAAAAAATACTATCAGCATAAAAAAGATATCTGGAGGAAATCTAAGGAAAGATGTTTAACGACCTCAAAAATCACATGATCTTACTTATATGCAGAATCTAATGAACAAAATAACAAAACAGGTCCAGCGATATGGAAGCATGGAAGAGACCAACAGATTTCAAAGGGAAGAGGAGAGGGGCCAGAAAGAGATTAACCAAATAAGTTATATGCATATTAGAGGCCTGGTGCATGAATTCATGCATGAGTAGGGTCCTTTGGGGTGGCTTGCAGGAATCAGGCCCCAACTCTCACCCCCAGCCTTGCAGCACACAGCCACCCTGATACCTCCCCTTGGCCAGGTGCCACCCATCCTGCTCCACCATCCTGCTGTGATCTGGCTCATTGAGGCCTATAGGGGCCAGCAATGCCTCCACTGTCACCCACTACCAAGCGCAGCATTGCTGACACCTGCCATGTTCCATGCCATCCCCTGGTGGTCAGTGCATGTCATTGCAAGCGGGTAAACTCCCAAAGGACCACCAGAGGAGGCAATTTGCCTTAGGCTTTTATTATATAGGACTAGAAGCCTCAGGGCGGGAGAGGGTTAGGGAGGGTCCCTTAGCCCGTCCTGTGCCCTTTCTCAGTCCTGGAGCCCAGTGATCAATCACCCTGCAGAGGGAGGCCACACACACTCACCACAGTGACACCAACAGCCAGGTACCCTGGGCCTCCTTCTGCAGGGTGATTGATCTCAGGGCTCTGCAATTGGTTGCCCCAAAGAGGGAGGCCCTACCCACCTGGCCAGGGCTCCACCCACCTGCCACAACCCTCCTGGGCCTCCCTCTTTGGGGCAATTGCAGAGCCCCACCCCCAATTGATTGCCCCTTTGTAGGTGGCCTGGGCCTCCCTCTATGAGGCAATCATGGAGCGATGGCAGGGCCCCCAAACCAATCGAATCACACTTGCCTTGGAAGGCCTGGTGCCAGTGGATGTCACAGCATGGTCATCTGGAGGTCATTCGGCCGTTTAGTCGATTTGCATATTACGCTTTTATTATTATAGATATTCGTAGTCCATTGACACAGATTATAGTGTGGTGAAGGCCTGGGGTAGGGTGGGAACCAGGTGGAGGGGTATAGAAGGGAGGAAGTGGGGGATATCTGTAATACTCTCAACAATGAAAATAAATTTAAAAAAGAACTTGCTACTGGTCAGTGGCTTTCAACTCTAAACTAGTATTTATTTTTTTCATCCAAATAAAAAATGTTGGAGATGTAAACATTAATTATATCAATACTTAACTGTTTGTTTTCCTCTCAAAAGCAAAATAAGAAAATGATGAAAAATATTGAGATAAGTTATTTCATTAAAATAATTATTTAGTTTCACCTTATCTAAATTATAATTTAATTTTGTCAAGGGTTAATACATTTCAACAAAAATTTAAGGAATATGAGATAGAAAAGGCTCAGAGATATAATTAAAATCACAGAATTTATTATAAATCTACAGTTTTGACATTTCACAATTGGAGACAGCAATCTGGTAAAAAAAAAAAAAAAAAAAAAATAGCACTGAACTTGAACACTACAACACCTGATCTGCCACTTGTTAACTAATAATATGTGGGCAAGTTAATTACCTCTGAGTCTATTTTTCTTATCTTTAAAACTTCAAAAAAGTGCCCAGCCGGGTGAGGCTCAGCAGTTGAGCATTGATCTAGGAACCAAGAGGTCACCGGTTCGATTCCTGTTTGATTCCCCATCGGCATATGCCCACGTTGTGGCTCTATCCCCAGTGTGGGTGCGCAGGAGGCAGCCAATCAATGATTCTCTCTCATCATTGATGTTTCTATCTCTCCCTCTCCCTTTCTCACTGAAATCAATAAAAATATATATGTATTTTTTTTAAAAGAGCAACTGAACTTAAAAGAAAATTCTTTAAAAAAAAACCTTCAAAAAAGTTTTAATATTAAATGAAAATACATGGAAATGCTGGTTCTCATAAAACATTAAAAAATGTAACATCAACTGAAAATTCTGAATCAAATTTAATTTCTCTTATCATTTAAGTTAAAGTATATTTTCCTAGTCTTAGGAATTTCTTTTTCTTAGTATAAAATACATTATCCCATGTCTTGTAAATTTTATATTTATAGCTGAATGTTTCTTCAGTCATCAGTATCACTTCCTGAATCACTCAGCTGCAAATCATTTCCTAAAATAAAAAAAATAGCAAAACTGTGATAATGAAATATTTATACTTAAATATTTAATATAATTATTTTTTGATAACAAATATATAAAAAGTAATCCAAATGGTCCTATTTAGGCAATGTTTTGTCAATAATAATCAGATTGTTGATCCTACAATTTAGTCATATCATTAGCAATTTAAATAATTAATACTATCTGTAATGAAAAAATATACCATCAATTTTCAGCATAGTTTTAGTATCTTCTGGCTTCTATATTAGTCTTCTTTCATATATCAAGATCACTTTTTATATCACTGATTTAATTACACCAGGAAATACAGTTTAGAAGATCAGACTATCATTTGAAAGAGTGAAAAAATTATATAATCTTTTACTCAAAATGTCAAAATATTTACATAGTGTTTGTTAAGGGTAACTCATCATTGATTCCTTTTGTAATTCACCCATGTGATTACAGTCATAAAACTTTAATTCCAGTGGAGGAAACAGTAAAAAAAATAAACAAATATCTACACTAATAAAAGAGAAAGATGCAAATTGACTGTACCTTTGCAATGCCCACCAGCCAATTAGGAGTGTGTATGCAAATTAACCCAACAAAGATGATGGGTTAATTTGCATACACAGGCACCCAACGGCCCAGGGCATTCCACACTGCCCCAGCAGCTCCAGGCCTTTGTGCAGCATGGGAAGGCAGAAAGGTGGCTCCGGACTGAAGCAAAGGCGGTTCGGGCAGCCAGGGGAAGGAAGGCCCATTCTTACACGAATCTTCGTACATTGGGCCTCTAGTATAATATAATGCCAAGTAGGTATAAATACTATGAAAATATAAAGATGGGTATGGACCCTGGCCAGCATGGCTCAGGAGGTCATGGTTGGATTCCTGGTCAGGGCATATGCCTGGCTTTCCGGCTCTATTCCCAGTGTGGGGGAATGCAGGAAGCAGACAATCAAGGATTCTTTCTCATCATTGGTATTTCTATCTCTCTCTTCCTCTCTGAAATATATATATAATAAATAAAGCTGAGTATGGAGAGAGGGAGGAGAGGTGCTACTTGATGTAGGATAGTTGACTGAAAATCAAAATTTAAAAATAAAGTCAGGAAAATATGGAGATGGGTAACTTCCCTGGCTCAGGGAACAGCACATACAAATGCCCCAAGGCAGAAGCGTTCGTTTTGTGTTCTCTGACTATGAAAAGACCACTGTGGCTGGAGTGAAATGAACAAGGAGAATGATAAGAAATAAGGCCAAAAAGATATCACTTGTTTTTTAGGTCATGGTAAAAACTTTGAATTTTGTTTGAAATTGGAATAAAGATCTGAGAGTCACTGATTGCAGGGGTTTCTCTGAAATTATGGAATTGGACGAAATCATTTGGGTAGTAAGTTAAAATGGTTAAAAATATTCTCATATTTTTAACTCCTCCATAATCAACAAAAGCTAGCATATTTTCAAGTTAATATACAGTTTAAGAGTAGCTTTTATGAGGAGATTAAAAATGGCAGAGTAGGAGGATGCTGCACAGACATACTCCCAGAAACAAGCGGGAATTACATCTGAAATACTGAAAGGCTTCCTAAATAATCAATGAAAAACTCACAGGAGAGAAACCTGATACCAAAGGACTGAAGGTGGAGAGGGCATAGAGACTGTGAGAAGAGGCAGAAGCTCGAAAGGGCTGACTGTGCAGATAGCAACTTAAGTCCCGGAGAAATATCTCAGCTGTGTGTGTGTGTGTGTTGGGGGTAGAGGAGGATGCACACCACTGAGAACTCTGGGATCTAGTCCCAAAGCTGGGCTCTCTTAGGAGGGTACCTGCATAACATTTAGCTATGAAAAGCAGTGGGGTGCTGTCTGCCAGGGAGTGGCAGCTGAAAGTTCAGGCACCCTCTTAAAGGGCCAATGCATAAATTCCCTGTGGAGCTACCCACCTTGTCCTCTGGCAGGAGGAGAGTGAAGTGGAATGGAGCTGTGAGAGCAGAACCCAGGACTGGCAGCAGTGGGGGTGGGGCCTAAGCCACAGTCTGGCCTTCCTCTGCGGAAGGCAACGGGGCCAATCAGGGGAAGGTGATGACCCCATCACCACGTGGCTCCTGCTGCTGGCCACAGTGGCTGCCTGCCCTTGGCCCTCACAGCCATTGTGGCTTTGTCTAAAAGGATGTTCAGCTATCCAGTCTAATTAGCATATTATGCTTTTACTAGAAGTCCAGTGCATGAAATTCATGCATGCGAGGGGTCCCTCAGCCCAGCCTGCATCCTCAACAATCCAATACCCCTCGGGGGATGTCTGACTGCCAGCAATGGGACATCCCTCTCACAATCCGGGACCGCTAGCTCCTAACGCTCACCTGCCTGCCTGCTTGATCACCCCTAATCACTGCCTGCCTGCCTGATTGCTCCTAACCCCTCTGCCAGCCTGATCACTCCTAACCACTCTGCCTGCCTGCCTGATTATCTCTAACCACATCTGCCTCAGCCCCTGCCACTGTGGCTTTGTCCAGAAGGACATCTGGAAGGACATCTGGAAGTTGTCCAGTCTATCCAGTCTAATTAGCATATTACCCTTTTATTATTATAGAATCTTATAGATGGTTAGTAGGGTTTTTTTTTTTTAAACAGTTCATTTTTATGAAGTTAAAGAAATTCCTTTATATTTAACCTTTGGTGAAAGTTTTTAAATTTATAAATACTGAATTTTGTTAAATTCAAATTTGCTGAAATGATCATATGGCTTTACTCCTATAACCTGTTAATGTGATGAATTATATTGATACTATTTCAGATACTGAACACTTCTTACATTTCTGTGATAACCTTCATTTGGTCATAATTTAGCTTTGCTTGTTTTAAGTACATTGGTCATTTAATTCGCTAATATCTTATTTAGTAATTTTGCATCCATGTTATTAAGCGAAACTGATCCACAATGCTTTTTGTCTGTACAGTTTTGATATTGAAATTATTCTAGAATATAAAAGAATTGGATCACTTTCCCTACTTTTCCATACTCTGAAACAGTTTGTAAAAGAATTATTTGTGAAACTATCTTTAGTTTTCCAGTATCTTGGGGATTTGGAAATAGGGTGGAGATAAAGCCACATTAGTTTCTTCAGGCTTTCCATGTCTCTTTGAGTCAGATTTGGTAAATTATACTTTTTCTAGAAAACAGTCTACTTCTATGCCAAATTTACTGGGATATATTTTTTATATATAATTCTCATAACTCAGAAAATAAAAGCATAGTATAGCTATAATTTTAATCACTTTTTCATCACTAATATTGTTTATTTTGTGCCTATTGTCTTTTCCTTCATAAGCCCTTGTTAGAGGTTGGTCTTCTTTATTCATTTTCAAATAAATTACTTCTGGTTTTGTTTATCCTTTCTTTTTTTTTTTCATTATACTACTTTAAAATCTAAACTACATCACTTTCTTCTGCTTTCTTTAAGATGTTATAACTTTTCTAGCTCCTCAAAGTGAAACTTTTACTCATTTATTTCCAATTAAAAAAAATTTTATGAGGCTATACAACATTTCCTTACATTTACCATGTTGGCTGTATTCCAAAATTGCTGAGATATACTATTTTTTATTCTGCTTTATTATAAATATTTTATAATTTCATGTAGGTTCCATTTAACATGTAAATTATTAGGCATATGCTTTGAAGTTTCTAAGCATGTATTTAAAATTAATTTTATTAATTATTTATGTTTTTATTATATTAAAATAATATAAAATAAATAATGAAATATGAATTCTTCAAAATGTGTTATTTCCTTAATCGAGTAGGAATTAGTTTCTATAAATGCTTTACATATATCTAAAACAAATCCCACTTTGCAGTTTTGGATTGTAGGATTCTATATTTACTATTAGAATAGGTACGGTAATTATATTGTTGAAAGATTTTGTATGTCTTCACTAAATTTTGTCTGCTTGATTAGAGATACATTAATATTCTACTATGATAAAGACTTACCTATAATATTTCTCCTACTTATGCCGATTTTTGTTACATATCTACTAGGGGCCTGTTACAGGAAGATTCCTGCAAGTGGCGGCCACCATTTGGCCCACCCCTCCCGCTCTGCTCTGACTTCCTCTCTGGCAAGCTGCCTTGCTTTCTGCTTTTCCTCCCTCTTCCTTCTATGCTGTCTACAGTCTTCACTCCTCCCTTCCTCAGCATATGCAAATTAACCGCCATATTTGTTGGGTTTATTTACATACTTGCTTTGATTGGCTGTGGGCATAGCGAAGGTACAGACAATTAGCATTTTCTCTTTTATTAGTGTAGATATATACACATATGTATGTAACAACATATTTTAATATATATGAACATATGTGGTATACCAATTAATAATTGTTTATCCTCCTAGTTTATCCTCCTGAATTAAACTCTTGTCATTATTTGGCCACTCAAGAAATCAGATGCTCCAATTTTACCTCTCAAGTTAGGAGTAATAGCTTTAAAGACATAAATAACTGGAAGTTCAAAAGATCTTTCCTGGCCGAAACCGGTTTGGCTCAGTGGATAGAGCGTCGGTCTGCAGACTGAAAGGTCCCAGATTCAATTCCGATCAAGGGTATGTACCTTGGTTGTGGGCACATCCCCAGTAGGAGATGTGCAAGAGGCAGCTGATCGATGATTCTCTCTCATCAATGTTTCTAACTCTCTATCCCTCTCTCTTCCTCTCTGTAAAAAATCAATAAAATATATTTTTTTTTAAAAAAGATCTTTCCTGGTCCCTAATTAACGCATAGTCTTACTCTCTCCGCCACCCAGTTTGGCTCTTTTCTTGTTTAATGCTGTTATTAGGCTAGAGCTAGTCAGTCTTTCCTAGATGCTTACTTTATCATTATTAATTTACACAGTGAGAGTAGTTTTAAAGAAAGTCCCATTCTCCCCCAGAGAGTATAAACCTATATGCCATTCCTGGGCATCTTCTATGTATCAGGTACTGTGCTAGGTGCTAGCATTCAATGATAAGCAAAAATAAAGGAGATTGCTGTCCTCCCGAAGCTTATACTTTGGAATAGAGCAAATCACACAAATAAATATAAATTGATAAATGTGAAATCTGATATGAAAAAGATATTACTCTGAAGATTTATTTAAAAAGGGATCTGACCTTATCAAGAAGGTCAAGGAAGGCTTTCTTGATAAAGAAAACTTGGAACTTTAACCCAAAATTCAAAAGGAGAAAAAGTTAACTACATGAAAAGCAAGAAGTATTTCTGGATGAATGGACAGAATTTAAAGGGTCCTGACATGGTCAAAGGGTTTAAATATAATAACAAAAGAAGGCAAATGTTGCTATAACACAAAGAGAAAGATCATTATGTTAAAGCGTTTTGTTGCTATCCTAAAAGAATTACAAGCTATTAAAAAGTTTAAAGCAGAAGAGATGATAAATCATAGTTTAATTATAAAAAGATCAATATAGGTGCAATATACACAATAGACAAAAAAAATGGGTTTAAATAGATATGGGGGGAAACAATTAGAAAGTCACTGCATAGTTAAAGCAGCAAAAAATGGTATATTTAACTAAAGTGATAGTGGTAGTGTTTGGACAAAAAGGCAGCCAATCAATGATTTTCTCTACTCATTGATGTTTCTAGCTCTGTCTCCCACTCCCTTCCTTTCTGAAATCAATAAGAATATATAGAAATAATAATAATAATGTAAAATTGTTTTAAAAAAGAAAGAGAGGAAATTAAGCCTTAAATACAATCAGGCTTCTGATATCCATAATTAGAGGAATCCTGTCTTTTATTTGTCTGAGCTTGTTTAGGAAACTAGCTCAGCTAAATATTATAAGTTGGTTTTGGTCAAAGTGATGTTGGATTTATGCATCTAGAGCTCAGAGGTCTGGGTCAGAGATGCAGATTTAGAAGTTACCCATTGACTGCAACACAAATATAGAGATTCTGCAGTGAAATAGTATAGAAGAAAAAGGAAGAAGGACATAGGATTAAGTCTTGAAGAACTCCAGCTCTAATGACTGAGAAGATTATAAACCAGCAAAGGAGAGAGAGAAAAGTATCTAGAAAGATAGGAGAAAAGCCAATAAGACATTATATCATAGAGTCAAAAGAAAATGAGTAATTCAGTAAAAAGGTAATGATTAATAGCATCAACTGAATAAAATAGGAGTCTTTCTCCTTCTACAAATTTTACATCATAATCGGTATGGCTTCACTATGAATTTTTACTTTTCTAATTACTCAGGCTTATGTATACTTACTTAAAGTATTCATCAGAAGGCCACTATTGTTATGATATCTATTATGACCGACATCTACATCAGGAATCCTGCAATGTGGCATGGCAGCCATGGTGGGATCTCCAGAGATATAATTCCCTGGATCAGACGGAGAGGATCTGTCCTCTTCACCTTCTGAGTCACTGGAACTACTCTCACTGCTTGAAGACGATGAACTTTTAGAATCTGATGAACTATCACAACTACTCATCTGGTCCATCAGACTAGCTTCTGCCTTCAGTTCTGAAAATGTAACAGAAGTTAATAGTTTAAGTAAACAGTAGTAAATATAAATATTAAATACATATAATAAATTTTGAATGAGTTAGTTTCTAAGAAAGTGTTAACAAGAAATAAGACTAAACATACATTTACAGTTTTTTACTTTAAAGGCTTCTTTACTAATACAAAATAAAAAGTAACATTCTTCTCCTAACCTTTTTAAGTTCCCTTAAACTTACCCCCCTTACTAGGAAAAAATCACTTTCTTGTGACCATATATGTTTTAAAATTCTGCTTGGAAACTGGTATTTTAGATTTTTACACTCAACTCGCATATTGTTAGAGCCTGAGTTTACTCTTTGCCACTACCTACCTAAGTTAAAAAAAAAAAAAAAGAAAGAAAGAAAGAAAGAAAGAAAGAAAGAAAGAAAGAAAGAAAAAAAAAAGAAAGGAGCAATTCAAATTTTCCTGCGAAAGCTGCATCCGTGGACCCAAACTTTTCCTTTCCAGCTCTGAAGTTCATGTTTCTCTCATTTCTGGACAACATACATTTCTGGACAACATATATAGAAAGTTCAAAAAATTCTCCAATAAAAAAAATCTCTATCATCAAGCCAAGCCTTACTTCAAGGTTGAAATTACAAAATTAGAAGACATAGACAGTGTCTAAATCTAAAAACTACATTTCTTTATACTATTACATTGAAATATACATGGAATTCAAATAAAATATATTAAAAATGTGAAAGATTAAAACTGTAAAAATAAAAACTTATTTATCCGCCAATTCTTTTTCTTATTTCCCCAATACATATAATACAATGCAATACATACAGATGAATTCCTTTTTTTGTCAGCTCTATAGAGGTATAATTGACAAAATTAAACTGTACAACCAGTTAGTTTCTGTCATGAAAGTATATTACATTTTTGTCAAATGTGTTTTTTTTTTTGCATCTATTGGGATGATCAAAAGTTTTAGTCTTCATTCTGTTAACGTGGTGTATTGTGTTTATTGATTTACATACATAAACATTCTTGTATCCCAGGCAAAAAATAAAACCCACACACATTTAATCGTGGTATATAATTCTTTTAATGGGTTACTTCTTTTGTTGAAAATGTTTGCTAGGTTCATTAGATATTGGCTTGAAATTTGCTTTTCTAATAGTGTCCTTGTCTGGCTCTGGTATGAGAGTAATGCTGGCCTCATAAAATAAATTTTAAAGTGTTTCCTTATCTTCAATTTTCTGAAATAGTTTGAGAATAATTGACATTAATTCTTCTTTAAGAAGACATTTAGTAGAATGTATCAGTAAAGCTGAAAAAAAATTTTAAATCAAGAATGATAGTTGAGCCCTCGCTGTTTTGGATCAGTGGACAGTGTTGGCCTACATACGGAAAGGTCCAGGTTTGATTCCCATCAAGGGCACATGCCCAGGTTTCGGGGCTCAATCCCCAGTAGGGGGGCATGCAGGAGGCATGCAATTATTTTCTTTCAATATTGATGTTTCTATTTCTATCTCCCTTTCCCTTCTTCTCTGAAAAAAAAAATATATATTTTAAAAAAGGATGATAGCTGAAGTCACAGGGATGTAAACGACAGCACAGGAAATATAGTCAATAATATTGAAATAACTACATATGGTGTTAAGATGATTACTAGACTTATCAGAGTGATCACTTCAGAAGTTATATAAAAATGCCTAAACACTATGTTGGATACCAGAAACTAATATAATATTGCATGTTGACTGTAATTGAAAAAAATATTTTAAAAAAATGAACTGAAATGTGTCAAATGTTCTTTCTACTGTTTTTTTTTTTCTTTCTTTTTTAAAATTTGTTTTTTATTGAATTCAGAGAGAGGAAGAGAAAGGAATAGAAACATCAATGATGAGAGAATCACTGATCGGCTGCTTCTTACACACCCCACAGTGGGCATTGATGTGCCCTGATTGGAATGGAACTATGATCTTCTAGTTTAGTGGCTGAAGCTCAATCACTGAGCTATACCCACTGGGCTTTTTCTACTCTTTGTTTTTTAGATAGTTTTTATTTTTTATTTTTAAATCTGGTGAATATTGATTGACTTTCGAAAATGTGTATTCCTGGGAAAACTCTACTTAGTCATGATGTACTGTCCTTTTTTAATATATTAGCATTTCTCCACCTCAGCAATATTGGCATTTGGGGTTATATAATTATTTGTTGCTGTTCTGTGCACTGCAGCAAGTTTAGCAGCATCCCTAGCTTCTATCCACTAGATGCCAGTAGCACTACTGCTCACCAGCTGTGACAACCAAAAATGTCTGCAGACATTGCCAGATGTCCCCCTAGGGGACAAAAATCATATCTAGTTGAAACCACTTTCATATAATTGTTAAATTCAATTTGCTAAAATTTTGTTTAAAAATTTTGCATCTATATTCATAAGATACCAGTTTGTAGTTTGTTTGTTTTTTCCTTATACTGTCCTTTGTTGGGTTTTGGCTATAATAATTCTGACCTTGAGGAATGAGTTATAAAGTATTCCCTCCTTATTTAATGATTTATTTTAGATGTATTTATCTTTATTGTTGAGGGTATTACAAATGTCCCCCTTTTTTCGCCTATTGCTCCTCTCCACCCAATTCCTGCCCCACCACAGGTCTTTACCACACTATTGTCTGTGTCCATGGATTATGCATATGTGGATGTCAGTTTTTTGGTTATTCCTTGCTGGTCCTCATTTCCCCTTCCTTCTGAGATCCGTGCCTCTCAGCTTATTTTATTTGTTGGTTTATTTTGTTCATTAGATTCCACATATAAATGAGATCATGTGATACTTGTTTTTCTCTGACTGGCTTATTTCACTTAGCATAATACAGAGTTTATATCAAGTTGATATTATTTCTTCCTTAAATGACTAGTAAAATGCTCCAGGGAAGCCACCTGTGGCTGGAAATTTGTATGTTGACGGGAGTAGGGTTTTATTTTATTGTTGTTGTTTTTTTATTGTTTAAAGTATTATATGTAGTATTACATATTTCCTTTTCCCTCCATTGACCTCCCCCATCCCCCGGCATATGTCCTCATTCCCCTAGTGTCTGTGTCCATTGGTTATACTTATATGCATGTATATAAGTCCTTTGCTTGATCTCTTACTCCTCTCCCCACCCTCAGGGGTAGGGTTTTAAATACAACTCAATATTTTTAGAGGATTTAGGGATTATTCACGTTATCTGTTTCTTCTCGAGTCAATTTTGTACCCTTTAAGGAACTGGTCCATTTCATCAAATTTATGGGCACAGACAGAGAGAATAAGAGTTTAAATAACTTTTCCTAGGCCACACAGCTGATACATGATACAGCAGAGATTTAAGTGCAAGTAGTCTTATTCCAAAGATGACATTCTTAGTTATCACATACGCTATGTCTAACAGAGACCCAAAGCTGGTTCTCTGAAGATTGAAATATGTCAAATTCTAACAATATTGATCAAGAAAATGAGAAAGACATGGCACAAATAATCAGTGTTAGGAATATAAAGGGCCATAACTATGAATATTGTAGGGTTTTGTATGGATAAATTAAGATGACCATTTGAAAATGTGAATTAAACTGACAAGTTTTAAGACAAAATTAAATAAAGAATTAAAAAAAAAAACCTGAGTAAACCTGAAGTCAGTAAAGAAATTTACCCACACTATCAAAAATCAAAAAAACACACATAACTATTAAATACAAACTGTTCCAATGAATAAAAAAGTATCTTGTATATAAATCCTTTAGAGTACATTCAGACATGTGCACAGATAGACAGGAAAAGGAGAAAAATATATTGGAAAGTAAAGACTCCTGTAAATTTTTTTTAAAAACGTAAAGCCAAAGTGGCAAAATGTTAAATCTAAGTTATAGATGTATGATTTGTTATATTATTACCTGTATTTTCTGTATGTTTGAAATATTCATTAAGAAAAGTTTTAAAGGTTAGTTGAAATCATGTATGGGAAGATTTGGCACATAGTATTTACCTACAAAAACATAACGTAAAAATTTTACAGTATGGATAGAAATTTATAGTTGCATTATGGTGGTGAGATTGAGTGATTTTATATTAACATTATTCTTCTACATTATATTATCTTCTAAATAAATAATAATTGTATAAAAATTACAAGTTCATTATAAAACTTCAAACAATTTGCACATAAAAAATGAAAGGTTCCTGTAATCCAAACTCCTAAAGATAATGCTTACATTTTAGTATAATTCTTCCAACTTCTATGCATCTACAAACTTATATAAATTTTGTTTTAAAAAATTATTCATACAACACATATATTACATGTAAAATTTTCTCTTTTGCTTAATAAAATATCTGGATATCCTTCTTAGTTACTAAAAATGTGGTCTCTTTTTAAAGAATTGATGTGCAGTATTTGATGGGCACTTGGGATTTTTCCATTTTTTTTCCCTAATATGGAAAATGCTGCGTGGAACATTCTTATGTGACTGATATAGATATGTCTATCTATATTCTAATATATCTATCTCTACAAGTTTTGCTTTAAGAGAAATATCTAGGAAAGAGATTTGTACTTTTTATTTTAATAGTTATTAGCAAATAAGGATGATGATAATAACAAATCCTCATGTAGTACTTACTATGTACTAGACATTGTTCCAAGTATTTTGCAGAAAAAAATTGCTCTACAAAAATTAATATGTGCCAATTTATAATTTCTTAAAAAATGTATGAACTACTTGTTTCCCTTTATGTTCTTTTCTCTACTGAATGTTTTTTTTGTTGTTGTTTTTTAAAATATATTTTATTTTTTTTTACAGAGAGGAAGGGAGAGGGATAGAGTTAGAAACATTGATGAGAGGGAAACATCGACCAGCTGCCTCTTGCACACCCCACACTGAGGATGTGCCCGCAACCAATGTACATGCCCTTGACCAGAATCGAACCCGGGACCCTTTAGTCTGCAGGCCGACGCTCTATCCACTGAGCCAAACTGGTTGGGCATCACTACTGAATGTTGACAAATGTTTTAGCTACTTTCAATCTCATAAATGAAAAAATATCTGTTAATCTTAAAATTTGCATTTTAAAAGCATTAGTGAGTTTCACCAACTTATCTATATAAAAGCCTTAGCAACCACTAGGACTTGTCAATACTATGATGCTATGAGGCGCTCAACTCAGGAGCTGCCCCCTGGTAGTCAGTGTGTTCCCACAGAGGGAGCGCTGCTCAGCCAGAAGCTGGGCTAGTGGCTGGCGAACGCAGCTGCAGCTTCCTGACTCCACAGCAGCAATCACTACTGAACAGGGAGTGACAGCAGCAGACACAGTGGGCTGAGATGAGCATGATGGTGTGGCACCGGCCCTGGTTCAGGCTCCTCCCTGGCCACCTGCTGCTTGGTGCACTGCTACATCCCTCAGCAGTTGGATATCCCCCAAGAGGTCCTGGATTGCGAGTGACTATGTCATAGCTTATAAATTGCTACATCCCACAAAATTAAACAAGGAAGGTGGCTTCTGTAGTATTTGAAAAAGAGATCTGTGGCTGCTTAATTCTAATTCATCAGAAGACTCTCCAAACTGTCCACATCCTGTTTATTCTATATGGGGATGAACATGCATTCCTATATATTGGGAACAGTCTCTGAGATTTAAATATAAAAACTACCTATCACTGAAAAAACAGAATGATGCAGCAATGATATGCATGAACTCTGGCTTGCACATTTGACAGTTAGCCCTGATTCTGACACTTATAACTGTGTGACAAAGCCAATTACTTAACTTCTCTCTGCTTCAGCTTTTCCACCCATATGATGGGGAAAATGGTACTACTGCCTCAGAAGGATCATGTTATGTATGACTTTTTATAATCAGAGCAAAAAAAATGTAGCTGCCCATACACAGCAAGATGCCTTTCACCTATATGAAAAGTATGGTCACTGGTGCATGCAGCATCTTGGATTGTAAGAGGAATGTCTGACTAAGTTGGCCCAAGCTGGCAGGCGGACATCCCCTGAAGGGTTCTGGACTGCAAGAGGGCGCAGGTCGAGCTGAAGGACTATTCCCCCTCCCCCGCTCAGGGATGTTGTGCACTGGGCCTCTAGTTAATAAATAATATTGACCACCACTAAACTCTATTTTACATACAAATATAAACTTACTTTTGCCCCACCCAGTATTTATTTAGCCAATGTATATTTTATGTTGTGAGACAGATTTAAGCCCATACAGAAATTTTGCATGTGATAAAAATGGCTCTTCATAACAGCAAAAGAAATGATGGCTTATTCAATAAATGGATGTTGATATATAATACTGTTTATCAATATAATAAGTTGATTATCAATACTTATTGATACTGTTGGAGCAGAAATAAGAGTTTGGATTCTTATTTCTTAAACTAAAATTCCAGATAGCTCAAAGATGTAAATGTAAACATTAAACCATAGAAACACTAATGCAAGTGCCAAGTATCTATCGATATATATAAATCTGAAAACATGATTCAACTATCACAAGAGGCACTGACAGAGTAGGTTCAAGAAAATATTTAAAAGAAGGCTGTCTACCCTAGCTGGTTTGGCTCAGTGGATAGAGTGTCGGCTTGCAGACTGAAGGGTCCCAGGTTCAATTCAGGTCAAGGGCACATGCCCAGGTTGCGGGCTCAATCCCCAGGAGGGGGTGTGCAGGAGGCAGCCAATTAATGATTCTCTCTCATTATTGATGTTTCTAGCTCTCTCTCTCCCCCTCCCTTCCTCTCTGAAATCAACAAAAAGATGTTAAAAAAAAAAAAAAAGACTTAGGAACAGGCTATACTAGTATATACATCTCAACGTAAATTCTTATACAAAGTTAGATCTTATGCTTAGATCATGTTAACTTACTCTCTACTATACAACGCTTCAATACAATGCTTTTATTAAGGTCTCTGCTACAAAAACTGACACAGAGAGAAACTTCTTGTATCATTGATGATACTATATCATTTAATACTCCTAGAATGGGTTCCATATGATAAACTTCTTTTAGAATTTAGTAACAGGGAAGTCTTAATTCTTTAAAACTTGTCTCTTAGATAATCTAAAATATGCTATAGTGGTCTTAATTTTTGTTTTAGTGTCTAGGAAGCTCAGATCTAAATTTAATGTTTTAATTATTAACAAATTTGCTTTCTCTTTCCCTTTAATACCATGGGTTTTTTTCCCCCCAGTATTTTTCTGTATATATGTAGATTCATGACAGCATGATTCAAATCCATTTTTGGAAGCAGATATGATATAATAATAAAATTCAAAACCCCTTTTACCAAAAGGGCTCTGAGCTTGTATCTTCTTTATTGTTAATAAAGGGGCCACTAATATATTAGGGAACTAATACTATACTGGGCCTAGAAGAGGGCAAGTGGAATTGGATTGTTACATGTAAGTTACATAGGAAAAGTGCAGAGGCAAATATACAGGAGCAAATATACTTTGGTGACCAGGGTCTTATTACTACCACAATTACTATAACACTAACACCAAAACTGCAGCTAGAAAAAAAAATGGAGATTTAAATGTTCTTACTTTCAAAAGAACTGGACCTCCCTAGAAACACTTTCTGCTCAGAAGTGAGCAGCAATTCAGAGGAACTTGCCTGCTGCTTCCGCTTACTATATCTCCTCACTTCACTATTGTTTTGGTGACATCTTAGACATCTATAGTCTGGCTATGCATAAAGAACTTCGACAGGAAGATGCTGTGAAGAACTGAATTTGAATCATCACAACTGTCAAAAAGAAGAAAACTCCAGTTACATATATCTAAATACTTTCCCCCTGAATAATAAAAATGATGCATAATTACAGATGCCCTAAATACCTTATATAGATACATAATTATAGGATACTCTAAACATATCCTCTTCCTCCCCAAAATCCATAATAATAAAAATATATTATGCTCTCAATAAAACTTTATAGTTAATTCCCTTGTTAATTAAAATGAAAAATTTCACTTATTCTTAATTTCTTGTAAAGGAACATTATATACACTTATGTTTTACCTCTCTCAATATCATCCATTGGAGATGTTGGGGACATCTTGTCTTCGGATGGAGAATCTTTTACAAGATTGGGAGTCCTAGGTAAATTCCACATTTGTTGCTGCTGATTCTCTACACGAGACTGGATTTTACTGCTTCCTTGAACTCTGCAATTAAGAATATCAAAGGTCAAAAAAGATATTATGGCAATATAACAACAATTTCAATTTACAAAGTTACTAACACTGACCACTTATTCTTTTCCCTAGACATCTTTAAATGGTATTCAAGAATTAAAACATTAATTTAATTCATTATTTAACAAATATTTCTGGATCCCTGTTATAGATGCAGGGCATATACACAGTTCCATTGATGGATACAAGTGTGAATCCACTGCTCAAAATTGAAGAGTTAAGATATACACAAATGCCTAAAATAAAATATACCTACGTGTATATAGGTACTATATATTCCCTATATTCTAAAATTATTATTTCTGTTAGAATTAAGTCACTTCCACATTTTAACAAAGGCATGCTACTAAAGCAGAGTCATTTCCTTTATTTCCTTTCAATACTTTTAAGAAGAGTTTGTAACACAATTATATTTTGACTTTTCTGCCTCTCCTTTTTCCAGTCACCAAATTCTGTCAGTTCTTCCTTGTATGCATTTTCCTGTTTCCCACATAGTTTCACTTTACTCAATCTGTTTGGTGTATTAATGTTTCAAAACAAAACTATTTTTAATTAAAAATTTAATCCTTAGTTTAAAAAATTTAATACATAATCACTGCCAATGGAGCCGTTAAGACGTCCTAATTTCATAGTTAATCTTGAAGGTATTAGCTGCAACCTGCCTTTATGACCTTACTTTTAATCCACTATCAACCTCACTCCTCACTTTCCAATACTTATTTATATGCAAGCACAGAGACAAATCTTTGCCTTATTCAAACATGTCTTATTCATTGGCCCCAAATAAGTCAGATATTTTTCTGCCTTCAAAAATCCTCATGTTCTCTCTGATTAATTAAATCAGTCATTTTCAAACTTTTCTACCAATAAAAAATCACCTGGGAACTCATATTTATTAAGCATGAAAGGTAATTCTTATCACCAAGTATGTTTGGGATGGAAAAAGCCCTAAATCTTAACCTCCTCTCAAATTACATCAATTAGGGCTCCCTGAATGTTCCAAGCAACCATAATCTTTCTCTTCCTTAAAATCCTAAAGCAAGTTTTATCTATACTATTTGCATAGCTTTGAGAGCAAATCCCTTATTTTATACTAGAGGCCCAGTGCACGAAATTCAAACACAGAGGGGGGGTCCCTCAGCCTGGCCTGCACCCTCTCACAATCTGGGACCCCCTTGGGGGATGTCTTACTGCAGGTTTAGGCCCTATTCCACTCAGGTCTAAACCTACAGTCAGACATCCCTTAGGCCTAAACCTGCAGTCGGACATCCCTTGGACCTACACCTGCAGTTGGATATCCCTCGGGCCTAAAGCTGTAGTCGGACATCCCTCTCACAATCTGGGACTGATGGCTTCTAACCACTCACCTGCTTGCCTGCCTCATTGCTCCTAACTGCTTCCCAGATCACCACTAACCTCCTCTGCCTGCCTGCCTGATTGTCTCTAACCACTCTGCCTGCCTGCCTGATGCCCCTAATTGCTTGCCTGCTTGTCTAATCACCCATAACTGCTCAGCTGCCTTCCTGATCATGCCTAACCCCTCTGCCTTCTCAGCTTTGTCTGGAAGGTCATTCGGCTGTCCGGTATAATTAGCATATTACCCTTTTATTATTATAGATAGCAATTAATGCATTTGCCTAATTAAAAAAAAAGATATGAGGTTGCTATATTCTCTTACTGACTTTCCTAATAGAATTATATGTTAACCCAACTAAAATGCAGAAATTTCGAGGTTAGTACTTATATAGAAAACTTTCCTTCTTCAAGTGCCTTACATATTCTAGGTGTTCAAGACACTAATGAAGATGAAATAATGTTGAAGAGTACATAATGGCTCCTTTCAGTCCAGTTCTATGTAGAAGAAATTATATCTATACATATTGAAAATATTCAGAAACAAAACAAGTTTTTATGTATCACAGAGAAAAATGGTACAAGTTTGTGGCTAAGGCTCTCCACCAAATTTAAACTTGAAAAAAGGTTAAAACATTTTTGTATCACATAGAACTAACCCTTATATAATAATGTGGCTTGCCAAAACTAGTTTGGCTCAGTGGATAGAGCATCAGCCTGAAGACTGAAAGGTCCCAGGTTCAATTCCGGTCAAGGGTGTGTACCTCGGTAGGGGGTGTGCAAGAGACAGTTGATCGATGATTCTTTCTCATCGATGTTTCTAACTCTCTATCCCTCTCCCTTCCTCTCTGTAAAAAAAAAAAAAAATCAATAAAATATATTAAAAATAAAAATAGTGTGGCTTAATAAAATAATATTTTTCACTGACATTTCCTTGGCAATTATGTGCTAATAAAAGAATTTATTTTGTTAACCACATACCTTGTTTTTTTTACAGTGATGTTGCTGCTGAGTTTTTCTAGTCGACATTCTCCAGTATCATGGTTAATTATCAAAATGCATTCTTTTAAGTAAGGTTTCTTTGAACCTTTAAAAACAGTTACTGGTGAAGTTGATCCCTGTTTAAAAAGTTAATTATCAGTACTTAAAATTCAGTTGGGAGGGACTTTGATATCTTCTGCTTCTCAATCTATACTTCAAGTCACCTACCTAAGTTTAGTAAAAGTCAAAGATGAAGGGAGGCTGAGATCTTAAAGTTGCTATCCTTGAGGAAAGGAAATAGAGAAAGTACTTTCCCTTAGTCAGTAAAGTTTTGTTTTATTTATCTACAACAGGTAATTGGGATTCAATTCTAATACAATCAATATATTTTACAGATAAGGTAGCAGAAGCCCTGAATCATATTTTTTTTTATTCCTTACCTTCCTTTATAAGTTTAGTTTTAAAAATCTTGTATGTTCTTAAAATGGTGCTTCCCTATGCAGACTAAAGAAAATTAATGTATCAAGAAACACCTGTTAGAGTAAACCCACTGATTAAACTTAGCATTAAGAAAGGTGGGACAACCAAACATTATATACTTCATGATGTGATATATTGATAAAAGAAAGTATGCAGCAGCATCCAAAAACAAACAAAACAAAAACCCCACAAATAATCTAACTCTCATCAAATCTTTAAATACTCTAACTACCAGTTAACAGGAAATATGAAGAGTAAAGGAATGTTAATACCAGACAGAAGTAATTTGAAACCCAGAACAAGGGTATATTCTCTAAGACAAATAACCTGGTTTCTCTAACAAATTGTATAAAAAGAGGAAGGGACATTTACAAAATAAAAGATACTTAAGAAACAGAGTCAAAATATTATAGAAACTCTAATTTGGATTCCTAGGGGGAAAACTAAAAAGACATTTCTGAGAGCATCATGAAAATGTGAATATGGATCCAGTATTATAATTAATTCTGCTACATGTAACAACAGCATGTTACTTAGGTCAAAAAAGAAAAATCCTTGTCAGTTAGAGATGCATACATAAGCATTTATGAAATGGCATAATATCTGGGATTGCTTTAAAATATACCAGGAAAAAAAGTGGTAGGTGAATATATAAAAAAGATTAGCAAAATGCTGATAATTATTGAAGCTCAGTGATGAGTACATGGGGTTTCATTATACTATCCTATCTTCCATAATAAAAAGTTAAACATAGAGCAGTGGTCGGCAAACTCATTAGTCAACAGAGCCAAATATCAATAGTACAACGATTGAAATTTCTTTTGAGAGCTGAAAACCGAATTCTGTGCATGGGCCACAAAGTTTCAATTGCACTGTATGTGCATGCCCACACATGGTAATTTGTGGAAGAGCCACACTCAAGAGACCAAAGAGCCACATGTGGCTTGCGAGCCATAGTTTGCTGACACTGATCTAGATCACTGCTCACAACCTATGTGTTCTCACGACCTACGTGTTCCTCCTCCTTCCTTCATGAGCATCCCTCAGTCTTTAAGGAATTTTGTGTTTATCATTTTTGAACTTTATTCCATACATATGTATCCTTAAACAATAAAGTGTTATATTTATTTGTTTTTTATTTATAAAATGCATTAAAATGTTAAAACATTCATTATAATAATTTTGTCAAACAAACAGTAATATTAGATCAGTTTAGAAAAGGCTGACTTCTAAAAAGACTAAAGGGTATATCATATTTTAAAAGTTAACAATCATTATAGATTTAACATGTAAAACAAGAAGTAATATGAGATAAATCTGGTAATTAAAGATACTCTAAATGGGAAGTAGATTAGAGACTTCTGAAAGGTAGGGAGAGAAAATGATGAAACCAAAAGAAAAGAACAGGTTTTTCACCTCACATCTAAGACTTAAAAAAGTCTATAGGAAATCAAGCATGCAAGGTACACAGACAAGAATGTCTGGAGGGGCCTTAAAAGAGTGAGATATTGAGCACTTAGGTAAAGCACAGGTAACATGAAGAGCCAGAAACATGATCATGACAAAACAAATTGGGCTACTTGGCTGGTAAGTATATTGTTCAAATGTCCTAGCTGAAAACAAGTGACTATGATACTCCAAAATTGCAAGGACTCCAAATTACAGTTGATCATTCATGCAATATATTCTTATTAAAGATATTTGTATTATAGAAAAGAATAAATCTTAAAATTATAATACATTATTGTACTCCAGCATTACTAAGGAATAAGGATTAGATCATAAATTTTTGAATTGCTCCTAGCAACTAAACTACCAAGACCTTCACAGACACTAAATGAATGTTGAATACCAGCAATATGAACATTTCTACTATAATTAACAAGTTAAATAAGGCTTTCATAGTCTTTCACACTTTGAACAAGTTTTAAAAAATTAAAGTTTTTGTCCTCATGAAATTGAGCACCATTATTATTTTGTTTATATTTTTGTAAGTCATTGATATATTTCATTATCTTGGGAAAATTAAAAAAGGGACAGAAATACAGATGAGTACATTTTGGTGGTGATTAAGATGTGATTTTCATCTTACTATTTTTTATTGAATTTATTGGTACAATATTGATTAATAAAATTATATATTTCAGATATACAATTCTATAATACAACATCTGTATATTGTATTGTGTGTTTACCATCCCAAGTTAAGTCTCCTTCCAGCACCAAAAGGTTGATGGACTTCAGGGCTGAACACATGTTATTGCCTTCTGGAATGGCCAAAAGCATTTCCCCAAACCAGAAGATCTGCATATATATTATTGCCTGTTGTTATACAGCTGAGGGCATTTCAATTTACATGTTATTGCCTCCTGCTGGCCAAACAGCTGAACAGTCAAGGACATTTCCCCCAACCTGACAATATCTATTGTATCCTAAACCTTACCTTTGATTCTGCTTTGCTATAGGACAAAATATGGGAATAAAAAGAGCCCTGAATCCAGAGACTCAGAGAACTTAGCTACTACAGCTAAGCTTCCTTTGGCTCCCCCATGGATTACAAATTTATATTACATTTCTAGTTTCTTTATTAATTTACATGCAGCCTTTCTCCAGATTCCTGAACCCTTCTAGATGCTGAATATCAACCTGGCATTAATTCCACAAATAAGTGAAATAGTATGGTACTTGTCTTTCTTCGACTGATTTATTTCACTTAGCATAATACTCTCCAGGTCCCTTCGTGCTGTTGCAAAAGGTAAGATTTCCTTCTTTTTTATAACTCAGTAGTATTCCATTGTATAAATGTACCACAGCTTTTTTATCCACTCATCTACTGATGGGCACTTGGTCTACTTCCAAATGTTGGCTATTGTAAATAAAGCTACAATGAACATAGAGGTATATCTATCCTTTTGAATTAGTGTTTGGGGTTTCTTTGGATATATTCCAAGAAGTGAAATTGCTGGGTCATAAGGTAGTTCCATTTCTAATTTTTTTAGGTAATTCCATACTGTTTCCTGCATTCCCGCAAACAGTCCATGAGGATTCTCTTTTCTTCACATCCTCGCCAAAACTTCCTTCTTGTCGATTTATAGATGGTAGCCATTCTGACAGGTGTGAGGTGATATCTCATTGTGGTTTTAATCTGCTTTTCTCTAATGACTAATAACATCAAGCATAAACATCCTTTCATATGTCTATTGGTATTTATTTATTTATTTATTTATTTATTTATTTATTTATTTATTATTGAATTTGGGTGACATAGGTTCACAAAACCATATAGGTTTCAAGCGTACCAACCCTTATTTTAAACTTTAATTATTGCCAGTATCTCATACCATACTCCAAGAAAGGGGTATTAAAATACTAAGAGACTCCTAAGCATATTAATCATCCTTGCCTCTAAATAATGTGTTTTTTAAATTGATCTGAGAGAAAGAAAGAGAGAGATCACTTGCCTCACATATGTGTCTCAACTGGGGATGGAACAGGCAACCTGGTTATGTGCCCTTACTGGGAATCAAACCTGGCCCCTCTTGGTGTGTGGGATGATGCTCCAACCAAATAATCAACTGAGGCATATGTATTATGTAAATAACTATTGAATACATCCTATCATCTCCTGCTGTTTACTGCTGTTACCCAACTCAGAACATTTTGGTGGTGTTTAAGATATAATTTTCATCAGACTATTTTTTATTTAATTTATTGGTATAATATTGATTAAAAAAATTACTAAGTTTCAAGAATACAATCATTATCTCACCTAGACTACTGTTATTTTCCTCCATACTCTCCTTCCAGTTTTGTTTCTTATCTGCTGACAGGCAAATTGATCATGCCGGATTATGTATACCAGAAAAGGAAAGTAATCAGTAATGAAATGAAACTGTACAATAGTATTCCTAAAGTAACATGGGAGAGGGGAAGAGAAAGAAGGAAGAAAAAGAAAGAAGAGATGCCTGAACCTAAATAAAGAACAAAAATGAGGAAATAGATTAACTAACAAACATACAAAATAAAAATACAAAATGATAGAAGTAAAAATTAAGTATGCCAACTTTGAAATAAATGTGGATATAATTCTCTTAGTAAAAATAGAATGTGTCAAACTGTGTTTAAAAATCAAACAATATTCTGTTAACAAAAGATATACTTAAAACAAAATGTCAGGTAAATAAAAGTAAAAGAACTAAGATTCCATGAATATGCAAACAGAAAGCAAAGGTGGCAATATTAATATCAGATAATGTAGCATTTAAGCTTAAAAATTACCAAAACACAATAAAAATTATAATAACAAAAGATATAATTAATTTAAAAATATAACTACAACAAGCTGTTAAAATAGGACTCTAGTATTTAAATTAGGCTAAAGTCTCCAGAATGTGGTGGACTATTTTCCCATGTGAGCTAAGTAAACTTAATGAAAGAAATCAGACTGGGTTCAATATATAGAATGGCATATAGTCCACCAGACATACTAATATAGAACTCTCACAAGTGTAAGGTTTGAGGGATAGAGTCATAAGCAACCAGTAAAGATACATTTCCTACATAATAGGAATTGTAGTTGGAAGTTTCCTGAGGGCTATTTCATTGAGGCCTACAAAGTACCCCCTAGATAGTTAGCACTAAAAATATGCCAGCCTTGGACTGCACCAATGACAAATTAGTCTTTTCCTTTCAAAATTCAACACTGTGAAATTTTATAGCAGTCAACTATACAGAACTGTTTATAAAGAAAAGAGATTTGCAATGTCCAATATTAACCAACTAAATTGTCTTTATTTTTTTATTAGTTTCTTCTATTTGATATAATCAAAACAAACATACATACATACATACACAGAGAAATGAGAATTAGAAAATCTACCCTATTGAAGAACCATCAGAATCTTTTTAAAAGTATCTATAAAAATAAAAGCATAATATGGTAATTAGATCAGACATCCTTCCGGACAAAGCTAGGGCTGCAAAGGCCACCTGTTCACATTTGCATGAATTTTGTGCATCGGGCCTTTAGTAGTATAATAAAAGTTCTATTTTATGGGATAACTCCAAGCTTCTAGGTATTTTTACCAGAAATGAATTCATATAGAAAATAGGAGAATCTAAATGCCTCAAACTTATAATCATTACAGTTCCATAAAATACCTACAAAATTAAGAACTCTGAAGAGTAAACCTCCTACTTGTTTTTAAGAAGTTCTTTAGTTAAGAAGGAAAAATTCACAAAGTTCAGTTGAGACTGTAATTTCTATTCTTATGCATAATTATTTAAGGACTGCAAGCAGAAAAAAATGTTTGCTTTTCCCAGGTGGTAATTTTAACAATTCTCTTTCATTCTAGCTATCTAAAAGAATTACAGGATAAGTTCAAACACTTATACATTACACAAAGGTCCTTTACTACCTGATTATTAAATAACTTTCCACCTCTCAGTATGTCCCCAAAAGCACTCCTTCTCACCTAGCCAAAGTAGCTTATATATAGTTCTTCAAATGTTACAGACTCTTCAGTTGCTTTGTCTTAGCCCAGTGGTCAGCAAACTCATTAGTCAACAGAGTAAACAGTACAACGATGGAAATTTCTTTTGAGAGCCCAATTTTTTTAAAATTAAACTATATAGGTAGGTATTATACATTGTTATTAACTTAATTAGGGTATTCCTAAGCTTGTCCTTCCGAAAATCTCAAGGGCCAAAGAACCACATATGGCTAGCGAGCTGCAATTTGCCGACCACTATCTTAGCCTATTATCTTTTTCTTTTCTTCACCTAGTCAATTCAAAATAGTATATCCTCTTGTCTCATTTCCCTCTCCTGGCTGAGTTACCTCACTTTTGTACTCCCATAATACTCTGTATATACCCTTATGATAGTCCTTATGTTTCTATATTATAATCCATTATTTCCTGTATTCCTCATTAAATAACATTTTTAGGACACTAACTGTGTCAAATATATCTCTGTATTCCCAATAGCTACTTAATGCATGAATTGTGTAATTATTTCATTTAAATTCAGTGGAAATTTTATAAAAATATCCCTTTAGTCTAAATATATAGAAATAGGTCAGCCGGTATGGCTCTGTAGATTGAGCATCGTCCACTGAACTACAAGGTTGCTGGTTGGATTCCTGGTCAGGCATATGTGCAGGTTGTGGCCTCGATCCTCAGTACATCCATGATAGATGTTTCTCTATCATGGATGTTTCTATCTTCTCTCCTTCTCCCTTTCCCTCTCTCTAAAAAACCAGTAAAATAAAAAAAAATAAAAAAAATAAGTAAAATAAATAAATATATAGAAACTAGAGGCCTGATGAACAAAATTCGTGCAAGGCACTTGGCCCTCGCAGCTCCAGCAGCCCATATAGCCCCTCGCAGCCTCAGCTGGCCCTGGCACCCAGGCTTCATCCAGAAGCTTGTCCAGAAGCCCTACCGCTGTTCCATCTAATTAGCCTATTAGCTCTTTATTATATAGGATATTGATTGGCCAACATGGCTCAGTGGTTGAATGTCAATCTATGAACCAGAAGGTCATGTTTCAATTCCTGGTCAGGGCACATGGCAAATGCCTGGGTTGCAGGTTCAATCTCCAGTGTGGGCCATGCAGGAGGTAGCTGATCAATGATTCTACCAGCATTGATGTTTCTGTCTCTCTCCTTCTCCCTTTCGCTCTGAAATCAATAAAAATATATTTTAAATATATATATATACTCACTTCTATATTTGGCAGAGTTATTGTCACCTGTTCACCTTTGCCAACTTCAAGTTCTCCTTCACAAGAAGTGTCAACAGAAGCAGGCTTGAAGTCATCTAAAAATAGATACAGATACAGATTTTTATAAGATGAAATATACCCTATTACTTAGATATGAGCATGTGTCAGAATAATAAAACATTTTTCAACAACCAGTAATTAAAATAATTTAAAGGAGTCTTTATATTACAAACAGACAAACAAAATACAATCCAGTTTACTTCTGTAAGTATAATAAGAAACCACAAAATTCAGCTAAACTAAAAAGATGAGAAGTTGGCCAACAACCTCTGACATTAGTTTCACTGATACCAATATCAATGGGGAGAGAAGACAACAATATCTTCTTTTATAATATCTTTTCAGAGACATCTCTTTCCATTCTTGCCTCATTCAAACTAACTTCCAATCAACAAAAGGCTAAACTATCGAAGTACCTAGAGTTTGCCCTTCTTCTTTTCTCTGTGCTTTTGCTCTCTTAGAATTTGAATCCTATTTCAAAGTTCCCTCTTCCCTGAAGGGGTCTCTGTGCTTAGCCCTCTCCCTACTCTCCAAAATCTCAACTCTTATCCATTTCTGTAGCATTTGCCATCCTATATAATAAATATACAAATTGCCCATCGCTCCAACACACAAGATGGCTGCCCCCATGTGGTCAAAGATGACCCATCCCCATGTGGACACAAGATGACCACCACAAGATAGCCAGCAAGGGAGGGCAGTTGGGGGTGATCAGGCCTGCAGGAGAAGGCAGTTAGGAATGACCAGGCCAGCAGGGGAGGGCAGTTAGGGGCAATCAGGCAGACAGGCAGGCAAGTGGTTGGGAGCCAGCAGTCAAGGCTGAGGGACACTGCTCCCACAGTGCACAAATTTCGTACACTGGACCTCTAGTATCACTTGTGAAAAATCTAACATATATTATCTGAAATTATTTAACACTTTGAGTCCTATTGGACTATAATATTTATTTAGTTGTTTTTAAGTTGTTGGGTTACACTGTTAATAAAATTATACAGGTTTTAAGTGTATAATTCTATAATGTATCATCTGAAAACTTTATTGTGTGGTCACCACCTCAAATCAAGTGTCCATAACATTTATTTATTTTTATTATTATTCTTTTTTAATCCTCACCAGAGGATATTTTTCCTTGATTTTTAGAGAGAGTTGGAGAGAGAAGGAAAGACAGAAAGAAATATCAATGTAAGAGAAACACATCAATTGGTTGCCTCCTGCTCTTGACCGAAATCCAAACTGTTTTTAAAAAATAATTCTTTATTGTTGAAAGTATTACATATGTCCCTTTTTTACCCCCAGTCTGCCCCTGCCCCTCAAGTCTCCATAACTTTTAAAGCACAATGCCTTATACTTGAATTCCTCCAGAACTGTGGCTCCTGGCACAATGTCTTTAATATAATGGGCTCCTAAGAGATCTTTATAATTGACTCCGATTCATATTCCTTCTCTGAACCATCTCCAAACTTATTTTTAAAAAATATTTTTATTGAATTTTAGAGACAGAAAAAGAGAGAGGGGGGAATAGAAACATCAATGTTTCTATAACAAAATATCAATCAGCTGCCTTCTGTATGCCCCCTACTGGGGAATCCAGCCCAGAACTCTTTTGATACATGAGTTGATGTCCAACCAACTGAACCACACCAAATATTTTTATTGTGTACAGAGAGAAAGGAAGAAGGAGAGAGATAGAAACATCAATGATGAGAGAGGATCATTAATGGGATGCCTCCTGCATACCCCCTGCCGGGGATGGAGCCTGCAACCCATGTTCCCTTGACCAGATTTGAACCTGGGACCCTTCATTCCTCAGGCCTACACTCTATCCACTGAGCCAAACCAGCAAGGGCACCAAACTTATTTTTAATTACCAGCTTATCTTTAAAAAAAAAATCATAAGATAACCTGGCAATACCTAGCCCATATTCCTTTTGGCAGTGGTTGGCTGGAGCCAAGTTGTAGTTGTCCCCTTGAGATTGTGCTTAGTCATTTCTGGGTCACTAGGGTTCCCACCTGTCAGGAGGCAGAGGCAGTTAGGGGCAATCAGGCTAGCAGGGGAGACCATTTAGGGGTGAGATCAAGTCTGCAGGGGAGGGCTGTTGGGGGCAAGATCAAGCCGGCAGGGGAGGGCAGTTAGGGGTGATCAGGCAGGCAGAGGCAGCTGGGGGTGAGATAAGCCTGCAGGGGAAGGCAGTGGGGGGGGCAACCAGGCTGACAGGGGAGGGCAGTTGGGGGTGAGATCAGGCCAGCAGGGGAGGGCAGTTAGGGGCGATCAGGCAGGCAAGCAGAGGGTTTAGGGGCAATCAGGTAGGCAGGCAGAGGCATTTAGGGGTGAATAAGACAGGCATGCAGATGAGCAGTTAGGAGCCAGTGGTCCCAGATTGCAAGAGAGATGTCCAACTGCTGGTTTATGATCAATCCCACAGGGTATACTTCAGCCCAGCCTACACTCTCTCCAATCTGGGACCACTCTCACAATCAGGGACTGTTGGCTCCGAACCACTTGCCTGTCTGCCTGCCTGATTGCCCCTAACCACTCTGCCTGCCAGCCTGATAGCCCCCCATAATCACTCTCTGGGTGGCCTGATTGAAGCCTAACTGCTTCCCTGCCAGCCTGATTGCCCCCAACTGCCTTCCCCTGCCAGCCTGATTGCCCCCAACTGCCTTCCCCTACAGGCCCAGATTGTCTCCAACTTCCCTCCCCTACTGGTCCGATCACACTCAACTGCCTTCCTCTGCAGGGCTGAGGGAACTGGGGGACTCCGACTAGATGAGGCGGGGCTAAGGGGACTGAGGCTGGATGCTGTGGGGACTGGGTGAGGCGGGGCTGAGGGGACTGGGGAACTGAGGCTGGATGAGGCGGGGCTGAAGGGACTGGGAGCTGCCATCTTGTGAGGGTGCAATGGTCAATTAGCATATTCCCTCTTTATTAGACAGGATAATAAAAGCCTATTATGCTAAGTGTCTGGTCATCCAGTTGTTGGTTCAACCAATCCAAGCATAATATCCTAATGATATAGTAAGGCTGCTCAATTGCTCGCTATGATGTGTACTGACCACCAGGGGGCAGACACTCTCATCAGTAGGTTAGCTTGCTGCTGGGGCCGGCCAATTGAGACTGAGCAAGACAGGTTGGACATGCCCTCCCACATCCCTCCCTGGCCCTGATGGTGCACTGGTGTGGTCCCTCAGCCTGGCCTGAACCCTCTCAAAACCCAGTACCCCTCAGTGGATGTTGGAGAGCTGGTTTCAGCCTGATCCCACTCAACACAGGAACTGCCCTCTGGTGGTGAGTGCACTCCCACAGGGGTAGTGCCGCTCAGCCAGAAGCCAGGCTCACAGCTGGCAAGCACAGTGGCAGTGGCGGGAACCTCTTCTGCCTCCATGCCAATATATAGACTAATGGCTGGGAGTGGGCCTAGCTGTCAATCGGACATCCCTCAAGGGTTCCCATACTGTGAAGAGGGTGCAGGCCAGGCTGAGGGACCTTCCCCCACCCTAGTGCATAAATTTTGTGCAATGGACCTCTAGTTTACAAATAAAATAAAATAAATAAGTCTATCAAAACTATTCTGAACCTACTTGTATTTCTATTCTATTAAGATAAATTTCACTTTTTATTATGTTATTTAAGTAAAGTCTTATATTTACCTTCAAACAAAAAGTTAAAAAAAAAATGTTTGTTTGTTTTTATCTTAGAGAGAGAGGGAAAGAGAGAGAGAGGAAGGGAAAGGGAGAGAGAGAAAAAAGCATCCAAGAGAGATAAAAATGAATCAGCTGCTTCCTCCTGCACACCCCCTACTGGGGATGGAGTTAGCAAACAGGGTATATGCCCTTACCAGGGAATCCAAACTGTGACCTTTTGGTGTATGGGACTAAGCTCACCCAACTGAAACACACTGGCCAAGGCAAAACAAGTTTTTTAAAAAGTAGACAACTTTTCAATTTCAAGGGGTTAAGTATATAGCTCTAGAATTTTAGAAATTGTTGAATAATCGAACCTCATGCTTTCCATATGCTTCCAAATGTCAAATACATTTTCTTGTAAATTGCTGATCCCAAACTAAATAGTTTATTTCTTTCAGTTCTATTTGGTTTGGAAATTTCACCACCAAAATTTTACTGTTATTCTTCCCTCTGGATTTCCTTCATCTATGTTATTTTCTTCAGCTTTACAATACAATTACTTATCCTATTTAATAAAAAGGATAATATGTAAATCAACCAAAAGTGGAATGACTGGTTGCTAGGAAGTGTACTGACCACCAGGGTGCAGACGAGTAAAGCAGGAGCTTCCCCTTGATGGTCAATACACACCCACAGGAGGAGTGCCTCTCAGCCAGAAGCTGGGCTCACGCTGGCGAGTGCAGTGGTGGTGCCAGGAGTCTCTCCAGCCTCTGCATCAGCACTACAGACCCCTCAGGGGTGTCCACCTGCTGATTTAGGCCCACTCCTTGAGAAGGCGCAGGCAGGCCTGAGGGACCCCACCCCCAGTGCACAAATGTTGTGCACCCAGCCTCTAATATTACATAAAGAATAGAAAAACATATCCTACTTTGTAGTTAATACTTTTCTGTTAATGTTAATCACTTTTCTGACTATTTTACCTGTAACATCACATAATCTCAATATCTTCATAAAAGATTCCACAATAATTATAAATTTACTTCCTGGGATTTGAACTAATTCAATTAACTCCAAAACCCACACTCTTGCCAATATACCACACTGATCAGAGAACATATAATTATAATTTTAATCTTCGTTTCCATTATTGTACTTTCTAATATTTTCTCACATAAAAGCTTAATAATTACTTCATTGGGAGTGGCTCCACTTGACACCTAGGACAACCTCCCTGTAGTCAATGCAGATGAGCTCTTCATTTTGTGACAACAAAAAGTGATATCATTTACAAACCAAGAAATTTCAATGATTATTCCCTTATCTGAATATATTTTGTAAAATTAGTACAATCCCATATCCAAAATGTATTCTAGTGAGTTCTGTTACTTAAACTCTTCTACCCTGTGAAACATCTGCTGCTAAGCATTTAGCTTATCATTTATAGAACATCCCATGTCTGCCCTACCACATGCCAGACTATCTTTTCCTTAATTTTATTGCCAAGCCCTGATAAATGCTTTTGAAAGTCTAAATAAATTACATTCATTGGTATTCCTCATACACATAAATGTAACCCTTCAAGAAAAATAGTGACTACTATTTATTCTTTACCACACACCAAATATTTTGCTAAGTTGTTTCTGCTATCTTATTATTCTTTAAAAACTCTATAATTTAGATATTATTACTGCCATTTTGCATAACATATATGTGCTGGAGGCCAAAATTCATATGTAGATTTTCCAAAGTCTCAGCATATTGGACAGGCATAATTACTCCTTTTCATAAAGAAAATATGTTACTTTCTCCCAGGCTATATTGACTTGAGTGTTTGTTATAAGTTAGGTTCACGTTCTCTGTATGACAATCAGACCTATTCTGTAGTTTCCTTCCTCCGCTATGAGTCTTTAGGAGTGAGGATCATAAGGAAAATGAATCTATCCTCAAGAATAATGACTGGTTTTCCTGTGGCTCAGTTGGTTATCTGTTCAAACAATCAAAACATAATATGCTAATGAATGCTAAGGCCACACAACTGCTTGCTAGGATGTGCACTGACCACCAGGGGACAGTCAACAGCTCGACCAGTCGCTATGACATGCATGGACCACCAGGGAGCAGATGCTCAATGAAGGAGCTGACCCCTGGTGGTCAGTGCTCTCCCACATGGGGAGCTTCAGCTAGAAGTGAGGCTCATGGTGACAAATTAGTCGCTAAGGATGTGCGACTGACAGCTTAGACACCCTCTACCCCAGCACATGAGTTTCGTGCACCAGGTCTCTAGTACTTAAATAAATATAGAAATATTCTGTCTCCTTCAACAACAAGAATAAAACCAAAGGGCTGAAAACCTAATGTCTTCCACAGGACTAAGAGTATATTCACATATCTCGGTTTATTGTGGTTGTTTTTTAGTTTATTTTCATTCTTGTAGGTGGATCATCTGACGGCACAATTTCAGCATTTTGAGAACTTTTACAAATGAAAGGCTTTGAAACCCCTGCAAAGCGCTTTTCAAAGGCTATTTTTATTCACTTAATTTGGGGTTCACACCCTTAAAAAGAGGATATACACCCAAGTTACATGAAAATATATTCTTGAGCAAATTTTTATAATCATAAATTCTGTCCTTTTGAAAAATTAAACTGTATACCTGAGAAAAAAGAGGAAAGAAGAGAGGCAGTATTAGTTGAGAGAAAGTCATGGGGAAACAAGGTAATAACTATAACACACTTTTGTAAAATGGGACTGAAGAAGGCAAGAAACTTTACAGCCAGCATTTACTATCTCACTGTGGAGAGTTTAGGACAACAGAGCATGGAGAAGAACTCAAAGGACATTTTTTAAGAGCCTCTGTTTACAAATATATCCTCCACTTATTCCATCAATTGGATACTGATTTTCTTAACAAAACCCTTTATAAAATGTAAGTGTATCCTTGGAAAATTAGAAGCCAAATTAGTTCTTCATATCTTTACTATGAGTCAATATAATTAGATGGTCTAAAACTTACTAAACGTTTGGGGAATGTAAGTTTTAATTCGGTGTTTTGGTTGAAGCATGGGTCACCTCGGAGTAAAAACCATAAAGACCTCTGGATGGTCTAGGAACAGGAAGACTGAGAAAAATGTAAAACTGAGACGCTATACACCAAGGAAGGGCAGAGCTGGGGAAAGGAAGTGAAAAAAAAATACCTACTTTACAATTTTGGCACACAAAAAATAAGAGGTTATGACTCAATGATCTCAACGTTTCCTTTCCGCTCTATAATTTTATGAGGGCTATTATGCAAAGAATGAATGTTTTACATACCAAATCATAATATGCTATATTTTCCTTTCTGTAATCTATATCGTCCAACTATTAAAGCAAAAGAGCTCCCTTTTCTACCTCAATATATAAAAAAAAGGATAATTTATTAAAACTAGTTCCAGAAGACAACCAAAGGGAAATCAAAAGGAGACATCACAGGGAGGTAAATATCTTTCCAATAAAGAATGACACACCCTCCGATACTGTGATGGTCAGTATTTGATCATCAGGAATCCAAAAGAGATGCAGACTGTTAGAATGGTTCAGAATCTCTCCCCAGGATCACACTAAATAAGAACCCTAATTAGCCAAACAGAAAAGGTGAAGAAGAAGAAGAAGAAGAAGAAGAAGAAGAAGAAGAGGAGGAGGAGGAGGAGGAGGAGGAGGAGGAGGAGGAGGAGGAGGAGGAGGAGGAGGAGGAGGAGGAGGAGAAGGAGGAGGAGGAGGAGGAGGAGGAGGAGGAGGAGGAGGAGAAATAATCATTTGTCCACCAGCCTCAAGGCATTCCCTTCCCTCTGTCCAACTTGGGTCCTCTGCTCCCTTCCATTTGTCACCTTTCTGTTTTCCTTTCCACCTTTGTATCACCCAGCCGTCGTGTCTGTCTGCAGTCCCTCCTGCAGACCCTCTTCACTAAGTTTCCCTTTCGCCTGCTGGTTTTTACTAAAATCTCTGTCCAGGGTTTATCCACACCTGCTGAACTCTGGCTCCTTCCACCGACCCGACCCCCCAGGACTCCAAGCGGGGCGGAGGATCGCACAGGGCAACCCCGGTTCCCCAGCAAAATACGGGAATCCGTGGGAACACAACTCGGGAGACGTTCGTGCCTCCAAACCCCCTGTCCCGGAGCTCCCCCTTTCCCCAGGATGGTCCTCACTCACAGCGCACGGTGTGAAAGGCGCATCGCGGCCGCTTCTCAAAACTGTCGCCCAACTTGAGAATCCGCTCGCGGCTGTCGGCGTACCAGGGTCCATTCATTATCCTCCTCCGGCTCCGACTTGGCCCTCTCCTCCCCCTGACGCGCCTCTAGACCATCTGCCACCTCAGCCCGAGGAGCAGCCTTCGCCGCCGCGAGAGCAGCCCGCCCAGACTCCGCCCCGCGCCCGACGCGCGCGCCCCCTGGGAGCATCTCGAGTGCTGATTGGCTGCCCGGCGAAAGGCGCCCCGCCCCTTGGCTCCAGAATCCCGGTCCCGCCCCCGGGCCTTTTCCCGCGTTGCGACGCGCGCCGCTCCGGGAACGCCGCGCCGCGGAGGAGTGGGAGTGAGGGGCTTCGGCGGTGGAACGCGGAGCGGGATGAGGTGAGGGGCCTGAGGGGGAGGCTGGGGAAGGAGCGGGCCCCGAGGTACCGACAGGCTGGGGCTCCAGACTCCTGGCGCTCGTGTCCCGGAATGTCGGAGCTCCTAACGGGAGAAGGGGCCTGCCGCACGGCCCTTTCTGTGGAGATTTAGCGTGGAAACTGAGGCCCGGGGAGGGCCGACTCGCGGCCCAAAGGCCTGGTGGCGCCCGAGTTCGTTCTAGAATCATGGGAAAGGGAGCCCGAGGCCTTTTTTCTTTTTCTTTTTCTTTTTTTCCCCCCTCCCTTCGGTCCTGGGACCTGACTGGGAGGCGACGCCGTTACCTAGGCAATCATTTTCTGACCTGTTCCTGAGGAAGTTCTCCCCTCCCGACGATTGGGACTCACCGGGTCGGGGCGCGGGAAGCGAGGCGGGGGTGGGAGGAGGGGAGGGAAGATTCCGAGTTCCAAACTGCAGACGTTTAGGATCAATGGCAACTACATTGCACTGGGTTGTCTTCTTTATTTCCTTACCAGGGATCCGTGGGGGCAGTAACCGCTCAGCCAAGAAGACCGGATTCCTGAAAAATCAAGGCGAGAGCTTGTGCTCTGGGTAATAGCATTTATCATAGAAAATCTTTTTTTTTTTTTCTGTCAAAAAGTTCATGAGCTTAGTAGTAATAAAGATGAGAGAAGTGTTGTATTAAAGGAGAAGCCCTTGCAAAAAGGTTAATAATGTAATAAAAATCTACTCCCTTACTTAACTAAGACCTCAGTCAGACTTGTCAAATTTATTGTTCCAGGCAGGTAGGTGAATGCCTCCCATAATCTACCTGATTATCTAAGTGCGACTCTTTTAAGGTGCACTGAGACCTTGTGTGGTGAAGTCAAACCCAGAATCCCTTTGGATTTGAACTTCATACTTGATAATTGTGGCTTTGTGCAAACAAAAGTTAAGTGTGCTCATTGTAAAAATTGGGGGAGGAAATAATAGTTCTTACACCTTTGAGTTGTTGAGGGAATTAAATGAGTTAATACATTGAAAGCATTTAAAACAACATAATAAAAGCCCTCCAAGTGGTTGTTATTATCGAGACTTGACTGTCATGCAACATTTTAGGGCCATCCTTGGTGACTGCCTTTGAATTATCTAGGAAGTAGGAATTGCTGTTTTGGTTATTTTACCAAACAAACAAAACACACACACACACACACACACACACACACACACACAAACAAAAAAAAAAAACTGGTTCAGGGAAGCCCTGTCCTTTGACTCCATGATCTGTATTATCATCTGTGTCATCTTTTTGGCACTTAACATTTTATATAGTTATTTTATTTTACATATATGAGTGTGTGTGTGTGTGTGTGTGTGTGTGTGTGTATACTTTTCCTTCCCAATTAGCACATTGTGAGGGAATATGTCCTAAATAAAATCTTTGTAACCCTTGCATCTAATATAGTGTCCTCCCACATGTTCGGTGATAATAATGTTTCAGTGATGTTTTATTATGTTAGCCAGAGAGCAAGAACAGTGTTTTAAACCTATTTTACCTAAAAAGGCTTCCAACCAAAAATCTGAGGTTTCCGTTTTGTAACAAGGAGAAAAGCATAGGGTCAAGAAATTGAGTTTTAGAATGCCCAAAGTTGGTGCCTTTATTTGTTCTCTCAAGGTATATTCATTAAGTTTCTACCGTATGCCAATCTCTAGTCTAGCCTCTTTGGTAATATAGCAATGTACCAGAGAGAAGCAGGCAGCTATCAAGGGTGGTCTGAGTTTTGCCCTCATAAAGCTTACATTGTAGTGTGAATTTCTCCAAATTATGTTGTACTAGAGTAGGAATGAGCAAATAATTAATGAACTACATAGAATCCAAAAATACACTCAAGTGGAATTTCAGATCACTTGTTATATCTGTCCATGACTAATTATCTCAGGAATTTGACAGCCATGTGCTTTTGTTCTTATTTCACCAATCAGTAACCTCATCTAACTTTAAAAATGTAGTTAGATACCCATCTACACCATTCAGAAAAATAACATATATGTACTAGATATATAAATAAATATTTTCAGTTAAATGAAAATAAAATACAACAAAACTATAAAAGATTAGTGGAAAAAAAGGAGAATAGATATTTAGCTCTTAGGATAGGGAGCATGACACCAATGGCAGGAGCCATAGAAGAAAAGATTATTATACTTGACTACATAAAAATTGTAAAACTGATAAATCCAACTTCAAGGAAAATTCATCTTATAAAGTACCAGATGAGTGCATAAAGACATGTACTTTGGTATTCATTAACACATTACTTACTTAGTTATGCTTGACTTCCAATACAGGAGACCTATAATAATAAAAGAGTAATATGCTAATTAGACCAGATGTCATTCCGGATTTCCTTCCCTGACCCAGCTGGGACCAGAGAGAAGCCAACCTGGGTCCCAGGTGCCTGCGGGGGGAGGAAGCCGGTGCAGACAGCCAAGGGAAGGAAGGCCTACACTTGAACAAATTTTCATGCATCAGGCCTCTAGTGTTTAAATATACAGCCCTCTTCTCACCCTCAATGGATGCCTATAACCACAGGTGCACCAAACCATACATATACTATATATTTTTCCTATGTACACATACTAATGATAAAGTTTATAAATTAGGCACAGTAAGAGATTACTAACAATAATTAATCATAATATAGAACAATTATAACATTAAACTAATAAAAGTTATGTGTGGTCTCAAATATTTTTTAAAAATATATTTTATTGCCGAAACCGGTTTGGCTCAGTGGTAGAGCGTCGGTCTGTGGACTGAAAGGTCCCAGGTTCGATTCCGGTCAAGGGCATGTACCTGAGTTGCAGGCACATCCCCAGTAGGGGGGTGTGCAAGAGGCAGCTGGTCGATGTTTCTCATCGACATTTCTAGCTCTCTATATCTCTTCCTCTCTGTAAAAAATCAAAATATATTAATATATATATATTTTTTATTGATTTTTTTATATAGAGGAAGAGAAAGGGAGAGAGTCAGAAAAATCAATGAGAGAGAATCATCGATCAGCTGCCTCTTGCACACCCCCTACTGGGGATGTGCCTGCAATCAAGGTACATGCCCTTGACCAGAATCGAACCTGGGACCTTTCAGTCTGCAGGCCGACACTATCCACTGAGCCAAACCGGTTTCGGCTCTCAAAATATTTTATTATACTGTAATCACCTTTTTACTTAAAAGAAGCACTTTACAGCTCTCTTTGACATATCCAGATTGGCCAGCATTACTACTGTCGGCATTTTGGGGCCATTATTTAGTAAAATAAAGGTTTCTTGAATACAAGTACTTCATCACCAAGAAGACTACTAAGTGGCTAATTGGCAGAAAGAGTGTGAAAACACTAGACAGAGGGATGATTCACATCCAAGGCAGAAAGCAAAACCATGGATAAAGGGGGGACTGCTGTATTTTGATTCACTCTGATAGAGGAAGCATAGCTTAATGTTGCCATTGGAAAGAATGAGGTATCTATACCCACATTCTTGGAAAATTGTGTGCCTGCTATGTGCTGGAAGTTGTGCTGGACTTTCTTTAAAACAGTTCCTGAAAATTTGTTTTTTAAATTATTCATATTTTACCTAATAAGGAATGATTTGGGATGCATGTATTATGGCCAACTCTTCAATATAAAGGATGGACAAATGTGAAGAATAGCTAAAGAAGTGAGTTAGAATAGGTGATTTGGGTATGTTTTGTGTGTTTTACTATTTTATATGGGAGGGAATATTATAAATATTATAATTAAAACCATAGACTTTGGAGTCGGACTGATTTGGATTTGAATGCATGCTGGTGGAATCATGACAGGTTTCTTAAGTTCTTCAAGCTTTATTTTTCTTATCTGTAAAATGGAGATAATTATGCCTTATAGTCTTGTTATGAGGATTAAATAGAGTATGCATATAAAATATAGTACTTTTCTCTCCCTAACTGGTTTGGCTCAGTGGATAGGGCATTGGCCTGCGGACTCAAGGGTCCCAGGTTCGATCCCGGCCAAGGGCATGTACTTTGGTTGCGGGCACATCCCTAGTAGGGAGTGTGCAGGAGGCAGTTGATCGATGTTTCTCTCTCATCAATGTTTCTAACTCTCTATGCCTTTCCCTTTCTCTCTGTAAAAAATCAATAAAATATATTTAAATAAAATATAGAACTTTTCTTATGAGTGATATCTTTGAGATTTGAATGCTTTAAATGAAATTATTTTTCTAAAGAAAAGTTTTAGCAACAAATTGAATTGGGATGTAGATTTTAAAAAATATTTAAGATAATTGATTTTATTCAGTCTGTTTTTATAAACAAGCTTTGGTTATTTTATAATTACACAGTATTTCTGAGTTGTATATTGGGAATCCCCAAGACTAACCCCAGATTCAGGGATTTGCTAAGAGGGCACATAGTTCTCAGGATATTGACATATTCATGACTGTGATTTATTTATTTATAATATATTTTTATTGATGTCAAAGAGGAAGGGAGTGGGAGAGACAGAAACATCAATGATGAGAGAGAATCATCAATTGGCTGCCTCCTGCACACCCCTTACTGGGGATCAAGCCTGCAACCTGGGCATGTGCCCTGACCAGGAGGATAGAGCATCAGCCTGCAGACTGAAGGGTCCCGGATTCATTTCTGGTCAGGGGCACTTCCCTAGTGGGAGGTGTGCAGGAGGCAGCTGATTGATGTTTCTTTCTCTCCAATGTTTCTAATTCTCTATTCTTCTCCCTTCCTATCTGTAAAAAAATAATAAAATATATTTTTTTTAAAGAAAAAATAGTAGTTTTAGGCCTATGTTAGCTCTTTTATGCATATGCGATTTTTCTTTTATGATCAGAGAAAATTCCTATCCTAGGATTGTTGTTCAGGAAAAAAAATGAATGTGAAGCCCCAGACACAGTTCTTGACTGTTAGTGAGTACACAATAAATAATACCTACTGTAGCCGTTACAGTAAAGTATAGGGCTCTCTAGCTCTTTTAGAGGTACACAAGTTTGAAAAACTATAAGGGAGAAATGAAAAACAAAACCTACCTTTTACTTCTTTAACAAAGCAAGCAGCGTTAAGTTTTCATTTACATTGATAATATATTTTAAAAATGTAGGGAGTAAATATTTTAGGGTATTTGACCTTTCTTTTCCTGATTCTGTTAAAATACAGGTGCTATGAGAAATGAAGCCAAAAGGTACAGACCCAAGGATTTTATCTCTAGCTGCTGAAGTTGCAAAAAGTCCTGAGCAGAATGTTCCTGTTATACTGTTGAAGTTAAAAGGTAAGGAAATCTTTTTGTGATTGGCTAACACTGTTTAAGGAATAAAATAATTCCATCATGGGTACAATTTTAGCATTTGTTTCTACAGTAAAATCTCGCTCTAATGGACTAATTCCAGCAAGGGGGTATCCGTTAAAGCCTAAAGTCTATTATTTTTAAATAAACTAGGTTTTCTGAATGCGTATGTTAAAAAATTGACAAATTAGTTTACCTGTTTTACTTATGTAGACAGGTTTGTGTAATTAAGCATGTATAAAAAGTTTAATTTAATAGAAAAGTTTTCCATACGTATTACTATAATTTTAAATTTATACTGAATAGGTCTAGTAAATGTTTGCATTCACCAGTCACCAGTAAATGTTTGCATTCACCAGTCACCACGTGTAAACAAAATGCACACGGCTGGGGTTTGGCTTAGCACACATGGAACATTGGCTGTCATCCCTTAAAACTGCTGAAGAAAGTCACTCCATGCAACAACAGAACCAGTTACCACTAGCGATGGGTGTAATTACATGCTAATTATTTGAGGAACATTGTTTATGAGTGGTGGATCTTGGATTTAAATATGTAGGCTATAGTTGTAATATTTATTTATGTCAGTAAAATGACTAGTATTTTTTTCAATATATGTTCTATTTGCTAACATTTATTAAAAATAACTGAATTCATAACAAAAAATAACTTGTTAATTTAATTATAAGCAAATCTTGGTTAAAACCATTTTAAAATTAACAGGATGTTAATTTTCACATATGACATAAGGACTGGAAATTTTGTACATTAAATCATACCCAGTCTGGCTCAGTGGATAGCATATTAGCCTGCGGACTGAAGGGTCCCAGGTTGGATCCCAGTCAAGGGCATGGACCTCAATTGGAGGTTTGATCCCGGGCTCTGGTCGGGGCTCGTGTGGGAGGTTACCAGTTGATGTGTCTCTCTTACACTGATCACTGATGTTTCTCTCTGTGTGTCTCTCTCCCTCTCTTCTACTCGCTCTAAAAATCAATGGAAAAATGTCCTCTGGTGTGGATAAACAAAAACAAACAAAATATCCCAAATCCGTTAAATCGAGATCCTCAAAACAAAGGGTTCACTTTAATTTTTTCAAGGAAACCTTAACATCATGATAAAGCAGTGCTTTTTCTTTTCTTTTTTAAAAATTTATTTCTTGATTAAGGTGTTATATATGTGTCCTTATGCCCCCATTTCCCTCCCCCCCCCCACACACACACACTCATGCAGTGCTTCTTTTAAAAATTATTTCTAGTTACTAGTCAACCTATAAAAAATAGTTTTTGAATTTATTACGTATAAATAAGTATATTTTATTTTCTTTTGCCTTAGAAATAATAAACAACACACCTTTCGGAAGCTCAGAGTTGAAGAAAATCAAACAGGATATATATTGTTATGACCTCATTCGATATTGCCTCTTGGTGCTCAGTCAAGATTGTTCTCGAATCCAGGGTGGTTGGGCTACAATTTCCCAGCTTACACAGATATTAAGGTAAAATGAAGCAATAAGTCAGTGTGTTCTTGGGAGATATGTTGGTAGATTCTTATTTTCAACATTTGCTCCTTTTTATTCATTTACGTAACAAGTATTGACAACCTCTTGTCGTAGATATGGTTGTACTTTTCTTTCACACTACATGTTGTTTTTCATCATAAATATATGTATATGTGAATATTTCAGTGTCTATAATTTTGCTCCATAAGCTCTATGAAGATGGTAATCATGTCTTTTGCTCGCCATTGAATTCCAAGTGCCAGTAGACTCTTTATTGACTAAGAATTATAGGAAGAAATAAAAATATTAAGGCACTGGCTCTATACTGGAAAAACTTACCATAGAGATGGGGTCACAGTCATGTGAATTTATTGTACAAGGCAGAATGAAACGGGTGCTGAAATGAAAGGCATAAGCAAAGTTAGTATAGGAGAACAGAATCTGTTCATTTCACTTTGTTTTGATTTAGCTATCTCAACTGTGTATGTCATTAGGTAACTCCAATCCTGTCAATAAAATTTAGAAGCAGTATTTACTGATCTACTGCCATACTAGAAATTTAGAGAAAAGAAATCAAAATCTTTTATTTTGCAAGAGTTGATAAAATAAACCAGATGTCCTCGGTGTCTAAGCCACCTCCAAATTAACAAAGTGTGCATTACTAAGTGGATTTAGCTTTTGAAACTGCTTTGTTATTAGGTGAAAGACAGAAAAAAACCAGCAGTGTACTTAGTACTTTTTTTATGCTTTGATTTTCAAGATTATTTACTTAAGTAAATAAAGCTTTATATCTTGTGTAATGTTTCATAAAAATATTGGTTGATCTGGGCCAGTGATCGGCAAATTGTGGCTCGCGAGCCACAGGCAGCTCTTTGGCCCCTTGAGTGGGGCTCTTGCACAAAATACCACGGCCTAGGCGAATCTATTTTGAAGAAGTGGTGTTAGAAGAAGTTTAAAAATTTGGCTCTCAAAAGAAATTTCAATCATACTGTTGATATTTGGCTCTGTTGACTAATGAATTTGCCGACCACTGATCTGGGCTCTCTTGAGTGGAATCCAATGTTTGTGAATGTATAAAAAACATAATTTCATTTGTTAATGTCCTCAATAAAAATAGGTACTCTTAAATAAGTAATTTTAGGAGGCAAACAGAAATTGATACATATGAGCATTAGTCCATTAACTTTACAACTTGATTTGCAAACCCAAAAACAAAATAGATACATTGAGCTAGCTAGTTAAGTTTTTAATATACTCTGTGTATAGTCACTATTGCTCATCAGTGTCTGCACATTTTGTGGAAAAGCCTTAGCAGTACTTACTCATGAGACATATAGAGACCATGCTTGAGTTTCCCCTTCTGATGTAAGGAATATGCAGTCAGATATTTTGCAGCTTTTAGGAAATTAGATCTATTAGAAAGTTGAATTGGTATAAAATTAGAGTGTTTGATATTCTAATCTATTCCTTACAGACTAATCTCACCATCACTATTTTTTCAGCTATTAGATGTCTAAAATGTATCCATTAATACAAATGATATTAAGGAGTTAGAGTGTTCGTAGCTCATCCCTGAAAACTTACCTCATTTCTCTTTATTGTGAGTCAAGTGTTTTGTGTTTTGAAGAGTTCACAAGTAGGTTTTTAGGACACATGAGTTCTGGCTCTTGGTATAGGCAAAGTCCACATGACTTTTCTAGAAAGTTGTTAAATAATTTTCCAGAAAAAGTTTATTATTGACTTGAGAAGTAAAGGAAGATACTAAAATTTCTTGTTAAGGCACAGTGTCTATAGAAGCTTTAGCATTCAATTAAAATTTATAATTAACCCAACCTGAGTCACAAACTTGTGCTCTTATTTCAGCCATTGCTGTGTGGGCTTAGAGCCAGGAGAAGATGCAGAGGAATTTTACAATGAATTACTTCCATCAGCTGCAGAAAATTTTCTGATTTTGGGAAGGCAGTTGCAAACATGTTTCATCAATGCAGCTAAGGTATATGTGTTTATTTAGTGTTTTGTGTTTTGTAGCCAAAACAATTTAATTCTTGAGAAGATGTTCCACTTTATTTTTCAAATGTACAATATTTGGCTGAAAGTACAATTAGAATAGTCAATTCAAATATTTTTAAAGTAACAACCCAAAAAAAGTCTACATTAAAAAAATTTTAAGTGCTGGCTGAAGCATACTATTTGACTTTTTGAAGGCTCTGCCTTACTATGCAACTTTGAACAGCACCTGTAGACATTTATTTCCATAGCATTTTCCTACTTAAATTAACAGTAGAGAAAAGTATTGTTCTCTAGGCCCAAGGCTTTTCTCAATAACTCCAATAGTGAAGCAAAATAAAAGTGAACCTTCTATTAGATCTTTCAAATTTTCTCTAGTCAAAATATTTCAACATCAACATAGGGTCATATCAATCCAACAAGTATTTCTTGGGTGAATTGTACTAGATGCTATATATACATTTTTTCCTGACCTATGGAATTAAGAATTTGGAATTAAGTCCTGGCTCATGTGGCCCAGTTGGTTGGAGCGTTTTTCTGTACACCAAAAGGTCTTGGGTTCGGTCCCCAGTTGGGGTACATGTGGGAGGCAACTGTTTGATGGTTCTCACATCAGTGTTTCTGTCTCTTTAAAATCAATTAAAAAAGGATATCCTCAGGCAAGGATTAAAATAATAATAAAATAATTTAGAATTAATTTTAATAAATTTATAAGTATATTGCTTAATTTCCAGATATTTAAGGATTTCCTTGATGTTTTATAATTGTTATCCATTTCTTAATTCTGACATGGTCAGATAATATACACTGTACAATTAAATTCTTTGAAATGTTTTCAGATTTGTTTTATGGCCTCCATATGTTTTTATGTTGGTGAATATTTCTTTATAAACATTCCTTGCTTTGCACATTGCTATCTCAACTGAAACTCAACTGAAACACACATATCAGAGCCATGTAAAAGTTTAAATATATACAAGTTTCATTTAACATGATACCATGCAAAAGCAAGCACTCCCTACATACTTGAATATGAATTCTGCACTTGTTTGTGTAATGTTTCATTAATGTCAATTAAATCAATTCGGTTGTAGAATATATAAGGAGTTATAGGTGTGTAACGCTGTAACTCCTTTATGTTGGAAGAGTTCTTGGTTTTTTAGATATTTCTTGTAGAAAGCCTAAGAAAAATATATTATTAATTTAAAAAACAAGAAATAAAAAGTTACATAAGTGAAATTGAATGATATGGACAACATATTATGGTTTGAGTGTAAGATTCATAGTTGGCATAGAATTTAACTTAGTAGTGGAGTATATATATATGCCTTCTGTATAACTTGTAGAATTTACACTGCCATTATTGAGGGATGCTAGCACTAAATCAGTATTTGAAAATTTGCTAGATTTCATTTTATTTAGGTCAATTAAAGTGGCATGAACTGTGGAAATTTTGTTGGACTTGATTTCTTTTTCTGGCTGTACCACAGACTAATTCTAGGTTTTTAATCACTTGATTTCACTGTACTTCAGTTTCTCCTTTGTAAAATGATTTCTATCTCCTTTGTAAAATGAATAACTCAGACTTTATGAAAACTTTGCCTTCTTCAAAGCACTTTAATATTCATCCTTTAAGAGCAGTAATGATTATAGTCTTTCATATATATAGTCCATTAATACTTTTTATTATACTTTCATAAAATTTGTTATGGTATTTTATAGAGATAAAAAAAAATCCTAGCCGAAACCGGTTTGCTTAGTGGATAGAGCGTTGGCCTGCTGACTGAAAGGTTCCAGGTTTGATTCCGGTCAAGAGCATGTACCTTGGTTGTGGGCACATCCCCGGTGGGGGTATGCAGGAGGCAGCTGATTGATGTTTCTCTCTATCCCTCTCTCTTCCTCTCTATAAAAAAATCAATAAAATATATATTTTTAAAAATCCTAAACACTATTAGCTAAAGGACTTATAAATATTAGTTAAAAACAAACAAACCACCTACCTGGTTTGTTTCAGTGGATAGAGTGTCAGCCTGCTGACTAAAAGATCCTGGGTTCGATTCCAGCCAAGGGCACATGCCCGGGTTGCAGGCTCAATCTCAATAGCTGTTTAGGAAGCAGGCGATCAGTGATTTTCTCTCATCATTGATGTTTCTGTCTCCCCTTCCCTTCCTCTCTGAAATCAATGAAAAAAAATATGGATGGATGGATTAGTCTGTGGATGGATAGATAGATAGACAGACAGACAGACAGACAGACACACATATATAACAACAACACACCTACAAAATCACTAGAGTTCAAATAGAAAACATCAGTGGGATGGATGGTGTTTTGCTGGAACTAAATTGCTGATCCTGGACTTAATAAATGTATTTGCATGTTTTATGCTAAAAATAAAGCCTAACAGATGTTGACATAAGCAGGTTTCAGTGCACACTATAAACAAATTTATAGATTTCAGAATAATTGTCTCAAGTGGTCCTATTTTTAATGGTGTATCTGAAGCTTATTTTAATACTAAAGTATTGGATTTTTTTAAAATAAAAAAACAGCCGAAATCAATTTGGCTCTGTGGATAGAGCGTCGGTGTGTGGACTGAAAGGTTCCAGATTCGATTCTGGTCAAGAGCATGTACATTGGTTGCGGGCACATCCCCAGTGGAAGGTGTAGGAGGTAGCTGGTCGGTGTATCTCTCTCATCGATGTTTCTAGCTCTCTATCCCTCTCCCTTCCTGTCTGTGAAAAATCAATAAAATATATAAATAAGTAAATAAATAAATACATGATATTGTATGAGAGAAAAAAATTATTTAGCACACACATCAAAGGGAGTAAATCAGCTGCAAAAAAGAGGATAATTTGACCACAGGGCAAAATTAAGAAGAATTAAGCCCTAACCGGCTCAGTGGATAGAGTGTCGGCCTGCAGACTCAAGGGTCCCAGTTTTGATTCCGGTCAAAGACATGTACCTTGGTTGGGGTTCTATCCCCAATAGGGGTGTGCAGGAGGCAGCTGATTGATGTTTCTCTCTCATCTATGTTTCTAACTCTCCCTCTCCTTTCCTCTCTAAAAATATCAATAAAATATATATTTTTTAAAAAGAGGATTAAAGGAAGTAATAAGAAAACAATTTATTTATTAGTGCTATCTACCTAGATTTTTTCTTATCAAGTAATAGATTACATGGCACAATATACCAAGGATATTCTTTGTATATATAAAAATATAAATAATGTATATGATATATACGAATAGAAAACACCTGCGTGAGAAGTGTTTTGAAGTGATTTAAGGGTAAATTGTGTTAACCAGTTTCAGAAACCATAAATTTATGGCTGACATTATCTAATGGTTTTTTAAAGAAAGTAGGAAGTCTAGGAACTCAGCATTATCATTTGTGATTGACAACAGTGAAAATTACCTGCTGTGTGTTTAGTGAAACTAACAAAGGCACTTTATTAGACTAAAGAAATTTTTTATCTAATGTAGCATTTCTTTTTTAAATCTAATATTTAAGTTAGTGCATGACTATTTAAGCACGTATCCCTGTGCTAGAATAATAGGAAAAAAATACTTTCATTATTATGAAGAATAAACATAGCAATCATGTTTTTGCTGTTGTCATCATTACTTTAGTGTTTCAGTACAAACATTCAGGACATGGCCAGTAAATGACAGAATTGTGAATGGAACTTATGTCTTATTTCCCATAGTAACACATACTCTAGAATAATTTTTACCCTATACTCTAGAAAAGAAGAAGCTAGGAAAATTGTCATATATCTATTGAATAAATGTTGATTGAACATTTACTAATTGTAAGAATTGTTTTTTTGAGACGAATTGTAAGAATTGTAAGAATTGTAAGACTAATTGTAAGAATTGTTAGAGACCATGTTATTTAGCTCTCCACTACAATTTAATATTCTTTGACCTCATGGAGTCAAAGAATAGATGCTGCAACTGAAATACACTATTAATGCTTTACATGTTGACACCTATATTTGCATATTATGATTTTCAGCTTTGGGTGTATAACCAAGTGATCCACCTAAATGTAAAAATACAATGTCCAGACTTTACCTTTGGAGATTCAGAATCACTATCTTTGCATCAATGCCTGTGCATGGTATATTTAAAAAGCTCCAGAGGTGTAGAGAAATCCTAGTGTGACCACTTCCAGTTTTTATACTATTTTCATTGTCTTATTTAATCTCGGGGTAATAACCATTTCTAGTAAGTAGAGTAGCCTATAAGGTACTCTTTTTTTATAAATTAAAAAGTAAAGGCTTCAAGATCACATACCTCATAAATACTTATTAAATCCAGACACCAGGTCCCCTAACTTCTCAGAAGTCAATCCTCTCTCTCTCTCTCTCTCTCTCTCTCTCTCTCTCTCTCTCTCTCTCTCTCTCTCATAAAGCTATTACAGAAAAGTAACTTGGGTTTTTTTTGGTGTGTATTAAGGGTGAAGAAAAAGATGAATTACTGCACTTTTTCCAAATTGTGACTGATTCTCTCTTCTGGCTTGTGGGAGGCCATGTTCAACTTATCCAAAATGGTAAGAGAAAAGATATTTAAGGTAACTGATAGTCATTATAAAGTCATATGCTAACAGTTTGATCTTTTTTCCCCTAAAAATATGTACCTCATTAACTATAATCATAACCATGATTAAAGGAAACCATGTTGAAATAACCTCACATACAAGAAAATAAAAGCCCATTTGAACATTCCAGCCTTAAAGAGCCAACATTGACAATGTGAATATTATATTAAGGGGAAAATTGCTAAAATATAACTTTCTCCTTAGCTTTTTCATTTAGCAAATCCAAGATAAGAATTAATAATTTTAATAATTTAGTCTAGAGAGGAAACTTTTTAAAGTTTCAGTGACTACACTTGTATTTGAGATTTAGTATGAGAGAAATCCCTAGATACATAAACTATGTAAGGGTAAGTTTTTAATGTAATGACATTTTATTGAATTTGAAAGTTATTTTATAGACTATTTCTATATTACATTGAGAAATATAAATATATATTAGTGTTATGTTTTCTTATGGCTGAGAAAGAACTCCTTAATTATAATTATGGGAGTATTTCTATTTTGAAAGATAAATGGAACGATATAAGAACATTGATTTATTTTAGAAATTAAAATTTGAATTAAATTTTTATTTTTTCCTCTTAGAATTATTAGCATATAATTTAAGGAGTCAAATAGTTCTATAAGGATTATTAAACAAAAAATACCATCCCTGGTTCTCATGCTTCACTTCATGTCCCATTCTTCCAAGGCATCTACTTTCAGTTTGTATAACTATTATATCTAAAGGCCTGGTGCACGAAATTCATGCACGGAGTGGGGGTGGGAGTCCCTTAGTCTGGCATGTGCCCTCTTGCAATCCAAGACTCATTCAGGTGGGGTCCCTATGGCCTATGAAGTCTTTCCTTCCCCTGGCTGCCCGCAGCTGGCCTAGCCTGCGCCACTGCTACTGCTTGCCATCTGTGCAGCACCTCCTCCCTCTTCCCTGCCAATGATCGCCTCATGGGGTGCGATCATTTGGCTGGCCTGGGCCTTCCTCTGCAGGGTGATCACTGGCAGGCCCCACACACCCGCTGCAGTGCTGCCAGCTGGGTGGTCTCTTTCTGCAGGGCAACAGGGGCCAATCGGGGCCCCCAACCAATTAAATCACAACCTGCCATGGCTTGCAGCATGGTCATCCAGAAGGTCCTTTGGACATTCGTTCTGCTGTTTGGTCATTCGGTTGAATCCATATTATGCTTTTATTATTATAGATATTCTTGGTAGTTGTATTTCTATAATGCTAAGGAATATGCTTAGATACTTTCTTTTTTTAAAAAAAAACACATTATTCATTTCCCATTATGGAACAAATACTAATATAAAATTCCCAATTTAAATAACTATTTTGCAAAAAATATAAAGTACTTAGTTTCATTATAGTGGGATATAAAATACTTCATAAAAAGAGAGACAATACTGCATAATTTAAGACATGCCATATTTCCTTTAAAAATAATAACTATAACAAAAATGACAATATTCTTCAGATTATCTGTAAATTTGAAATATCAATAGAGTAGATAATAAAACTAAATTAAGCAATTGTGAAATCCATATGTAAAAAATAAGTGGGTGCAAAATTGGAATTTCTAATAATCCTTTCTCTTTAAAAAGAATCAGCTGCTTCAAGAATCGCTGACTACAGGTCCAAAATAGAAAATATGCAAAATAAATCTGAAATATCTGGAATACCAGATAGGAAAGATGCAATCAAAATGTATTTGGAATTCTGTGAAAAGGACTCAGGAGCCTACATAAGGAGGCTTATATTAGTCAAAAATAGTAAATTTGAATGGTAATCAGAATAACTCCAGTAGATTGAAACAGCAAATACTATTAGACTATTTTTAAAGATTACCATTTCAGTCCTCTAGGGAACCGGTTTACTTTGGTAAATGGAGATGTCAGCATTTATGCTGTCTTTTCTTACATATTGATGAGAAATTTCTCTTTGTAAAAGTATTCTCACCAATAAGAGAAAAAGAAATAATAGAATAGCTCTATTTTGCAACCTTTGGTGAATTAATAGATTTAGAAATTAATCATCCATCACTGTCACATCTTAAAAGGAAAGATAATGATATACTGAGTGCCTCCTAATGGCTCATTATAACCTCCCATATGAAATATATATGCCAAAAATTCAAACCTGTATCATTTTGATCCTCTAGCTACAACTACTAATTTATAGAAGTCAGAGAAACATTAAATTATACCCTAGGAATGGAGTTAGCAAAAATAGACTGTGGAAAGCTCATAGGACAATTGACATAGTTTCATCAAAAAATACATTTCAAGGGAAATAAAAAGATAAAGAAGAAATCCATAGATTAAAAAAAATTGAAATATCAGTTGTGGATCTTATTTAGATCTTAATTCAAACAAACTGAAAAATTCACAAAAACAATTATAAATTGGAGCTCTAAATGGATTTTGATGAAATTAAGAAATCATATCCTGGCTCAGTTGGTTAAAGAATCCTCCGGATACGCCAAAGTTGCAGGTTCAATCCCCAGTCAGGGCAAATATAAGAATCAACAAATGAATGCATAACATAAATAAGAACAACAAGTCGATGTTTCTCTTTCCCTCCCTATTTTCCTCCTTCCCTCCTTTCTTTCCTCCCCCTTCCCTTCTCTCCCTTCTTCTCTCTTTCTAAAATCAATTTTTAAAAATATCATGAATACTTAGGTTAGACATTTGTGTTTTATTGCGTACTAATTCATATCTTTCGTGAATATATATCGAAATATTTATAGATAAAATGAAGCAATGTCTTGGATTTAATTCAAAATAGAATAGGATGTAGGAAGTGGATGGTAAGTGAAGCAAGTTTGGCCAGTGAAACAAGATCATTGTTAAAATGGAATGACTGTAAATGTAAGACCATTATACTGTTTTGTTTTTTTTCAACTCTTATGTATGTTTGAAACTTACATTATAAAATTTTAATTAAATAGCCCTGGCTCCTCTGGCTCAGTTTGTGGAAATATCATCCTGTGCATTTAAAGGTGGCAGGTTCCATTCCCATCAGGGCACATACTCAGGTTTCCCAGTTCAATCCCCAGGTGAGGGGCAAATAAGAGGCAACCAATCAAATGTTCTCTCTCTCTCCCTCCTTTCATTAAAAAGAAAAATGAGAAATATAAATATATGTTAGAAAAATAAATATAAATATAAATTTAAATATTTTAAGTTCAATTAAAATAAAGAAATAGACAAAAGTACTAGTTTTTGTTTGGGGGACTAAATAGTTACCATGAAAAGTAAAATAGGGACTTCATATTAATATAAGATAAATAGTTTAAAAAATAAAATGGGCCCTGGCCAGGTCCAGTTGTTTGGAGCCTCATCTGGACATCAGAAGGTTTCCGGTTCTATTCTTGGTCAGGACATATGCCTGGTTGCAGGTTCAATCTCTGGTTGGTCTGGATGCTGCAGACTGATCTCTCTCTCCTCTGTCTGTCTGTCTGTCTGTCTGTCTCTCTCTCTCTCTCTCTCTCTCTCTCTCTCTGTTCCCCAGCCCCCCTCTCCCTTCTTCCTTCCCTTTCTTCTTTTCTAAAATCAGTAAATATATCTTTGGGTGAGAATGAAAATAAATAAATAAATCCTATATAATAAGCGTGTAATACACAATTCAACTGAACGGCTGAACAGCAGAATAGCCATCCCAACAACCACCCGGGACCACTCTATGACACCGACTGACGCCAGGCCAGCCAAGATAGGTGTGACACAATTAGTCAGGGGCCTGACCTTGACCTTTGTCCTATGATCACCCAGCAGAGGGTGGGCAGGGCCTCCCTCTGTGAAGGAAGCCTGAGGCCAGAGAGAAGCCCGAGTGCAGGAGGGAAGCTGATGCTGGCAGCTGAAGGAAGGAAGGCCTACTCTTGCACAAATTTTGTGCATCAGACCTTAGTAAATAAGTAAATAGCCTTAGTAAATAAGTAAATAAATGAAATGGAATGACTATTTTAGCATAGTTTTTTCCAATATAGAAAAAAGATAAACTAATACAAAAATATATACTACATGATTTTAGTAAATTCAAAGTTAATTAAAAAGTTAATAAAACATCTTTATGTAGGTAAAAATGGAATGTTATACTTATCCCAACTACTTAGAAAAATATTTTTACTATGAAAGTAATGGAATATAAGAAGTCATAGAAATATTTTATAGTAGTGGACCTGTTTTTAAAGTTGTTAAACATTTTAAAAATTGGTGTGCAGTGAAATACTGAAATATTAAACTATATAAATAGACATGAAGAGCAGTAGTTAGCATGTGAAAGAAATCAAATATGTTCCTTTAGGAAATAGAAGGAGTAAGTTGTTTTGTAGAAACGAGGAGAGTGTTCACAGAACTTAACTTGCCATATACCTGATCCCACTTTAGTTACAATTCTGATTAGCGGACAAGGGAATAGAAACTAACATTTACTCGGAAACCACCGTGTTCTCCAACATTCTACAGCAGCCTGTGAGACAACTGTTATTTTTAGTTTTATAGATGAAGAAATGAATATTTCAAGAAGTTAAACAATTTGTAATAAGCACCCAATGCCAAGTCTTCACAACTGGAAGCCTAATAATTATCTATACTAATAAAAGGGTAATATGCTAATTAAACCGACATCTTCCAGACATCCTTCCAGACAAAGCCACAGTGTCAGGGGCCAAGGCAGAGGCAGTTAGGGGTGATCAGACCAGCAGCGGACAGCAGTTAGGGGCGATCAGGCTCAGGCAGGCAAGTGGTTAGGAACTAGCAGTCCCAGATTGTGAGAGGGATGTCCAACTCGGGATTGGGCCTAAACCTGCAGTCAGACATCCCTTGAGGGGTCCTAGATTGTAGAGGGTGCAGGCCGGGCTGAGGGACACCTTCCCTCCCCCCCCCCGGCCATCTGTGCACCAATTTTGTGCACTGGGCCTCTAGTTAATCAATAAAAGTAAATATTGTTTGGTAGTTAATGATTTTTATTATTTTTAAAACAAAATGTTAGCAAACTTGAAACATTTTATAATAATTAAAATTTTTAAGGATGTGATTATAGTTGTCTGTGCCATTTCCATGTTCTCCCTTCATGAGAAATTTGATTTTATTTGCTGTAATTCACTATTATAAAAGAGATTTAAATTTAGGATATATTTTATTTTTCATTTAAGGGGAGCTAAGAGATTCTTAGCTTGATATTGATGGATGCTCTCTGACTATTTATAATTACTGTCCATAAAAATGGAATGACTTATTTATGGTTATTATAGCTGCCTATGTTAAAATCTTTATTTTTAGGTATACATAGATAGGAAGTTTGATTTGGTTTTGAAAGGACCAAATTGTATCATCATAGAATCTTTGTTTTAATTTTTCTTTTTTCCCCTCTTACTTTAGTACTACAAAGTGAACATTTCTTGCACTTACTGCAAACTGATAATGTTCAAATAGGATCTACAGTCATGAATATGGTACAGAACATACTACAGATAAACAGGTGACTTGGTTTTACAAAATACTTATAATTTTTTATTTTTTATTAGCATTATCAATTTTATTTCAATTTTGCTGAAATCAATTGCAGATGGGGTATACATGTCACTACCATTGTCTTTCAGGGGAAAAAATATATAAAATAACCTTAAGATACTGGATATTTATTATTGAATTGATATCTTATCTGAGAGCTTAAGATTTTATACCAAATCTTACATTTAGTGAAGAAAAAATACTGTCATTTCTGAAGAAAAGTTTTGGTATTATAATAAAAAATGCTTAATCGTAGGTTTATTTAGCAAACTGCAAGCTCATTATTGTGCCAGGTACTATAGAAGGGCATAAAAAGAATAAGCCAGTCATAGAAAGACAAATACCATATGATCTCACTTATACAGAAGCTAATGACCCATATAGAAACAGAGGTATGGATACATAGATCAGACTGACAGCTGTCACAGGGAGAGGGATTTGGGAATAGATGAAAGTAGATGAAGGGATTAGCGAAAAACAAACAAGCAGGTATACATGACATATAGTCACAGACAAAGTGTGGTGATAGCCAGAGCAAAAGGGAGTGGGTGCTGGGTGGAGGTGGACAAAGGTTTGGGGAAAATGGTGATGAAAAAAGACTTTGCTTGGGGCATTGGGCACAGGATGCATTGTGCAGATGATAATTTATTGAAACCTGTATTTAAAAAAAAAAAAAAAAGCAATAGACAATTTCTCCAAGTTAAAATGGAAAAACAGAATATACATAGTTGAAATAATTTATTTTTTAAGTTCAATATGGATTTATTAAGCATCTACTAGTGCCCAGTATGTGTTTGTTGTTGGGTTTACAAAATTGATTAATATATAAACCTTGCCTTCAAATAGTTTACAATAGCTGAAATGGTTTGGCTCAGTGGATAGAGCATCGGCCTGTGGGCTGAAAGGTCCCAGGTTTGATTCCGGTCAAGGGCATGTACCTTGGTTGCGGGCACATCCCCAGTAGGGGATGTGCAGGAGGCAGCTGATCGATGTTTCACTCTCATCAGTGTTTCTAACTTTCTATCCCTCTCTGTAAAAAATCAATAAAATATATTTAAAAATACAAAAACAAATAGCTAACAAGATAGAGGAAAAGAACAATACCTGAACATAACCTATCTAATAAAAGAGTAATATGCAAATTAACCATCACTCCACTATATCCACAAACCACGCCCACCAGCCAGTCAGGAGTGAGTATGCAAATTAACCAACCAAGATGGCTGAGCCCAGGAGGGAGGCTTGTGTTTCCCGGGTGATGGAGGAAGCCAAGCTTTGCGCACACCCTGGCTGGCTCAGGCCTCCACTTAAGGCTACAAAGTTTCAATTATAGAGGATAAATAAATTCCAACAGAAATGGCTGCCACCAAGGAACTAACAGAAGGCTTGGCTCAGCTCCAGGTTATAAAGTTTCAATAATAGAAGATAAATAAATTCCAGATACCAGGGCCTCCTCTTGGATTGCTTGTGGGGGGAGGGGTGTGTGGCTGGCCTGCAAACCACCACAGGCCTCTCACCCAGGCCGCCCCATGCCCCAAGGGAACCCTGATCCAGGACACCCATCAGGGCAAACCAGCTGGCCCCACCCATGCACCAGGACTCTATCCTATCTAATAAAAGTAATATGCAGATTGACCATCACTCCCAACACATAAGGTGGCTGCCCCCATGTGGTCAAAGATCCTGTCCCCATTTGGACATAAGATAGCCACCACAAGATGGCTAGCAGGGGAGGGCAGTTTGGAGGGACCAGACCTGCAAGGGAAGGCAGTTGGGGACTATCAAGTCTGCAGGGGAGAGCAGTTAAGGGGTGACCAGGCTGGCAGAGGAGGGAAGTTGGGGGCAAACAGGCTGCAGTTCGACATCAATCAGGCTGGCAGGGGAGTGGTTAGAGAGTGATCAGGCTGGCCGGCAGAAGTGGTAAGGTAGGCAGGCGAGTGGTTGGGAGCCAACAGTACTGGATTGTGAGAGGGATGTCCCAGATTGGAGAGGGTGCAGGCTGGGCTGAGGGACACACCCCCCCCCTGCATGAATTTTGTGCACCAGGCCTCTAGTTATAATGTACTAAGTTACTATGTTAAAGGTGTATACCAGTGTTAGAGGAGATCCTAACCCAAACTGAGAGAGGGTGCTTCTTGGAGAAGATAACTCGTGAGATGAAACATTAAGAAGGAGAAATTAGCCAAGGAGGTAGAAGAGAAAGCAGTATTTCTAGACCGAGGTAACAACATAAGCAAATGTACAACATGCTTAAGGTGAAGAGAAGGTACAGTTCATTGATGCTGGCATTTAAAGTTGGTTTGTGGAGGCTGGTAAGTTCTGCAGAGACATAAGTCATGAAGAGCTTATATGCTATGTTAAAGAAACTTAGTGTTATTCTATAGGAAATGCAAACCATTGACTAATTTTTAAAGTGGATAGAATAATTGGATTACATTTCACTTACATCACCCTGGTGGTCACTGTGATGGAAAATTTTAAGGGGGAATAAAACTCTAGACAAAGACACAATAAGAGGAAGAAATCATAGTAATCCAAGTGAAAGTAATAAAATTTTGACTTTGGGCACTAGTACCATGGGAATGCATTTTAAAAACTAATGAATAAAAATCATGAGGGTCGAAACCGGTTTGGCTCAGTGGTAGAGTGTCGGTCTGCGGACTGAAAGGTCCCAGGTTCGATTCTGGTCAAGGGCATGTACCTTGGTTGTGGGCACATCCCCGGTAGGGGGTGTGCAAGAGGCAGCTGGTCGATGTTTCTCATCGACGTTTCTAGCTCTCTATCTCTCTCCCTTCCTCTCTGTAGGAAATAAATAAAAATATATTTTTTTAAAAATCTTTAAATAAAAATAAATAAATAAAATAAAAATAAAAAATAAAAATCATGAGGACTTTACTTCCACTTGGGATCAAGATGGAATAATAGAAATGGACTTACCCTACCACCTAAATAAAAGCAAAAAAAAACACCAGGCAAAATAAGAAACAACAGTTTTCAAGAAACTGGACTTCAGTCAATGAAAGGAAGTGAGCCCTGAGAAAAAGGAATGAGCAAGGTGAACAATGTTCTAACTTAAAGCTTTGATTCACAGATGTATCCCAGTCAGGCTGAGTTGAAGAGATAGAGCTGAGAGTGCAGAAAACAAAACTGCTAGAATCCATAAGAGAGCCACATAGAGACAATCCTGTGCAGAGAGTTCCCTTCAGATATTCAATATGTGCTAGGAAACTACCTACTGTCAGGGAAAACAGTAATCCAAAAGTATTAAAGGGAGCATTATCAAAAGGTCACACCGAGCCAAAAATATTCCTTGATTCTAACAGCCAAACAAAAATGGAGCATTGTGTAGAATACTCAGGAAGTTTTCACCTCATTAATGGAGGATAATTTGTACTAGGCTGAGCACTATTCTGGATCATTTAAACAAAATAAAAGCAGGACCCAAAGGATCAAATTATTTTTAAGAAATTTAATTGAATCTGATTATTGAAATTGCCTACTTAATATTTATTGTAAAGTACACAAGGGCAGGAAATTTAGCAGAAATGGTTATGCTTTGATTTGATGTTGAAAAAATAAGAAAGTCCTACTTGTGCCATCATAGAATCTTTGCCTTGATCTTCTTTGTCTTCCATTAGTAATACAAAGTGATCAATTCTTGCAGTCACTACAAACTGATGATGTTCAAATAGAATCTGTAGTTATAAGTATGCTATAAAAATAGTACAGATCAGCCGAAACCGGTTTTGCTCAGTGGATAGAGCGTCAGCCTGCGGATTAAAAGGTCCCAGGTTCGGTTCCCGTCAAGGGCATGTACCTTGGTTGCGGGCCCATCCCCAGTGTGGAGTGTGCAAGAGGCAGCTGATTGATGACTCTCTCTCATCGATGTTTCTGACTCTATCCCTCTCTCTTCCTCTCTGTAAAAAATCAATAAAATATATATTTTTAAAAAAATACTACAGATCAGCAAGTGAATTGATCTTATAAAATGTTACTAATTTTTTTCATCAGAAGCATTAGCAATTTTGCTAAATGATTTGTTGCATATGATTTTTACATGGCTCTTGAAAATAGCTAACCAAAATAAGACATGAAAATATTTTTAGAAATACAAAAATATCTAGCATCCAACAAGTTAAAATTCATACAAGAACGAGGCATGCAAACAAACAGGAAAATAGAACCCATAAAGAGAAGAATTAGTTATTATAATTAGTAGACAAGGACACCAGACCATTTATTTTATATTATAGCTTTGTTCCTTATGTTCAAGATGTTAGAGATAGCCAAAACCGGTTTGGCTCAGTGGTAGAGCGTCAATCTGTGGACTGAAAGGTCCCAGATTTGATTCCGGTCAAGGGCATGTACCTTGGTTGTGGGCACATCCCCAGTGGAGAGTGTGCAAGAGGCAGCTGATCGATGATTCTCTCTCATCGATGTTTTTAACTCTCTATTCCTCTCTCTTCCTCTCTGTAAAAAAAAAATCAATAAAATATATATATTTTTTAAAAAAGATGTTAGAGATATATATGGCCCAAACTTAACTTCTAGACATGAAAACTACAATATCTGAGATGAAAATACACTGGATTGGATTAGTAGCAGATTAACACTGCAAACAGTTTTACATGGTACTAGAGGCACAGTGCACAAAATTCATGCACATGAGGGGTAGGGGCTCAGCCAAGCCTTCGCCCTTTCACAGACCGGGAGACCTCAGGGGATGTCCAACTACATTTTAAAAAACCATTCTGTACTTAATTTTCTTACTCCTTTTAAACTCAGCTCACTCTCACATTCCGTTACTTCTTTTTATTTAACTATTTTCCTGGCCACACCTCATTTTAGCATCCTTCTCTTTACTTTCCCTTCCTCCTTCTTTCCCTCATTCCCCATGTCTGTCTCCTTCTTACTCCTCTCCCCTCCCCCCATTTACCTTTCTCTTGTGAAATCAGTAAAAATATTTTTTTTTTCTTAAATGGTTACTTTCTTGGATCAGGCCACAGCTAGGTATCAAGTTGCTGACCATTTTATGTTTAATTTGTGATATCTATGTATCAATTAGTAATGGTACATTTTTATTTTTCATTTGTTCTATTAGTGGTGATTTACTCAGAATAGAAGCAAAAACCCTGCATTCAATTTTAGATGAAGTTATTTTCAAGCTTTTATCTACTCCTAGTCCAGTCCTAAGAAGTACTGCTACAAAGCTCCTACTGTTGATGGCAGAATCCCATCAGGAAATTTTGATTTTACTAAGACTAAGTGCCTGCTACAAAGGTAGTAATATGTTCTTTCTTTTCTTGATTTTTGAAAAAATAACACTGATGGTTTATGGAAAACAATTCCTGTGTTTTGAAAAAGTCTATAACTGAAATGTGCAGATAAAACCCTATCACAACAGGTAACCAGTTCAGGAAAAAGTCTTTATATAATCAAGCTATCATCATGTCTTAACAGGAAGCATATAGTACAGTGTTGATGAGTTTACAATGAATATTTACTCCCTTCTGACAGAAAGGTTGTGTATACAGTATACCATATAGTGATAAATAATTATGACCAAAAAGATGGGTGACCTTTTACTAACTTTATTGGAGAAAATAAGTCTATGCCTAAGAGATTAACAGCCTTTTTGATATTTATGTCAATTAATAAATTCAGTTCCCTCACTGTCTTTCCTCAAAAACAAAACATCTCCCTCCCTTTTAGTCAAATGTATATGTGAATAAAAAGTCAGAAAAATTAAGATGGAATATTACACTCCCCAGATAGTAGCTTTCATTTAATTGAACATTTCCTATGTGTCAGATACTACTCTACATTATATGCCTAAAATATTTAATCCTCATAACAGCCCTAGCAATGGGAATAGAGACATGGAAAAATTAGGTAATTTAAGATCACACAGTGTTGTTGTTTTTTAATTGCCAAATGAAGTTATATGTTCATTTTGTTTTATTTCTTTGCTAGCCAGAGCCATTAATTTATTACAATATACTTTTCTTATTAACATGTTAAGGAAATGAGTTCTAGTTTATTAAATATACCTGTTTATACAGGGTTATATTATGTGGAAATTTAAAAATATTAGAATACAATGTAGTGGATTTAATACCAAAACTATTACAATGGCCTTTTATAATTCTTGATGGCACTTTAGTAACTTATATTGCACCAGTCATTGCTGTGAACATTGTAATTATTTTGTGTTAAAGGAACAGAGAGGGAAAGAAATTCCCAGTAATAAAACCTTCTAGTTGATATTGTGCCAGGTGTATATACATTTTTAAAATCTGTAATTAGACTTCTTCTATAGAAATGTGACTGTTAGAACAGTTCATAATAAAGAAATTTCACCTTAACAATCCTCTTCTCTTTGTTTACTCAATGGTAGAACTTACCCAGTTTTTTCAAAATATTTTACAATTATTAATATTCCTGAGAATATCACTCTTAGAATATTAATCATGAAAATATCCATATAGTGGCTCCCCCAATTTTGCACCCTAAAGCCATTGAAGCTTAGTTATTTATTTTAAATACATATGTTATTATATATCATTTCAACATGCCTCGGAAATTATACTTTCTTCGTACCTCATACTACTACTATGTTTTATTTTGGATGAAAGTGCTTATTATACTGTTATAGTACTTCTATAGTATTTTCTCAGGAAGCTATTAGTTTGTCCCAAGTTATTTGTATTATTGTATACTCTATTACTTAGTAATAACTTTAATAATGACAAATAAGTCAGCCAGCATGGCTCAGTGATTGAGTGTCAACATATGAACCAGGAGATCATAGTTGGATTCCTTGTCAGGACACTTGCCTGGTTGCACACTCAATCCCCAATTGGGGCGGGGGCATACAGGAGGCAGCCAATCAATGATTCTCTCTCATCATTGATGTTTCTGTCTCTCCCTCTCCTTTCCTCTCTGAAATTAATATATATTACACACACACACACACACACACACAGATATGTATTTTTAAATAGGTAAAAAATAATGACAAATAGCCTGCTTAAGTTTTTCCACTGGGTAGGTATTACAAAGTATGTATTCATTATCTTTTAAAAAATATTTTAGTCTAAGGTATTCATGTTAAAACAGAAAATAAATTCTGTATCACTACTCTTTGACTTACCACAATGATTCCAGTCCCCTTTTTTATTAAAGAAATTGACTAGACAGATTTTGGATCAGATCAGATAAGAACTCTTCAGACACAGAGCACATAACTCTTAGGACAGAGGAGTATCCTAAATATCTCCATCTAGAAGTCTTTGAGAGAAGAAAAAAGAAAAATCATGTGATTAATCTTGTGTTCATTTGTTTCTAAATTAGCCTTAACCTTAAATTAATGCTTATTAGATAACAATCATATCTTATTATTAACAGTTGTATTTTTGTTATTTCATTTCAGGACTAAGAAATCTACTAAATAAACAAAAACCTGGGATAGAGTTTCGTCATGAATTTAGACAGCTCATTAGCCTTTTAAGCCCGAAGGTCTATCAGGAAGTAGAAGAGCAGGTATTGAATTATAAAAATAATGTGCAATTATAAAAATTATTTGCTAACATTTCAATAAACACTTTAGTTTCAAAATATTGGAATGATAGCCTCTTAAATCTTTGATCTTTCTCCCCCTTTTTAAAGTTATTTCCCTCTAAGATCCAGAGCAGCCATAATTTGATAGGAAAAGGGGTTATTTATGGTTGATTTTAGTACCTTGAATCTTTGAATAAGTTGTCAAGAAGAGAGATTAGAGTGGTTAAATAAGCAGAAGAATGAAATACTTGAAGCTCATCAGACTATATCTTGAATACATTCTAGATATTGTCTAAATGAGTCTAACATACCTCCTTTGGGAGGTCAGGTTTAATATTCTTAGGTTTTCCCTGCCATGGGCCTATGAAAATGATGCCTCCTGCCCAATTTATTAGAGATGAGGTTAATACTTTCCCAGGCCTGATAATTCTCTAAAAAGTCTTTTTTAGAGATATCTCTAAATTAATTCTGGCATTTAATTTCAGAAACTACATCAAGCAGCATGCTTGATTCAAGCTTATTGGAAGGGTTTCCAAACTAGAAAGAGATTAAAGAAGCTTCCATCTGCTGTGATTACTTTGCAAAGGAATTTCAGGTAAGAATTTTTGTTGAAAGGAATGGTCACCTGAGGAGGCTACTTATTACTTATTAGAGTACAGCTGAGGGAAAACAGGAATTTTAGATTTTGGGGTTCTCTTCAATTTTCTAGTCTGTTTCTTTTATTCTTATTTTTCATTGTTCTGTAAATTTCTGAGTTACAGCACTCCAGTAACCAGCCGTGCTTTCAAAACAAAGGGAATAAAGTAAGACATGAATATAATGTAACAGATACACAGTCTTACTTAAGACGTGTTTTTGGGCCAAGTCTACTGAAAGAGCCAGTGATAGTCATTAACCTTTTCAAAACCTTAAAACCAAAAATTGCTGTTCATATGTAATTATGATTAAAACATATATGTATATTTTAAGTATGTTAACCTGATAAGTAAAGGGCATGGATATACATGGTTATTGCGATATGACATAGTCTGTCATTTATCTCTATTTCAAGTCGATTAAAAATGAAATACTGAAGACATAGCCCAGTTTTTGATGTGACTAACCCATCCAGATTCTTAGAGGCAATAAAAAGAGCACAAACACAAATTACTTAGCTCCCAGGTCATAAATGGTACAGTCAAGCCTTAGAGTGATTTTTCAGGCAGCCTAAGTTAAAGCTAAATTTTATTTTACTAAAGTGAAACTCGCATGTTTCAGAAGTCAATGTGTTTTTAAAAAAAAAAAAAAACCACACACCTGAAACTATTCTTTGAATAACTGCAGCTGCATTTCTCAGTTTTAAAAATATTTTAAAATAGTGATCTAAAATTTAGCTTTAAGTTAGACTGCATGACAAACGCATACTTTATCATAAATAACTTTTTCATTAGATAATCTAAGGCTAATGTGTGCACAAGTGTGCACACTTTTCATTTCCTGTAACAATCTGGATGACTTAGTGGCAGATATTGAAGCTATTGTGGGTAACTGAATCCTTTAGTAGACATTCTTTTTATTGATGAAAGTTTCCTTCAAAGAAAAGTTAAAGATAGGATATTGATATTGTGCATGAGTTTTGTTGGTAGCAAAAAAACAAACAAAAAAAAAACACACACAAAAAAAAACATTAATTCTTTAAACATATTTAAATTGTCACATATATGCCAGAGGATATTGGAGATATTGGATATAGGATACTAGATATTGGAGAGCTAACCAGACTTGAGTTTGAATCTTACTTCAGCAACTTATGGGCTGAAGACCTTAGACAAATTGCCTCACTTCTCTCAGCCTGAAATTTCCCATCTATGAAATGGGAATAATTATCTGTGTACCTCACATGATTAATATAAAGTTGGTTTTTTTTTTAGTATAGTACCTGACATTTAGAAAATGTTAGGATAATACATATGGCACATTTTTGCCCTTGAAGATTTGCAAATCTAGTTAATTAAATAGTCCTCATGAGAGGCAAGTATAATTCCAGCATTGCTCAGTTTATTGTCTATCCTAAATGCTCCTTTCGAATTTTTAAAAAGATTTCTTTGGTCGTATAAATTAGGGAAATGATGAATGCCTCAAGAGACACTGTGTATATATTCTTCTGTTCAGGAGTTGACATTTCTTAGTATAGCCTTCCTCCTGTAATATATTTATTACTTACTGATTCTACCTGCTATTAACCTCAGCTGATATTCCCTTATATTTAAAGGTACTCTAGCCCTGGGTTGCAGGTTGGATTCCAGTCAAGGGCACATGCCTGGGTTTCGGGCTCAGTCCAACATGCAGGAAGCAGACAATCAATGATTCCCTCTCATCATTGATATTTTTTTAATTGATTTTTGATTTTTTACAGAGAGGAGGAGAGAGGGATAGATAGCTAGAAACGTCGATGAGAAACATCGACCAGCTGCCTCTTGCACACCCCCTACCGGGTATGTGCCCGCAACCAATGTACATGCCCTTGACCAAATTCGAACCCGGGACCTTTTAGTCCACAGATCGACGCTCTACCACTGAGCCCAAATTGGTTTCAGTTCATCGTTGATATTTCTATCTCTCTTCCTCTCCCTTCTTTTCTGAAATCAATAAAAATATGTTAAAAATAAATATGGATCCTATTTATGGATTCAGATATTTAATGTTTACTCTCACAGTAGTTGCCAAATATGCCAGATTACTTTCTCTTGCATTATTAAAGAACAGAAATATGACTATGGAATCTAATTCATAATACATTACTTTAAAATAGAAATTCTGTTGCTTTATGTAACCAAACCAAATTGGTTATAAATATTTTCATTAAAAGAATTTATCTTTTAAACCAAAATTATTCAAATCTCACATTATAATGAATTTGTTTCCAGTATTTTGGATTTGAAGTTTAAGGATGGACTGCGGTATAGTTTTAACCTTTAGGTTCTATTTAATTTTTTAATTTCAGGTTTGCTTCAGGCTTCAGCAGCTTTCCTCCTCATTTAGTTGTAACAGTTTATGCAAACTTCTCTTGCTTCCTTTATATCTGTGCTTTCTGCAAAGGTTATTTCTGTCTCTTTGTGGTTAGATCATTATTTCATATTCATTTCCCGCTTTCATGTTTTTTGGGGGGAGGGATTGCCCACCACTCAGTTATGGAATCATGGGCCCTAATGCATCAGAGCTCTGAAGAGGCACTTTTTGTTAGTCTCCCTTGCTAAAGCACTTTCTTGGAGGATTTTTTTGTTGTTTTTACTTAATTATTTTTGAATGAGAGACAGAAACATTGACTTGTTGTTCCACTTATTTATGCATTCATTGGTTGATTCTTGTATGTGCTCTAACTGGGAATCAAATCCACAACCATGGCGTATCAGGCAGATGCTCTTACCCAGTGGTCGGCAAACTGCGGTTTGCAAGCCACATGCGGCGATTTGGCCCCTTGAGTATGGCTCGGTGTTAGAATTACTTCTTCAAAATAGATTCGCCCAAGCCGAAAACCGACTTCAGCGCATGGGCCATGAAGTTTCAGTCACACTGTACATGCACGCCCACATGTGGTATTTTGTAGAAGAACCACACTCAAGGGGCCAAAGAGCCACATGTGGCTTGTGAGCCTCTGTTTGCCAGTTACTACTCTAACCAACTGAACTACCCAGCCCGGCTGTTTGTTTTATTTAATCATATTTCATGGTCAGAAACTATTTTCTGTTAAGTATTCTTTTCCTCAGCATTGTTTTCTGTAGCAGCTAATAGCTACTCCAGTTAACTTCATGAAACTTAACAATTTATCTACTTCTATTATAGAGTTGCTGATATTTATTTGTTGTAATTATATATCTTTGACTTTGTAAGAAAAGAAAACAATTTTTTTCTCTATCCATTTTAGGTTCATTGGTTGGGGCCCTGAAAATTAGACTAACAGAAAAAAGAAAAAAAGAAAAAAGCACATTAACAGGAGAAAATAATTTATTTACTTGTGCAGTGCATATCACACAGAAGAAATCTCACATGATAAATAACTCAAAGGGTTGGTTAGAACTTGGGCTAGTATACATTCTAACAAAGATTAGTAAATTTTGAAATAAATTGTGGTGCAAAGAAAGGAGATTTAGGCTTCAAAGGGCAGCAAACTGTCAGAAGGTAAACATATTGGGGAAATGAATGGGAGATAGGGCTTATTTGTGCAGGTCCATCTTATTCATGGCCATAAAACTTCTTTGGGATAGAGGGATTTGTGGCACTCTTCATTTCTCAGACCTTTTTGCTTTTAGTTAGATAAGGAAAGCTCTGGGAAGTCTTTTTTGCATTTGTTGATTCTCAATTGCTTCCAACTCAATCTTCATACAAAGTGGCATATTCTGATACTTTTTTTTTTAATTGTTGACACTATTACAAATGTTCCCCATTTCCTCCCTCCTTTATCTACCTCCACCCAACTACCCCTTCTCCCCACCTCCCCTAGCCTTCATTACACTCTTGTGTATGCCCATGGGCTATGCATATATGTTCTTTGGCTAATCTCTTCACCTTCTTTTATCCAGCATCTCCCATTCCACTACCCACTAACATATTCTACCTTTTAGCTAAACCTTGAAACTGAGCTCCTTTAAGGGAATAACTATTTCTCTTCTCTGTTAGGATAGTAGTACCAAGCAGGGAGCAATTACTCAGGAAAAAATGCTTGTTGAGTAAAGGAAGAGGGCCCATCAACTGCTTTGCCCATTAATTCATATGGTACTCCTCAGGTTCATACTATTTCACAACAAAGGAATTCCTAGAGAGTTTCTCATGTCTTGTCAGCTGGTAGTTTGGTTAATTCCTGTTCTTTAAATATACATCATGGAATGTATTTACATAAATTAATTAGAGAATATGATATCTAATCAGTCATTTCGTTTTCAAAAGTGCTATACAAATGCCAGATGGTCATATGCCTACTAAACCAGTTAACAGTATTTTAATATTTGAGTGATAAGTGATTATCGACACTCTTACCCACTAAAATGTTACTAAGGGGGGAAAACATACAAAATCCTAATAAATATCTTTAAATATGAAATTAAAGGATATGAATCCAGAAGCACATATTTACAATATGTACTCATTATTTCAATCACCAAACCTCACTTTTTTCGTCTTTCTGGTTTTTACTTTCACCTGCATGCTTCATAGTCTTCCAGGTTTGCCATATTTCGTAGCCTATATGCCTAAACTGTTTATCAAACTCAGTTTTTTTGACATATCAAATGTTCTAGTGATGCAGCTTTAATGATTACTATGTTTAGTATATTAAAGATAATAGTAAAGCATACTAGGTGTTTATAATCAGTTCAGTTAGAAACAAGTGTTTTTTTTTGTTTTGTTCATCAATTTGAAAGGAGATACTGTATAGAGCCTGTTCTCTTTTATCCTCTATGAACAGGTAAAAGGGAAAACCCTTATTTACATGTTGTACAAGGCATACCTTTTGGAGGGGGGGCGTCCAAAAGAGGCATGCTTCCATCAGCTAGTGGGAAGAAAGGGAAAGGTTTTTACTTGATCTAAGTATCAGCAAAAGATATGTACGTAGAAATATTCAGTTCACCCTACAACCTCTTTAGAACACCTTTTTTTTGGGGGGGGGCACACACGTATTTGGGGTCTTTTCTATCTTTGATAATAAGGATAAGAAAGACTTTATGTTTTGTTTCTTAATTTTTTTAAAAAATTCTTTATTGTTGAAAGTATTACATATATCTCCTTTCCCCACCTCCCAGCCCTCTCACACCTCCCAGCACAGGTCCTCACCCCTCTGTTGTCTGCATTCATTGGTTATGCTTATATGCATTTCTACAAGTCTTTTGGTTGATCTCTTATCCTCTCCCACCCTTCCTTGTCTCTCCTCATGAATTTATTGGGGTGATACTAGTTAATAAAAATATATAGGTCTCAAGTGTACAATTCTATAATACATCATCTGTATTGTATTGTGTGTTCACCACCCAAACTCAAGTCTTTTATCACCATCTATTCCCTCTTTACCCTTTTTACTCTCCCTTCACCCCTTTTCCCTCTGGTTACACAGGACTGTTGTCTGTGTCTGAGTTTTGTTTCCTTTTATTTTGTTTGTCTTAATTATTTCACCTTTTTCACCCAGCCCCCCAACAAACCTCTGACAACTGTTTGTTCTCTGTATCTATGAGTCTCTTTCTATATTGTTAGTTTATTTTGCTCATTTGATTCCACATATAAGTGAAATCATATAGTACTTGTCTTTCTCTGACTGGCTTACTTCATCAAGCATATACTCTCCAGATCCATCCATCCAGGCTGTAGCAAAAGGTAAAATTTTATTCTTTTTTTACAGCCTACTAGTAGTTCACGGGGTAAATGTACCACAGTTTTTTTATTCACTCATCTACTGATGGGGCTTCGGCTGCTTCCAAATCTTGGCTATTGTAAATGAACATAGGGGTGTATATATTCTTTCAAATCAGTGTTTTGTGGTTCTTTGAAAATATTCCCAGAAGTGGAATTGCTGTCATTAAGCAGTTCTATTTTTAATTTTTTTAGTTAGCCACAGTGCATTCCTCAGTGGCTTCACCAATCTGCCTTCCCACCAACAATTAAATCTGTCTGATCTAGTGTGTCACTTAAGCTACTATTCTTGTTTTTTTGTCTGGAATATCTATTCATTGATGTCAGTGGGGTGTTAAAATCCCTTACTATGACTGTATTTTTATCAGTCTCTTTAAGTCCATCAAGACTTGCTTTATATATTTAGGAGCTTCTATATTGGGTGCATATATGTTTACAAGTGTTACATACTCTTATTGAATGGATATCTTTAGTATTATTTAATGTCCTCTTTGGCTCTTATTATATCCTTTGTTTTGAAGTCTGTTTTGTCTGATATACTAAGTATTGCTACCCCACTTTTCTTTGTTTCCATTTGCATGAAATATCTATTTCTATCTTTTTACTTTCAGTCTGTGAGTTTGAAGTACCATACTCTTCAGGGGGGACTTTTGCAACTAAGATATTCTGATCCACTGCACATGGGCATGGGGGCCAGCCCATTTCCATGTCTCTTCTCATCTTACTGGTTTCTACGTGGCTTCTGTAAATCATTGGTTATAATACTTATGTTCAGCTAATCTTCAGTTGGATATTCAGATTGATTGTTCTATAATTTAACTGTAAATCTGGTTTGGTGTAGGGAGGATGTGATTGTAGCTTCCAGCTACTCTGAAGGAATCTTGGAATATAAGAAAGACATTTTGAAACAAATTCTCAACTTTAGCCTAAGTGTAAAACCAAAGAGAACAAATTGAAATAAGTAGCAGTTAATCCTTTGTACGCCATAAGCATCTACAGATGCAGTGGGGATGGTTCTGTTTTAGACTTGTGGCAGTTAACTGGCTAAGAAGAAACTGAGCAGTGACTCTCTCTCATCATCATTGATGTTTCTATCTCTCTGTCCCTCTCCCTTCTCTGAAATCAATAAAAATATATATTAAAAAAGAAATAAATGAAAACAAAACAACATTCATGAAATGTTACCAAAATTATTTCCTGAGTTTTTCTTCTCTATTTTAAAATACTTTATTTTAAAGTTGTCTTACACTTGTTTTTGCTTTTTCACAAGAAATTGAGTTAAAAATTATTATAACTGTCTCTACAGCATTATGAATCTGCCTTTTAATACTACTGAGCTATGGCCACGTTGACTACATTTGTTGGTAATCTAATTATAAGAATACTAGAGGCCTGGTGCATGAATTTTGTGCACAGGTGGGGTGCAGCCGGCCTGCCCCCATCAGGGCTGATACAGCCAGATCAAGTTGGGCTGGCCAAGGGGAATGGGGAGAGGGGTTGGGGAGGTTAACCAGCCAGCCCCATGGGTGATTGGTGGGCCAGTCCCAACCCCTGGTTGAACTCCTGGTCAGTTGAATTCCTGCCCGAGGGGATAATTTGCCTTTTATTATATAGAATAAGAGATAGAAAATGCTCCTGAGTGAGATACATGCAAATTAAGTCTATAGAGATAAAATAAATAATGAATTCTGCTTCTTTTTTTTATCTTTGGTTTCTTTATCATTATCTGAAGAAATTTTGAGTATAGTATATTTACTAGAGTTTGACACATATGATCTCCTTAACATAGTAATTTAGGAAGCATTCAAAACTGGCTGGAAATGGCTGGAGAAATTTTGTTGAGTAAAAGCAGATAATACAAAAATCCTAATTAAATAAAATTTTGTGCCATATATTATAAAAATAATACTGATAATTGAGAAATATGTAAACATCTAAAGAAAATTAAAGTCATCCATAATCACACCATGAATGTGTTGAAAGTTCTGTTTTTAATCACTTGTTTTTTGATATAAATAAATACACACACATATCCTATCTAATAAAGAGGGAATATGCTAATTGACCCTCAAGCTGTCACAAAGATAGTGCCCACAGCCAATAAGGAGGGAATATGCTAATTGGCTGTCCCGCCCTCAAAGTTGGCACCCACAGCCACAAGATCCTGGCACCTAGTCCCTTCAGCCCCCTAGCTGCCCAGGGCCAGCCCAAGGCTCAGGTAAGCAGGGCCAGCTGAGGCTTGCACTGCTGGCAGTAGCAGCAGCAGAGGTATGAAGGGAGTGTCGTCTTCCCCTAATCGCCGGGTTGCCTCCCGCCCGTGAGGGCTCCCAGACTGTGAGAGAGGGCAGGCCAGGCTGAGGGACACCCCCTCCAATGCATGAATTTTCATGCACTGGGTCTCTAGTGTGTGTGTGTGTGTGTGTGTGTGTGTGTGTGTGTGTGTATATATATATTTTTTTTAACAATTTGGATCTCTTTTCTATCCTGATTTTTATTTTCACTTAACTTAGATTGTTGCTGTCTTCCCATGTTACTGAATATTCTTTGGAAAAAAAAATTTTTTATGGTACCCATCCATTGAATGAACCAGTATTTATTTATCCAACTCACTATTGTGAGCATATTTTTATTTTAAACTTGTTACTGCTGTAATGCTATGGAGGATAATATATAACACATTTTTCCTTAAGAAAATTAGTAGAAATGTAATTAATTGGTTACCATTTTTTAAGGCTTTTGATATTTATTTTTTTCTTTTTACTGATTTTAGAGAAAAGAAGGTGGAGAGAGAAAGATACACATAGACTGGTGTTCCACTTACTTATACATTTGTTGGTTGTTTCTTGTATGTGCAATAACCAGAGACCTTGGCACATTGGATGATGCTCCAAGCAACTGAGCTACCCATCCAGGGCCATATGTATTTTAAATATTTCTCCAGAAGGTTGTAGAGCAGCAGCACATGAAAATTTATTTCCTCATTCACTAATACTAGGAATTATGGTTTAAGATTTTATAACATTATATATATGCTTACTAATGAGTTTAAGCATTTTTTCACATACTTCTGAGTGGACAAATGATTTATGAAAATTGTACATATGGTATTTAATCTTTCCATCACAGATCCAAACGAGCGAAGATATTACTAAAACTAAAAAGGCAGAAGGAAGAAGAGGAAAACAGATTACAACTGCAACTTGAAAGGCAGAGAGCCATGAGAATTTACCGAGAAGTACGGCTGAATATGCTTGAAATTGTTCATCCAGGTGGGTGGCAGTATCAATTTTATAAATGTAAAAAAGTTTAGGATATCATTTAATAAACCATATTTCCTATCTACCTGATAATTTCTTTTTAAAATTTGTACCTTTGTTTCTCCATTTTCAGATAAATCTTATCAAATCTCTTGACTTGAAAGAAAAGTTACTATTTTTCTGATTAAGGCCTCTTAGTTAATGATGAGCTATATCTCCACTAATCTTTTTAACTCTTATTGTTCAGATAAATTAGTGAAATAGGTAAACATATTCTTAAAGAGAGTTGTCTATGAATTGAAAAAAGGAGTTAGAATATGACCATTCTACCACCAGAACTTTACTCATGCTTCAATACAAATTTTCTGACACCTTCTTGCTACCTTTGACACACTAACCTGAAATTTTTTTAATTTAATTTTTTCCATCACTATTTATCCTCTCTTGCCCTCTTCCATTCCCCTTCCTCCTATCCCCCAAAAATCTACATACTCTCGTCCATATCCATTAGTTCTCTCTCTTTTTTTCTTTTTTGCTCAATCCTTCCACCCTTCAACGACCACCAGGGCTATCTGCCTGCTCTCTATTTATGAGTCTGTTTCTGTTTTGCTTGGCAGTTCAGTTTATTCATTAAATTCTACACTTTAGTGAAATCATATGGTATTTTATCCTTTCTTCACTGGCTTATTTCATTTAGCATAATGTTCTCCAGGTCCATCCATGCTGTTGCAAACAGTAAAATTTTCTTCCTTTTTACAGCAGAGTAGTATTCCATTGTGTAAAATGTATCACAGTTTTTTTATCCCCTTCCCTACTGATGGACACTTGGGCTGCTTCTAAATCTTGACTAAATATAATAAAAGCATAATATGCTAAGTGTCCGGTCATCCATTCAGCCAATCAAAGCGTAACATGCTAATGATATTGCTAAGGCTGCTGAACCGCTCACTATGATGTGGGCAGTCGACCGGTGGACCAGTTGCTATGATATTCACTGACCACCAGGGGGCAGACACTCCAACTTGTAGGTTAGCTTGCTGCTGGGGTATGGATGATCGAGACTGAATGATATGGGCCGGACATGCCCTGGAGCCCTCCCACAGTCCCTCCCTGACTGGTGAAACTCCCGTGACTCTCCGCAGCCCCAATCATGCACCAGTGGGGTTCCTCGTCCTGGCCTGTGCCCTCTCACAATCCAGGATCTCTCGAGGATGTCAGAGAGCTGGTTTTAGAATCATTATAAAATAATGGAATTGGGAAAATAAGTAAATAGTATTAAAAAAACAAAACTGCAGGCTTTTTGTTACTATCATTGTCCTGGATCCAGAATTTGAGAAAGCATAGAAATTAATTGTGTCTGTCCTCCTTTTAGGTCAGGTGGAAAAACATAATCGGGAAATAGAAGAGAAATCAGCACTGATTATCCAGAAACATTGGAGAGGGTACAGGGAAAGGAAAAATTTTCACCAACAGAAGCCATCTCTCGTGGAGTATAAAGCAGCTGTCACACTTCAGAGAGCAGTGAGTCTGATATAGTAAAAGGAATACTAGATTAGAAGGCAAAAACGGGTTCAAATGTGACTTTGCTATTTACCTGCTGCAAATCTTGGTCTAATCATTTAGCTTTCCTGAGCCTCAGTTTCTCTTCTATCAAATAAGAACCTTCTTACAACTTACCAACTAATTCAGTCCTTGGTACTTTCTTAGATCGTTATACACATTTATCACACATACAGCAGTGTTTATTTGTTAAATTTTTTCTTTCTTACTTGAGTTATGAACATTTCAAGGATAAGGACCTAAGTGTTAATTTATTTTTGTCAGCTCTCAGCACGTGTCTGATATTTAAAAGGATGTCTACCCTACCATTTTCATTCAGGTTTTATTTGAGTGAGATGACCTAATTTATGGGTAAGTGTTTTGTAAAACTCAAAGTTTATGCAAGTGCAGTATGTCATATTCGATGTTTTTAATGCACATATTAAATAAATTAATTTGATCATTATAATTTTTGAATTACAGAAAGGTGTTCTTAAATTATTTTCCTGTGGTTTATCTGGAACATAGTATTATATATCTTCCCAGAGAAAGGCTAGAACTGTTGTTTACTTTCTGTTCCTCCCTTACCTGGCAAAAGCAGAGTCATTGTTTTTTGGGTAGCTAAAAATTGAGAAAGTCCTATATGAAGTTGATCATTTCAAATTATAAATCCTTACTTGCATAGATAAGTTGGAATTTTCTGTAGTGGTGTCGTGTTGGAATTCAATTTGTTTTTTTGGTATTTTTTTTAAGTTGACTTTGAGAGAGAGGAAAGGAGAGAAAGAGAAAAACATCAATCTAAGAGAGAAACATTGATTGCCTTCCCTTCCCAAGCCCCAGCCAGGATTAAACCCACCATCTTTTGGTATATGGGATGATGCTCCAACCAATCGAGCTACACCGGCCAGGTTGGAATTTAGTTTGAAGTTAGCTACATTTTTCTTTTGATGCTGCAGAGATTTATTTATTTATTTATTTATTTATTTAGCCTTCTCATCTCTTAGGAAGTTTAGAAAGAAAGTGATAATTTCTGTTCCTTGATTTTAGAGCTAGAATGATGCCTAATTCTTGCTATTTGATTATAGCGGGAAAATACTATAGAGCTAAATCGCTACCTTCCATTACAAAAATACATGTTCATCACAGACCAACCACAAAAGCACTTAATGAAACAAACCATTGGAAGTTGAGAAAATGAATAAAAATGGGGAACAAATAAATTTCAGATAGTCCTGAAATGACATAGAATGAGGAAAAGAGACAGAAAAGTCAAGGTGGAGCCCTGACCGGTTTAGCTCAGTGGATAGAGTGTCGGCCTACAGACTGAAAGGTCCCAGGTTCAATTTCCGTCTAGAGCACATACCCAAGTTGTGGGCTTGATTTCCAGTAGGTGGTGTGCAGGAGGCTGCCGATCAGTGGTTTTTCCTTCATCATTGATGTTTCTATCTCTCTTTCCCTCTCCCTTCTTCTCTAAAATCAATAAAGAAAATAAAAATAAAAAGGTAAGGTGGGCTTTTTCTTACCTGAGGGCAGAGATTACTGTTTTGGAACATTTACTTTGAAGTTCCCAGCATAGCATAATAAGCCTAGGATGGTAGTGAAAGCCAGAGGTGGAGGAAAGATAGGAGAAGCAAAAAAGAAGAAAATCAAGGAAAGGGAAGAATAGTAGGAAAGAGAGGATCTCCCAAAATGAGGGTGCAAGTACAGTTTAAAGTTTGGTTTCTGTACTAAAAACACCAGGAGTATTAGGAAAATTATATATACTGAATGTGAAGACCTCCAGTCCTTTTCCTCATCTCAGCTCTCAGGGTGCTATCAGCCAGGTTTATATCCTAATCCTACACAAGTAGATTGAATGTGTTTTCTTTGGGGAAATCTGACTTGCCCAAGGGAAAATTCGTTAAGTATATTCACAATGAGGTAACCCAATGAAACCACCCAGAGCAAAACTCTATATTGAAGTATATAGTAGATACACCCTACCCACCTACTGCTCAGAATTTCTAAACAACTCAAATATCAGCTGAAAGTATCACAGGATATCTTAAGAAAACTAAAGTTGAATAAAACTACTTGGTAAAAATAGAGATATAAGGGTAAGAAAACTTTTTAAAAATTTCTTCAGACAGTAAAATAAAATAATACATGAAACAAAACCAGGATGCTTATAAGGAGAAAAAATAGATTAAAATTTATTAAGAAAAGAAAAGACATAATAAAAATGCTAGGAAAACAGGTTTGGGAAATCTAGAAGGCAGGGCAAAAAGAAAAGATAACAAGTTCAGGAAATCAGACACCACAACATTTGAATCAAACAATAACCATAAAAACCTGAGGAATGAAAATCAAATAATTTAAGATTTCCCAGAGTTTTAGATCAAGAGCTCTGACTTGTGTAATTACTGTGAAATACACTGGGAACAAAACTACTCAACAGCATCATTAGAAGCAAAAAATTATTTCCAACTAGAATTCTATTCCCAGCTAAACCATCTGTTGAAAGTAAGCATAGACTAAAGACATTTTTATGTATCACAAAGTCTCTGAAAGGAATAACCCAAAAAAGAAAACAGCATAGAATCCAACAAACACAAAGGAAAGATAAAAAGAGTCCCCAAGATAATAGTGAATGAGAGCTCAGGATGGGAGCTATGCGTCAGTCAAAGAGAACAATTCAAATTGAAGCATATGAGAACACTCCAGAAAATGTGTATCCAACAAAATGAACTTGATAAAATGCCTGATGTGTTTTAATGTACTGAAAATTAGGGCCGAGTTTTTGATATGTAATTAGTGATAAGTACATAGAAAACTAAGCACAAGAAAATAAAATTATTAATTCTAATGAAAATAAAAGATATACAAGGAAGGAAAAGTAATCATATGGTTCAAAAATTATATAGTAACTAGAAGCTCAGTGTGCAAAATCCCGAGGCCCCGCCCACCAGCACAGCTTTGTAGTGCTCACAGCCCCGCCCACCTGTGCACGCTGCGCTAGCAGCCCCATCCACCCAAGCCTGTCTTTGGTCAGTATGGCATTAGGGCCACAGGCCTTTTGTAATATAGATAATGATATAAATATGAATATGTACATTGACTTAGCTGAAATTATGATATATTTTTTCATTTTATTTATTTACACAATGGACTATTATTACACACTATAATTTTATTTTTCAATTACAGTATATATTCAATATTATTTTTTATTAGTATCAGGTGTACAGCATTTTAGACAATCATATGCTTTACAAAGTGATTCCCCAATATTTCTAATACCAACCTGGTATCATACATGGTTATTACAAGATTTTCCCTATGCTGTACTTTATATAACTGTGACTATTTTGTAATTAATACTTGATGTTTGGTGATATGGAACGTATGTGGGACTACAAGCAGTGAAAGAGCTAAATCGTTACCTTCCATACAAGAAAGTAAATGAATAACACCTGTATCTGAAAATCATAGAGAAGTAGATGGAGATAAGCATCTAAAGAAAAACATGGAAGAGTTAAAGTTGTCTTTGTGGGGAAGGAACATGGTAAACAGGCAGAGAAAGAGAGTTTTTTTGTTAATAATTCTTGTAAAAATTACACTTTAAAAAAATAGGATTACATAAACTTTTTCTGGGTAATATCAAACAGTAAAATATTTTAGGCTTTGCAGGCCATGAAGTCTGTTGCAACTATTCAGTTCTATAATTGGAAGCTATAGACAATACATAAACAAATGAGTGTGGCTGTGTTTCAATAAAATTTTATTTATGGACACTGAATTGTGAATTTCATATGTCACAAAATATTTTTTAAACTTTATAACCAGATAAAAAAAACAAAACAAAACAAAAAACCTACTCTTGAAAACCATTCAAAAATAGGCGGCAAGCTAGACTTGGCCTGTGGGCCATAATTTGACAGCCTTTGCCTTAAAGCACCGATTGCCACCAGTAAGCCATCACACATGTGTGCTGCAGGAATTTTAAAGCATGCAGTATCTGATTATTTAGACAGGGGCACTGACCTCTTTTCTCTTAGATCATCAAATTAAAAAATGACAACAGCCAGCACAATAGCTATCTGGTGTAAATGGATCAATATTGTACCTATTTTTTTGTAAGATCAGCAAAAAATATATTTTTTGGTGTGCCACAGAATTTTAGCAATTTGTTTATATGTGTCATGAGATGAAAATCATTGCCTTAATGTGAACTTCAATGGAAAGAAAACTGCAAAGAAGCGAAACCAGTGAAAAAATTAGGCAGAATAATTTCAAATTTGTCTCCAAATCTTGCATTTTAGCAAGATTTCCTGTTTTATCAGAATTCCATTCTAAAGGAAATGAGGAAGAACATTCATTCATTTACAAAGCTTTTATTTATAGATTGTCTCTTTTATCTCTATAATCCTACAGGCTAAGTAGAATTAGGGTCACTGTTTCTGTAGTATAGATATTAGGGACTAGAATTGAAACTAGATCTCAGTGCTTATTTCCTGTACTTCCTCTTTATTATTTATGCGCAAATAATACATGAATTTATCTTTGTAAAATACTACAGAATAATGTAATTAGAAAGTAATTATTTTCTCTCATCCCTATCACTAGCCCATCCCTCTCCTCATACACAGAGTTAACAGCTATTGAAGTATTGTTGCTTCCATTTTTTGTTGTAGGAAGAAATTAGTTCTATTAGGGAAGAAAAATCATAAATCTTTTTTTTCCAGGCTCTTAAATTCCTAGAAAGGTGCCGTATGAAAAAGAAACAATTTGCTCCTTGGCAAGGACCCAGAGAACTCACTGATGCACAGAGAGTTGAACTGAAGCAACATGTTGATGACTATGTTAGAAGACATCCAGTATGTAGCCTTCTATGCTATATCAGTGTTTCATTATTTTAGTACATGATATTTGCCAACAAAGTGGTGTCTCGGGTGGATATGTACATATATTGATGGTATAAGGCAAAGCAGTTACTTTACCATAGAGTTAATTTGGAATCTTCTGTATAACTTTATGGACCAAAGATATATAGTCAGTAGTACAGGAGATTTTGCTTCCATTCAGTTATTTTCCATACTACATTAGCAAGACTATCTCCACATTCACACCAACATTTATTATTTTTACATCCTAATGGGTGAAGTGGTATTGTAATTTGGATTTGCATTTCCCTAGTGATTAGTGATTTTAAGTATCTTTTCGTGTTTTTATTGGCCATTTTTTTATCTTTTTGGAGAAATGTCTTATGTTCTTTGTCTATGTTATAATTAGGTTGTTTTATTCCTGAGTTTTAGGGTTACTCTATATATTTTGGATAGTAATCCCTTATCAGATATGGTTTGCAAATATTTTCTCCCATTCATTGGGCTTCCTTTTTAATCTATTGATAGTATAAAACTTTGCGCAAAAGTTTTAATTTTGGTGAAGACTAATTTGTAATTTAATTTTGTTGTAGGATTTTTTTCTTTTATAGTCTGTGCCTTCAGTTTCATATCCAAGAAATGATTGCAAAATCCAATGTCATGAAGTTTTCCTCCATTTTTTCCTAAGAGTTTAATAGTTTTAGTTCTTACGTTTAGATCTTTAATGTTCTTTTTTTTTTTTTTTTTTTTTTTTTTTTTTTTTTTTTTTAATGTACTTTGTGTGATTCTGATGCATACGCCTGTTTAAAAGCTGGCGTGGCTCAGTGGATAGAGCATTGCCCTGTGGACTGAAGGGTCCCAGGTCAATTCTGGGCATGGGTACATGCCTTGGTTTTGGGCTTGATCCCCGGTGGAGGTATGCGTGAAGCAGCTGATCAGTGATTCTGTCTCATTGATTTTTCTATTTTGCTTTTTCCCTTCCTCTCTGAAATCAATAAAATTATTTTTTTAAGTTCTACTTTAGCCATATTGTATTGCGCCTATTTAATATTCCATGGCTGAAAAGTGAGATGTTTACTGGAACAAGATCCAGAAATTGGAATTTTAGTGATGTTGGAAGCTTTATCAACTTTAAAGTTAAATTTCATTCTTCTCCAAACTAATTAGTTAAGTTCCCTTTAAAGTAGCTGATTAGCCAAAAGAACTTGGTCCTTTTGCTGATTTTGTCCCTTGTTCTATGAAGTCAGAAGTAGTTATTATATAACATAGCTTAGATAAGTTTGGGAATCGTAATATAACTAAGATAGTCTTATCAGGTGGGGTCTAGAACAGAAGGATTGGTCTTGTTACTTCTCTTCCAGGCCATGTCTTCACCAAATTTTCACTATAATTTCTAGATCTTCTCTCTTCTCCCAAAATACCACACTGTGAGGAGATGAGGCTTAGGAGCATACCAAAAAGAAACTTCCCACCAGTATTTTCATCTAAAGCTGCTTTTAAGACCTATTTAAATGCTTGCACAAGAGTAGTAGGTAGACATCAGACATAACAATCTATAATAATAAAAGGGTAATATGCTAATTAACTGGACATCATTCCAGATGAAGCCGGGGCCCAAGGGAAGCCTGAGTTCCGGGTGCCAGAAGGAAGCCGGTGCCAACAGCCTGGGGAAGGAAGGCCTTACTCTTGCAAGAATTTCGTGCATTGGGCCTCTGGTCAATTGATAAGATGAGAGACAATTAAGCATTTTGGAACCTCTGCTAAGTGGTTGAGTGAAACATACTTTGGTATATAAGTCCTTCCTGTGACAATTTTTTATGTCCTCTGTTTCAAGAGCTCTCAGATGTCAGATGTGGCCAGCAGAGAACTCCATTCCCAAGCACAAGAACGACTACAACACTACTTCATGGGCAGAGCCCCAGAAGATAGAGCCCAACAGCACAGAGAGGCTCTGAAGGCACAGATCAATACCAACATTGAGCAGTTAATGAGTACGTGCTTGTTCCATTTTTATTTTCTAAAAGGAACCTTTACAAGATTTTGTGACATTCAAGATCTTCAGAAGGAAAACACCATTTAGTGGTCTCTTATTCCATCTCCTATCCTTAGAAATTTATACTTCTAGTTCATACTAACACACAATGTAGCCAAATGATGCAGATCCCATAACCTTCCCCTCTCCCTTCTTTAAAATCAATTTTTTTTAAAAAGATACTAAGACCTGCTAACTAGATTATATTATGTATTCTCAAAGCTCTTGATCCTATTTTAGAAGTAGATGACACCAGTGATTACAGTGCCATTTTATAATTTTTTTTAAATATATATTTTATTTTTTTACAGAGCAGAAGGGAAAGGGATAGAGATTTAGAAACGTCAATGAGAGAAACGTCGATCAGCTGCCTCCTGCAGACCTTCTTACTGGGGTTGTGCCTGCAACCAATGTACACGCCCCTGACTGGAATCGAACCTGGGACCCCTTAGTCTGCAGGCTGATGCTCTACCCACTGAGCCAAACCAGTCAGGGCCATTTTATAATTTTTAATGGAGGGCTTTCACAAAGTTGAATTCATCTAGTCATCACTGGTGCATTTAATGAGATATCCCATCCATGAAGCCATAGTGTTTCAGTCAGCCTCTAAAACACTTGCAGTATATGTGGAGCAGAGGGGACTGGGGTCCTCTATTTAATGATGTTACTTGAAAATTTTGTATTTTTTAATGGATAGGGGGCTATAACAAGCTCTCATCTGTAGGATGGAGTTCTGCTATTATTTTAAATATTCCTGCTTATAAATAAATCTGCATCTTATTTTATTCTTTTAAACATAGAATGAGGAAGTGGGTGCAGTTCCTGCCAGCCACAGTTACAACTTGTGAATAGTTACATGCCATCTAGACCGAGCAATGATGATAGATTCAGAGTTGGAACCCTGTCCCTGCCTGCTATTGCAGAATTCTGACTCTGTAGTTTCCAAATTCCTACTTGTTTGTACAGAACACTTACCTGTTTATTTTCTGTTTACTACAGAGGCACCAACTCTGAAGGAGGCAGAAGGGAAAGAACCTGAGCTCTTCCTAAGTAGATCCAGACCTGTGGCGGCCACGGCCAAGCAGGCCCACCTCACCACTCTGAAGCATATACAAGCGCCCTGGTGGAAAAAGCTCGGGGAAGAAGCAGGAGATGAGGTTGATGTCCCAAAGGATGAGCTTGATATAGAATTAGGAACTTTATTTATTGGTGGAACCAAACCCCCTTAAGGAGTTACCCTGAGAAATGATATAAGTTCTACATTTCAAGAAATTATATTGGTCTGCCTCTGGCATGCTTTGACAAAACAAGTTTTTCAGAGGTTCTAAGCAAAGAGTTATCTTCTACCTCTATCTCAATTCTGTTTGTTTGTTTGTTTGTTTGTTTGTTTCCATTCATCCACTCTGGCCACACACACAAATTGGTGTGGCTTTTATTGTGGAATTAAAGCATGTCATTCTACTGCTTTTATAAAATGTGATATTTCTCTTTTTGTTCTGTTTTCCAACGAAAGGTGTTTTCAAAATAAATATCTTCAACAGTTCTGAAAAACTTGTCAGGATTATTTCAACTTTTTATATTTATTATGAAAATTCCTACTCTATTAATATAGGAAGTGTACTTTTTTTTTCTTTTTTTTTTTTAGTCAAGCAAGGTCTTCCTTTACTTTCGTTAAACAAGGTCCGGAAAGAGGGATAGTGCAAACACTCGGTTGAAAAGTTGTGATTAAGAAACGTACATTCACATGGAACGTGTGAGCCCGTTCACTGGTTTTCCAAATAAAAACAGGACAGTACTGACGACTGGTCTCGGAGCAGTCTCGGAGGAGACTGGCTGCTTGTGTGCAGGGGACGTAAAAATAGACCCGTGTTGATCGTACAAATCTACCAAACAGGTGGCATCGCCACCGGTGCCCACTAAGCCAGTGTCGCCCGGCGCCCCCACTCGGCGTCCTGTGGGGGATGGCCCTGGGGGCACCGTGCCCTGGAGGCCGGGCCCCGGTGGGCGTGGCTCTTCTAAGCGAGGGCTCCATGCTGAGGTTACTTACACTCGCTTCGTGCGCGGCGGTGTGCATCCGTGTGCTGGGGGCGGGTGTGTGCGGGCCCCACTCAAGCTCAGACCGCCCTGCGGGGATACCCTGCAGGACGCTGTGGCCAGCCAGCAGGTGGCCCGAGGCAGTGCCCCTTGCCGTGCATGCTGGGTGATTCCAAACCAAACTGAACTCACATACGGGGACTTCACGCATGGGACCGCGTGCGAATGGCTTGGGTGTCACGGGGAGGAAGGCAGCACGGAAGTGTACTCTTGGCCTTTATTGAAGTAAGGCAGTGTTTCCCAAAGTGTGGTACGCGTACCCCCAGGGGTACGGCACCGTGCTTAGCTGCGCCTAATTCTACATTCTCATGAGTACGAGGGATACTCAGCGTTACGAAAATTATAGAAGGAGTACACATACATCAAAAGTTTGTAAGTAAGGGAAAGGCCAACTGATAGACATTTAATTATTTTCTGCAAAATATTGTTTGAACACAATTTCTATCTTGTTATTTCAAGAGAGAGCTACATTTAAAAAATCCTAGGATTCAATGCAAGAAAAAAATGTCTCCGCCAAAACCGGTTTGGCTCAGTGGATAGAGCGTCGACCTGCGGACTGAAAGGTCCCAGGTTCGATTCCGGTTAGGGGCATGTACCTTGGTTGCGGGCACATCTCAAGTAGGGGGTGTGCAAGAGGCAGCTGATCGATGATTCTCATCAATGTTTCTAACTCTCTATTCCTCTCTCTTCTCTCTGTAAAAAAATCAATAAAATATATAAAGTAAATAAATAAGAAAAAAATGTCTCCATATAAACACCATTCTTTCTATAAGAAATATAAAGTCCACCATTTTCTTATTTGTCTCATCTCCTAGGAAGCTTAGAGCTAAATATAATGCTTAGTTTCTATTATGTTCCTAGATGCCTATATGATTATTTTGTTCCAACCTAATAATTTCTGATAATCCCTATTTATCTTTGCGTTTTAATAGCAGAAGCCAACACTATTTATGTTTGTTAACAATATGGAATTTAAGTTAAAATCAATTAACAAATCATGAACTCCATATAAGGAACCTGGAGTGTGTGTTTTGTATAAATGAGTGGTAATACCAGTATTTCTCAATGGGCAGACCAAATAGGATAATATCCATTCCCAAAGTTGAGGTTAGAATAATTCTAGTCAAAATCTTAAAATAATTTTTATTAATAATTGGAAACATAAATGTATAAAAGTTCATCTGTGAATAAGCAAATGAGAGTTCTGATTTCACTTAGAATGTAGAAAGCTACATGAAAATGTTGTTTGTACCTTAAAAGAAATGCCAGATAATCTACAAAAATAATTTTTTTTAGCCTATCAGTAAAGCCTCAAGAAAACTAAGTAAATTGAAATAGGGCTCAGTATCTGTAAAATGAACTACCCTGTTTCCCCGAAAATAAGACAGTGTCTTATATTTTTTTCTCCCAAAGTTGTGTTAGGTCTTATTTTCAGGGGATGTCTTATCTTTCCATGCGCTAGGTTTTATTTTCGGAGGATGTCTTTATTTTCGGGGAAACACAGTATTTCATAGTAGAATATTGGAGACAAAGGTGACAGGATAAGACATTACAGTAACTAAAATTCTAGCAAATTCGTAAAGGCCAAGTATGGGGTAGCACATCAATTAGAATCTCAGGAGTTTCAGACAAGGGGAATTTAGACTTACTAAATACAAAAAACTTTGGGAGCAGGTAGGAAGCCTGAAGAGATGCCCTTAGTGGTGTAGGCAAACACGAAGACTGCTACTTACTAGTTGATTGACATGCCCAAAACATCACCCACTTTCGCAAACCCTTGTCTTAAAGCTGCAATCGCAAGGGCAGCAAGCCCTCTAACCTCCAAGGCTCAGACGAAATTCCATTGCAGGTAAGGAATAGAAATAAAATGTCTTTGGGGGCAGGGTAGGAAACACTAGACCCAGACACAAGTAAAAATCCAGGGATAGAAACCAAACCCTCCACTCCTGGGAGGGGCAGGAAAACCTTGGGCTCAGAAATCCTACACCAATAGAAACCAGAGGTCTGCTAATACTGGGGAGAAAACTGCTAAAGACCAGCCACAGCAATTTGCCATGGGGTAGAATGGTAGGAACCCTGAGGAATCCTCACCCCAACACCAGGAAGAAGAGACCTGATCCAAAATTTAGGTGGATCAGGACAACATACCACCCATGTCTCAAAGACTAGCCTAGCTCCAATAGGCAATAGTTTACGGCTAGGATAGGGAAAAGGTACATGGAGAGAGAGCCCGTCTGTGGCAAAAGCATACAGGGATAACTAAAAGAGGAGGGTGGAGCAGAAACAGAACAGCTTTCAAGACCCTATTATAACAAGCACAAGGTACCAGCAGCTAAAAAATAAAACAACTTGAAACTGGTGCATTGAAGATAAAACCAAACTCAGCTAAACTGATTAGATTAACTCAAACCCCCCTGCAATACTGAAATACAATCTTTACTTTTACTTTTGACAATGCTGTCATACTTTCTGACTGATAATGCTATTGTATTGTTTACTAGAGGCCTGGTACATGAAATTTGTGCCCGGAGGTGGGGGTGCCCCTCAGCCCAGACTGCACCCTCTCCAATATGGGACCCCTCAAGAAATGGCCAACTGCTCGTCTAGGCCCTATCCTAGTAGGGCAGTTAGGGGTGACCAGGTAGTAGAATTGGGCCTAAATGGGTAGTCAGACATCCCTCTCATAATCCAGGACAGCTGGCTCCCAACTGCTCGCCTGCCTGCCTTCCTGATTTCTCCTAACTGCTTCTGCCTGCCAGCCTGATCATCCCCTAACCACTCCCCTCTCACCCTGATTGATTCCTAACTGCTCCCATGCCAGCCTGATTGCCCCTAACTGCCCTTCCCTTCAGGCCTGGTCACCCCTAACTGCCCTTCCCTGTAGGTCTGGTCACCCCTAACTGCTCTCTCCTGCAGACTTGATTGCCCCTAACTGCCCTCCCTTGCAGGCCTGGTCCCTCCCAATTGCCCTTCCCTGCTGGTCATCTTGTGGTAGCCATCTTGTGTCCACATGGGGGCAACCATCTTGTGTATTGGAATGATGGCCAATTTGCATATTATTCTTTTATTAGATAAGATAAGATAGAGGTTTGCTGCATGGGTGGGGGCCGCCTGGTTTGCCATGAAAGGTGTCCTGGATCAGGGTGGGGGTTCCCTTGGGATGTGGGGCAGCCTGTGCGAGGGGCCTGTGGTAGTTTGCAGTGTCCCCTGGCTACACAAGCAGAGGCTCTGTTATCTGGGATTTATTTATTTTATATAATTGAAACTTTGTAGCCTTGAGTGGAGTCCAGGGCTGGCTAGGGTGTGCAGGAAGCTTAGCTTCCTCCATAGCCAGGAAAACCCAAGTCTCCTGTTTGCTCTGTGGCCACAGGCATCTTGGTTGGGTTAATTTGCATACTCACTCCTGATTGGATGGTGGGTGTAGTGGAGGTATGGTCAGTTTGCATATTACTCTTATTAGATAGGATATTAAGTAACAAAATAATTCTTTATTACTCAGATAAGAGTGAAAAAAATCTATGACACATGAAAAAGTGATTTTATCAATAATTCTTTAATCAACAATTAGAATCCAATTTTGCTGGATTACTTACATCAGAACTCACTATATATAAGAAAGTGCATTTATATGTACTTTTAAATACAAACAATATATGAAACATATATAAATATGAAAAATACAAATTCTAAATATTTTTAAATAAATTTTAAAGAGGAAGGAAGAGACAGGGAGAAACATCCATTCGCTGCCTCCTGCACACCCCATACTGGGAATCAAGCCTGCAACTCAGTCATGTGTCCTGACCAGGAACTGAACCAGCACCCGCTCTATACATGGGATCTTGCTCAACTGAGTCACATTGGCCAGTGCTTTTCTCTCTCTCTCTCTCTCTCTCTCTCTCTCTCTCTCTCTCTCTCTCTCTCTTTCTTTAATATTTAGGAACTTATAGAGTATCTAAAAATAGTAGAAAATTCTATAGTTAATATAAATTCTATAGAAAAGCCACTTTGCCTCATATTCTTCATTTCAGTAATATCCATATCTATTGAGGTCAATTACATATTATGACAAAAGGGAATCCCAATGCATGATTGCTGGACTGGACTTTAATAATTAAATTTTGAAGACCCACCC